ACTGGTCCCAAACGTCGTAGTATTATTTGGAGTCAGGAATGTCAAAAAGCTTTCGAGCAATTGAAATTCTTATTGACACATGCTCCTTGTTTACAGCCTCCTGATGTCTCTAAACCGTACATTATTGAAACTGATAGCTCTGACTTTGGTTGTGGTGCTGTTCTCCTGCAAAAAGATGACTCTGGTGCTCTACATCCTCTGGCGTTTGAATCCAAAAAGTTTTCTATGGCTGAACGGAACTACCCTGCACAAGAGAGGGAGCTACTTGGTGTATTACATGCTCTTCGGGTTTGGCGTTGTTTTATCGATGGTGCTGACTATGTGGTATACACGGATCATAACCCTCTTCAGTATCTGAGATCACAAGCAAAACCTACCGCTCGTTTGGTGCGTTGGCTCTCAGAAATTGAAACTTATGATCCTAAGATACTCTACAAGCCTGGTAAAATGAACGAAGTCCCGGATGCGTTGTCACGTCGCGATGGAGCTGACTGTATACCTGCAGAATCAAGTATGGAACCTCGCTACTTGTATTCTGTAGACTCTAATATCTTGGTTCACCCTACCGACTGGCCCACATTCTATCTGACAAAACCAGAACTGGTCCCTGACACGGTCAAATCTGTCTTAGAGTCGAATCGTGATAAGTTTGTGATAAAGCAAGACAAGGTGTATCGTCTAGTGAAGGTCAATAATCAACAGCTTGAAGCAAGATTCTGTTCTTTCTCAAATCGCGCTACCCTGGTGAATAAGTTCCATGAAGGCTTTGGTCATGCCGGTCAGCTTACGGTATTTGAACTTATGCGCAAACGTTGGTGGTGGCCTAACATGCGAACTGATATTCAAACCTGGTTATTAGACTGTAAAGAATGTCAGTTAGCATCTAGTCCTGGCAAAAACAAACATCATGCTCCTATGGTTCCCTTGGATATTCCTCCTGCTTTTGGTCGCTGGCATCTAGATTTTGTTGGTGAATTACCTCTAACAAATCAGGGTAATAAATGGCTCCTAACGGCGGTAGACTATACCACTAATTGGCCTATTGCTCGTGCTGTCCCAGAGGCTACTGCGGAAGTTGTTGCAGATTTTATCTATGAGGAGATCGTCATGAAGTTCGGCTGCCCTCAAGAAATCCTGACTGATCGTGGTGCAAATTTCATGTCTACGGTGGTAAAGTTGTATATGAATCGCATAAAAACAAACCACAAGTTCACGTCAGCTTTCCATCCGCGCACAAACGGAAAATGCGAACGACTTAATGGTATTCTCAAGGCTATGCTTAGGAAATACGTCAATGGTGCTATTCATATTTGGGACAAGTTTGTAGATACTGCTCTTTTTGCTGCTCGGGTCCGTCACCATCGTTCTACTGGTTATTCTCCCTTCTACTTGGTATATGGCCGTGAACCTTTGCTTCCTGGTGATTATACTCGTCCTTATTTCGATAAGTTGACTTCTAATGACCCAAGGACAATTGCTGAACACACTGCTCGAGAACTTGAGGATATTGGTCAAATCCGCGCCGCCGCTGCCCATCGAATGAAAATAGTATCTGAGTCTGACAAGAGACGTTGGGATGCTGCTATCGAAAAGCTGGAATTCGAGATTGGTGATCATGTCTTACTCAGAAATGAGCAAAAGTATGGTCTGGAATACAACTGGATAGGCCCTTTTGTCATTGTAGATCGAAACGAGGCCAACCATGTTTACAAACTAGAAACTATTGGTGGTGAACCTTACACTTCTTGGGTACATATCGATCGATTAAAAGGTGTCAAGGCTGATTCGATCGATACTCCTTGGTACAATCCCACGGTTTCTCGTGCTGCTTGGCGCTCTGAAATGGGTCTTGACTCAAGGAATAAGGCTACTTCTGACTCGGTTGAACAAGTTGATCAGAGGCGATCAACATTCTCGGGGGGAATGATGTCGTACCCAAACTTAGGTTTAAGCCCAATGTTAAGAAAGCGGCCAGAAGACACCAGCAGGTGCTCGAAGGTTCTGGAAATTATTAGTCAGATGTTTATCTGATTATCATTACCATATCTGGCATTCCCCTTATATGGCTACGACTTCAAATACTAGAAGCTTCCACTTGAGTCACAACTCAGACATTATAGATAGTATAAATATAAGTTGCACTCAATGAAATAAACATCATCTTTCAACACAAATATTAAGTATTAGTTACACTCTATAGTAAGTTAAGCCCTACGACTTATTATACGTATCTCTGGTTATACTTTACAAGTTTTATTGGCTTTGCTACTTATTGGATCTATCTACAAAGACGACAGCCGGTAAGGGCGCGGTTGGTTAAGTGGTATAATCTTCGCCTGCCACGCGAAGGGCCGGGGTTCGATTCCCCGATCGCGCATATTTTGTTTTTTACTCTTTTTTTTTATACCTGTGTTACAGGACAAAGGTAGAGATCGCATTAACTAGTAGATATATAGAGCAATAGGCAGCAAGTTATATGTAATGTGCACCAGGTTTTAAGTCGTCCGTTTGTATTATTTGTATAAGTAAAAGAAGATACAAAGATATAATGTAATACAACATACAATGATTAGATATGATACAAGATCAAGGGACCCAACTAGACAAATGATATGATAATAGTCTAGTTTAAAAGTATAAGACAGTACAAGTTAGGTACGATTGTAAGTCTAAGGTAAAACTATGGATTTGGATGTTTTTATTTAAGTTGAATTATTCTAGTATTTATATGTATTCTAAAGTAGTCATGTTAGACTTGCAAAAATGCAGTTATAACAATCCCAGTATAATAATCTATGAGTCATTGTAGAAGTGATACGATACCAAGCTATGCCGACTAAAAGTAAAATGAATAATATGACATGAAGTCAAATGTAAAGTGTACTAATACAATAATTGAGATTCAAAGTTGAAGAATAAGATATGTGACACAGGTAACTGCTAGAATATTTAAGAAAGAATAAGGAGTTCTAAAATATAATGTAAAATGGAGATAGTCATTTCGTAGCAATAGAACTCAAAGCAAAGGAACGATTGTATGTAATGAACACCACGTAAGGTAACAAACCTTCAAGTAAATGATTTAAAGTAAAAGAGAAATAAAAGTTCAAATAGAAATGATAAAGTAAAAGAACTTCCTATATCAATATCCAGGAAGCCAAATAGACAAAAGTAAGTATTTAGGTCAATACCAATCGTCTGATAAGTAACCGAATCGGTCAAAGTAAAAGTAAAGTAAAATAAAGTAATAAATAGAATCTTCTAATCTTTATTGAATAATAGCTTGAACGGCTTATATACTCGTTCATTGAGAAAATCATTAATAATTCTAAAGTAAAAAGAGGTAAGTCATAATGAACTCGTTAAGATAAAGCGATTCGATTTGTAATAGAGTCAAAAGTATCATGCATGAAAATGATCATGTCAAAAAGTAGGGGTTTCAAAAGTAATACAAAAATCAAGTAACAGAGATAAGTTTCAGTAATAATAATAATAATATAACAAAAGAGAAAAGAAGAGACAAACAGAAGAGGAAGACTACAGTCGACGGAAACGATTGGAATGTAGCACCGTAATTTTTTGGCTTTTATGATCATTCATACTACACTGAAAAATCCAATCAGTATTAGTTTACGACAGAATACATCTTGGCTTGTGCTTACTACTTTTTTTGTTGCGCTCATGATAATTTTTTTTTTTTATCACATTTCTAATGCATTGTTGATGCAAATAGGCACATCGCAGTAACCTAAAAAAAAAAAAGTACCCATCGAGCTTGGGATTATCTCACGCATTTCAAATATCACAGGTATAAAGCCGAGCTGATCATGCACAGGAATACAAAAGTTTTCAAATTACTTGTATCTTTAAACCAAAAGGAATGTATTCCTCTACATAAGCCAGACTAGTAGAAGTTTCAAATTGCCATATGTCCTCTTTTAAATTGATATTTATAGGATCATGTTAGCGACAAAGCAATTCTCATTTCATACCAAGGATAATCTCTCTTTTTCTTTGAAAAAATACAACTGATAGTTTATGCAGCGTCAGCATAATATGCAATTGAAAACTAATAATATGGCTCCTTCTGAAAGACAACAGACTTAAAGCACAATCCAAAGTATATCAATCCTCAATAACAGTCTGAACCAGGAGCATTTGTTAGACAATTGGCATGTATTGAAAAGTAAAATCAGTCACATGTTAAGAAAGCGCTTGACTTATAAGAGAGGATGAATACTTTTCTCTTATTGCAGCATGCGATTTCAAGTACTGATTGCGTTGTCCCTGTTCTTGATTCTAATGGGCATCTTGGGATTTGCACCCATTCACCTCTCAGAACAAGTGAACGATAAAATATTACACTTTTTTATCTTTTTCATACTTGCTGTGTTTCTCTACTTTTTATGGAATCTATCTGTTAAGCGCAATCTGATCTTAGCGACTAGTAGTTTACTTGTATTGGCAATCGGAAGTGAATTTATTCAGGGCTTATTGCCGGTAATTAAGAACAATATATGTATAGACAAGCAAGTTGACTTTTTATATCAATATAGTATCGATCATTTGATATTTATGATATTATAGCCAATCTTTTAGGTGGCATAACTGGTATATGTCTGTCTTCATTGACTGACTATTTGATTAACCGACATCGAGAAAACAAAAGAAGATTTGGAGGAAGAAGAGAAGCAGAATATCAGAAAGCACTCATGGAATTTACTGATGAAGAAGAAGAACAAAGCTATAGACTTGATCATGTGTAAATTTATTTTATTCAAGAGATATTTAAAACACTATATGAGCAGCTACAATACGTTGCAATTCCTAATAGAATATATTGTGAATAACACATACATAAAAATTCCATACTTACCTCATCGTCTACAGACTGTTGTTGGGGTATATTATTAGGTTGTATTTCACTTTTTGCTCCTAGAATACTCTTGGCCATATTGGTAGAAGGCTCCTTTTGTTCTTCAGTATCAACAGACAATACTGGCGAAGGAGGAGATACTTGTTGTTCTTGTTCCTGTACTTGTTGCTTTTGCAATTGTTCTTCAGACACCGTAGGGTTTAGCAAAAGAGTCTTGGCCATAGCCATAGCCATAGCCTCGCCTTCGCTTGTCATATCATTTGCATTTTTCAGATTCTCTTTGCGCTTCTTTTCTTGTTGACGTACAGCAGCAAATGAAGATTCAGGTCTATTCCAAGGATGGAAGTCGTACCCTCCTTCTTCTTCCCATTTTGAATTTTCCTTGGACGTCAAGAAGTCTACCCCATGGGCAACCAGCAAGAACAAATCATCAAGGTCATTAGATGACATACTATGGATTTTGGGTTGTTCTTCTATTGCCTTGTCTGATAAGATCGATGGAGGTGCTGTGGTAGCAGTGTACGGTGTTGGTGTTGGTGTACTAGGTGCATTTGTACTAGCCGCAGGTACCATGGTGCTAGTAGCATTGGAGATAATGGATTCTTTGTTACTCAAAGTTGGCTTACTGACTGTAGAGACATCGGATGATTTAGTACGTAACTTGGGCTCTTCTTCCTGTTGCTCAATAATGTTGTTACTGGCTGTATTCATCCACATAGCATACTGTGTCTGAACATCTTCATTGGCTACTTCGGGTGCGTTGCTTGTTTGTATAGTACTAGACTCTTTTTCTTCGTTTTCTTCTTGAACATTGTCTTCAGTTTCGGAATCATGATCAGCTTTAACAAATGCCTCACTTGTAGCAGCAACAATTTCTTCAGAAGTGACCGAGGGGGAGACAGAAGATACAGAAGATACAGAAGACACAGTTGATAACCGTTTATTGGTTACGCTTGCCATAGCAGCAGCAGCTAATGCAGCCACAGAAGGATCCTGAGAGGAAGTTTCACTAGGCCTTCGAGATAAAATAGTTGTCTCTGCACATTGACTACCTTGACGAGACTTGGGCAACGTACTCGGTGTAGGTGGTAACGGCGTGGAAGGCGCTGAAACAAAGCTAATATCAGAAGACTCAATGGTTAATGGAGGAGGAGTCTGCTGCTGCTGCTGCTGCTGTTGTTGTTGTTGTTGTTGTTTTTTATTAGTTACAGAAGAGCCCCAACCTACAAATCGTTTTAATTGCTGTCTAAAACTTTCTTTCTTTTTGACTTCTTGCTTCATTGTACTAGTATCGTATTCCATAAAGCTGTCTTCAGAAAAAATAGTGGGTTGCGAAGAACGACGACCTACTTGTTTTGAAGACGAAAAAGAAAAAGATGTGTTTTGTTGCTGCAGATGATTATTAATTGTAGAACCAGAAGGTCTCCTGTTATTATTCTCTTGCTCCGTTAAACGTGGTGGGGGCTGTTGTTCAACAAGAAGTAGACTACTCATGACACTCGGACGGCGCTCCCCAATTCTAGGGGTATTGTCCATCAAAATATCGAGTATACTAGGTCTTCTGTCTGATAGCCGAGGTGAAGGATGCTCTTTGTCTAAACATTGTTGCTGCTGCTGTTGTTGTTCTGGGCGAGACTTTTCTAATAATGGTTTATGACCTGCTCTGCGTAATACAAACAACAAATCACTTGTAATAGGCCCAGAGCTAGTCGACGCCTTTTGTTGCTGTAATAAAACTATCGACATTAATTGATTTGGGTCTAGTTCGATTTCTATAACAAAAAATAAATGAGCTCCCTTTATTTCTCCTTTTTTTTTTCTGTGCATGCTCCTTACCTTGTTGATTACCCCGTACATACATTTTGTAGCCAACTAGGTCGCGTTGTTCAAAGCCGTTCTTGTTACCGCCGAAATAACCAAATGCTTGTGTATCAGGCACATGAAATTTTTCCAATGCAAAGTTAATGACATCGCCAATATGGGATTCTTGTCTGACTGGAATGATTTTGTCCATACGGTCAATTTCCATTCTTTTCTTTTTCTGTTGATGTTCAGGATAAAGTGACACTTTGATGTATAAAAGGCCCTCTCGTTCATGTGCGCGCTTGATACGACGGTGTAAATAGAACCGAATCACCGAGTCTTCATCATATGAAGTTTGTTCGTAGTTGCTAAAGCTACTTGACCGAGGTCGACGTGAAGGTGCTGTAATAGAAGAAATAGATTGTTGAGATATACGACGAATGTAAGAAAGCGAAGGCATAGGCGTTGTAAGAGAATCTGTCAAAGTCTTGAAGATAGAGAATGGTTTGTCTTGGACAGAAAGAATATATTCATCGCCATCCATGCCTTGAACAGCCAGATAATATTCAATAGTCGTATCATTGTTGGCATGAGGTGCTAACAATTCAAATTTAGTCGTTGCTGTCTTGAGTAATTCATCTGCTGTTGTAGACTGCGAAATTGAAAATGCATGAAACAACGGGCCTTGACCAATATTGCCTGCAAACACTCGCAATTCCATTTTTGGTTCCTCTTGTGATTCGTTTGCTCCTATAGGTGTTTCATGCTGGATCAGATTTTGTTCTGATGGACCTCTTTCCTCACTCCATCGTTTTTCATGCCATTCTTGACTCGCATCTTCCATCATCATTTCACTGTACTCACTGCTCTGTCTTTGTGTGATCTGGTGATCTTCCTCTTGTTCTTCTTCTTCAATGTCATCATCATCATCTTCTTCAATAAGTGGCTCATCTTGATCAACTTCAGACTCTACCTCATAATGAAACACAGTATACATGGACTCGTCTTCAATACAGACTTGACGTGGAGGAGCAAGAGGATGTTGTGATATCAAGGCACTATGTGTATCATGTGCTGAAGGTGAAGTAATTTCAATATTTCGATGCTTATTTAACCTTGCTAATCGCTCATAAGGTGTCTAGATACAGCATTCAGTTTTCTTTTGACTGTAATCTCCTTCAGTTCTTACCTCTATATTCTCGGCGGGAATGTAACCCACTTCATGCGTCTTGATGACTTCCACTAACCACCAATAAATGTTTGTATCTTCCATTAAAATCAATGCATCTCCTTTTACCACAGATGCTTGGCCTTCCACTGTAGCAACAAATGTATGTAGCGCGTATACTAGATCAAAATTAATATTTTCGTCGGGAATACTAGGCGAAGAAGACATGGATGACACATCGTCTTCCAATATTTGTTGTTCAGACTGCCACATGTATTGTTCTTCGTCCACTTCTTCCAACTTCTCTGATGCAAAAGGCGATGAAAAATAACGTGTTGTCATAAGGAGAGAGATAAATATGTAATTTATTAGAGAGAAGGAGGGAAGAAATAAGGAGAAGGGATGTCAACAGTGAATAAGATAATAAAAAAGTGAAAAGAGAAAAAGAAGAGAATAATAAAAAAAACCACAAAGAATTGTACCATAAAGAATATACATCTCCTTTTTTTTTTCTTTTGGCTAAAAGGGGGACTATCGCGTGGGCATATCAAAAAAGGGCGAAAAGGGGATCCTCAATTGAAAAATGAGGAGAATTTGCGCATATTTTTTGTAAGAAATCGTCTGTTTTTCTTCTTTTTGGTCGGTTGACTAAAACAAACACAAATAAATAAAAAACATAATTCAATATATACTTACCCTGGTAACGACCTTGGTAATGAAGGCAAAGCACCAATTGCACCATACGATTGGCTTAATAAGTTCTTTGATAGTCGACGTTCGGGATGATGATAATATGTGCCCACGTTGTCTTCCTCTTCTTCTTCATCTGTATTTCCTCCTTCTTCCGTTTCATCATCTTCGTCTTGTGGCATTGGTATCGTGGTAATGAGTTTGCTAGGAGTAGATTGACTCATGGTTGGTATATTTCTTGGTTTTGGTTGCTCCTGTAAAAGAGGTTGATTTTCATTTGGTTCATCTAATCCTAAAATGTTACTTATTAACATAATGATTCTTTATATACCAGATATGATTTTACTTGGCTGTTGTTGCTTCATCATGACAGAAGCTGATATGGACGATGATGAAGTGAATGAATCCGAAGAAGATGTATTACTCATAGCATTATGATGGTCTTTTTTGACAATTGATCTATCTTCATACCCAGCTCTCACAGGCAACCACAGTTGTGGTAACACACCTAATAAGGCCGGATGACCGTACTGTTTCATGCCCGTATTTAAGATACCATTGAGAAGCGTCATAGGCGGTTCCCTGAAATCTGTAAATTTACGTGGATCTGCTACATAATCGTCTTCATCCAATACAGTACGTCGTTTTCGGTTTCTCTTCATAATGGCTGTATTGTTACTTGATTCAGCTGTTGTTGTCTCTGGAGCAGTTAGTTGCGGTTGAATATCCGTAGGACTTGTACGATAAATAGATTGAGTATCTAAAGCAGTCGTCTTCATCGGTCCTAATTTTTCTGAAAGTAATTGGAGTGGTAAGAACTGGGTGCTGCGTTGGTATGCTCTATCCATCATAAACTTGTATGCTACTGTCAGGAAAATTAGAGGAATACATAAAGCAGCAAGAGGATACGACTTGTTCAGTGTAAATAGTCCAGCAGATGTCAATTCAAAGATCAATAAACCAATGATTATACGAGTAAATACCAAGGGCCACATACGGCCTGCTACTTCATATGAATGAAAATAGACATAGAGGAGTTGGTATTTGCATACAAGGTAGGTCATGGCGAAATAAATCACACCAAACACTAAAATGAGTGGAGAAATGGTGGAATAGACCAAGATGACGACAAACATGAATACAGGTACAGGGTAGCCCCATCCAAAATTGTACATGCGAGGGACAAAGACTTCAGCATAATCACGGGGTGTCTTGCAAAGGAAGGTACGGTAGAATTGTTGAACAATAATAGGGCCGATTTGCAGCAATTGAATAGGGCAACTAGAAAGAGGTAAATAAACAAATACACCAAAACAATACTTACAGCATAATGCCTTGAAGAACAGTATAGTTGATATAAAAGGGTGCAACTTCAGGTAATTTAGAAGCAAAGATATTGGCAATTTTGATAGGGTCTTCAAAGATGTCTTTTTGTGATTTGAATAAAGTACTTGTTACTGTAATGAACAACAAGACATTGGCGAACAAAAAGAAAAATTGCCTACGAATCACAATTGAGTCCCACTGCTCATATGTGCATAACTTACTTTGCAAAACAAGATTCTTCAGATTCACTTCTTGTGGTGAAACCTTCAATCACACTCAGACTATTGAATATCAATGGTAGGATGGAAAAGAAAATAACAACACCTAGTGTAGGTATAAAACCTGCAACAATCTGATTCAAAATCTTGTTCTTTTCAGCCAACTTGAGTAACCAAGGGAAATAGGCCTTAAGTGATTTTGTTGATGTTAATGCAGATAAATAGTTACAGGGAATTGTCCATGAAAATACAAGGAATAACAAGATGAACATGATCAATGCTTTTCGAATGACACGCTCTCTACCATGCATAGCAATGTTCTCCCAGAGCACATCGCGCGGTTCAGGCGCTAATTGAGCTCGTAATCGGAACGGTGTAGAATCAATCAAGACTTGTGATGCCACATAAGCACTGATGGTTTCTTCGAATGTCACAAACCCTACACTGGTTGGTAAAAACTTGCCTACTTTACGCGCTTTGACGACCAATTCATCCACTTCATCAAATTTTTCAGTATAATAGTCAATAGCGTCTACTTGAGGTCCACAGATATAGCCTTGCTGTATCATAGGTCTTTCACGAGCCTTGAGATAAGTAGGCAGTGTATCGTTCGAAGCACACTGAGCTTCGCGCGCATCTTGGTAATTCAAAATATCTTCAGGATCATAGGCTGGATCTTCGACTGGGTTGCCCAAGTAGTTTGTATAAGCTGTTTCCAACTGTCGCAAATGTTGAGTGCGTTCCTTAATGAATTCCAATAAACGTTCGACATGACGAATCAAATGAACCGATTGAACAACGCCAATACCCAATTTTTCAAAATATTCTGCTAATTTACGATCTGATCTAAGGTGAGGGGGTATGCCTGTAATCAACAAGGTGCGTGCAGATAACGTCTTTGCCTTACGCAGCAGAAATTCACGTCGGATACGTACATAGTCACGGTAATTCAGAAACGTAAAATAGAATGTAGCAAACACAAACAAGTAAGTAAAGAACAAATAAACCCAGAGAAAAGAAACCGAATGAGCGTTAAAACTAGTGTTGAGTTTGCTGGCAAAGAAATCATTGTGTTGCATCGAAAGTGTATAAAGAGTACCATTGGGTTGTTCTGGTTGAGTACCATTACTGAAATTACCACCCATTTTGCTGATAGGATAAAGTACGACTGTACCAAAGAATCCACAGAAACCAAACAGTTTCACACTCATCAACAAAAATTGAAGCATCTATTAAGGTTATCTCTAAATGTTACATCAAATTATCTTTCATACCACAACAGCATCTAATCCAACTTTATCCATCACGACAGAGTTTGGTGTCTTGAGTAAAGGTAAGATCCAGCCAAAAAAAGAAGTGGGTAGTTGGTCGGGTGCGTGCCTATAAAAAAAAGTAGTTTAAATATACATAGTGTATTGGCGTCATTTTTTACTTTCTCATACGAAGTCTTGGCGAATAAATACCACTCCATCTAAAACAAATAAGTCAAAGTCAACTACATGTTATTTTTACCTAACACGCAGAAAACAAAATAGTAGAAAACAGACAACACCTACACTTGTACAAAGAATAAGTTGAGTAACAAAACCTGTAGGGGATTTGGATGTTTGAGCAGGTGAACCGGGAAGTGGTTCTTCGTCTTCACAAAGAAATTTAAATATCCATACGCAAGGGAATCCAGCTACTTTTAAGCTGGAAGAATTGGTGCTAGGACTCACTAGCTCTTCCATAGTATACAAAAAAGATAAAGAAGAAAAAAAGAAGAAAAAAAAACTGGGATTTAAAATAGTTGAAACAAAATCCGTGATTGTCATACCGTTTTGTGTTACACTTATGTCATGCAGTAGTTGAATATCGAAAAAGCTGTATTTGACAAATAAGCATTGTACTTTAAAAATATCCCAAAAAAGAAAAGCTTTACTATACTTGTAGATAAAAAGAACTACATCTATTTTATGCTAAAATAGTCTCTAACGTTTTTTAGAAAAACCATCAAAAACTCAAAAAGGTTTACTTTTCTTCACTTTCATGCAACCATTTTCCTTCTATTATTACACATTCCCATATATACAATGCTAGAGCTTAAATTGCTCTATTTCTATTATTTTTAATCATACTAATCTTTCTACGATGAGGATCTACTAGTTTCAGCTCAAAAATGACTTCTGAGCCAGCAAGTCGGTCGTCCATCACACCATGAATTCTATCAGTCGAGTCAGGTCGAAGACAACGAATGTTGTTTCCTGGTATCACTTGAAGTAAGTCACCCTATAGCATATCATGAGTCGAACCGACATCTTTATGTATTTACTTACAGTATCCATATGGCGTACTTCAATAAAGTTGGAATTAAAAGCAACAACATAGGGGAATCTAAATGCAAAAGCAGTGGGATTTCCTTCCCAAGAAATTGACCAATCCTTTCGAACACGTTTACCCTTTTTATCAATATAAAATGCGAGTTCTACAAAATATGATAAATAACCATTACCCTATAGTGTATGATGACACACTTACCACTGTAGCAAAGTAAGATATTGCCATCTTTATGTCTAAACATAGAGATTGGCTTCATATTTTCATGGGATGCCAAAACAGCATTGTTGCTTTCATCGTTAGGATCCAGCACACTCTGTACTTCAGCCGAACTCAAGTTGACCATTTGGAAACCTCTAGCGCTACCCACACATATAATATTCTTAAAGAATTGAATAGAAGATGCTTCACCAGGAATATAGAGATCTTTATAGGCTTTCAAGGCTTCATTGTTACCACGTATCAAACGGCTTAGGTTCTTGTTCTTCTTTTTCTGGTTTTCTTTTGTGGTCTCGTAAGGTTCAAGAGCTCGGATGGTAGAGGTCATGGCGTTGTTACGAACAAAACAGACCAATGTTTTTTCGACACCTTCGGCCGTTACATGATCTTCTTGTGTTGTAGCTGAGGTGGCAGATTTGTCAAGGATCTTACCGACCTTAAAGAACGAGACATGGCTACTGATTTTACGGCCTCGTTTCATGCCTGATTCTGTTGAAAGTAGTGTGTCAAGTGAGTAGGTATACAAGATTTTGTCAGCTAAGACCAAGATCAGGTTGGATTGTTCAAGAATATCAATCTGGGAGACTTTATCCATGGCCAAGATACGAATCAATTCATCACCACTGCCTTCTTTTTTCAGATAGACACCTTGATCGCCACCCAACACGAGTGATCTTCCATTTTCTAACACAGAGATTAATACACCATGTCCATTACAACAGATACTTACCAAAGACAGCTGTACAATTGACCTTGTTAAAGGTAGAGAAGAAGTTTTCATTAATAGGCTGAACATTGAATACCTTGTGTTTCTCTACCAAGGCTTTCCGTTGTCCTTCAATTTTATCAACCCATTGTTTACGTGTGGCCAGTGTAGAGGCATACAATGTGAGTGGTCCACCTGAGTTTTGTTTGCCGAGATGAACAAAGGAAATAGGATATCCATTCTTTGTTTGAAGCATGGTTGTGTTAGTATGGGTATGAGTAGGCGTGGTATGTTGAGGTACAGGATGCATGTCGCTGGATGCATTGCTAGGTCTACCTAAAGGAATAATTGTGCTGGCTCGCTTAGTATGATCCGGGAACGTAAGTGACAAAAGGGCTAATGGAATAGGCTTTCGATACAATTTGTATTTTTCTTCGTTTTGTTTAGGCTTGATGATTAATAAACAATGGTCTAAAAGGTATACTAATACTTCTGAAGTATCTGATCCAGAGCCCTTCTTCCAGGTACCTTTCATAATTATTTGTCGATTTGAAGCTGTCAAGTCCAAATCCTGTTTGATATCAGACAATGTAATAAGCATATAAACAATTACTTACAAAATGAGAAATGTTCTTGTTGACAAGTCGTTCATTCAACAATTGTAAATTAAATGCGTTTTCTGTACGTCCTGTTTCTCGGTTCACATCTTGTAAGAACTTGGCAATGATCGACATAACTCTAGGAATCGTTTCCTGATCTGGATGATCTTGAGGCGTATGTTTCAAAATTTCTCTTAGCAAGAGATTATATCGACCCAGACGTGTAGTGGGTTTCGTAAGGTATCCGTTCAGTTCCAATTTACGCGACTGAGGTAATCGTTCCGTCTTGCTGACAAATTCAGCAAAGGATGGGTTGGTAGACTTCTCAGTCTCAAATGCATATTTGCCAATAATTTGGTGTGCACCATAACGCACAAAAGGTTCAAACTGAGCTACATGGGCAAGCATAATATCACCGATTTGATTCACTATCTTGTTTTTGGATTGGCGTTCCAACAATGCTTTTGACAAGTTGGTATTGACTTGATGTACTTCCATAATATTCCAAAAAATAGCACTCACAAAACCAGTTCGATCCCCTGTTACTGTTTGATTTTCATTTGAAAGTAAAGGATCAATCCAATACTATGTAAATGTCAATAGATAGAAACAGCATTGTTAATGATGTTACCTCTTTAATATAAGTCAAATCATCCACGAAATCCTTTTCGGTATAAACAAGTTCAAAAATATTTTCTTGTCTCTTTTTTTCATCTTTACTGAGTGAATCCAACACAGACTTGGATACTGTGTTAATCCACAGTCGATCCTCTTGCTATCGTTTTTAGAATTAATACAGACAGACAATACACAGTTTACTCTTTACCCCAGATATCAAAGAAATACTTCCTTCTCGAGAATGTCCCTTTTCAGAATGTGCTGAGCTTCTTTTGGCTTGTTCTTGTCTTCGAGGACATCTTGAAGAATAACACAATTTATCTCTTGTACACGTAGGTGAATAACAATCTGTCAAGAGCGTAAACACACCATTGGGCAGTTCTTCTTGCAAAGGCTTTGTAGAAGTTAAAGCAGCAGCAGCAGCAGCCACCAGAGGTCCTGCAATACCACTTTTGGGTCGCATACTAAACTTGGATTCATTAAATTGATAGAGTTCTTGACTTGAATCACGTAATCGATACTCATAATTGACATCATGAAAAAACTTTTGTGCGTCCAGTGCACGACCTAACAGTAAGGCCAAGTTGCGATCATTTGATTTAATAATGAAAGCCAGTTTGTCCTAAACGTGTGTTACAAACAAACAGTATCTTTTTTTTTTTGGTTACTTACCACTGCTTCTTTACCGTCAAAGCAATCCTTGTACTTGATACTATCTTTGGTTTTAGTGGTGGTAATTATACGTTCTTTGAATGTCTCGGCTACTTTGGAAAGTAAAGCAGGATAAACCACAGGTAGTTTTTCTTTGATAGAGACGGGTTCATCTACCAGTGTTGCTGAAATCATGTTAGATGAAGTGGAGGTAGAAGAGGACGAGGCAGACAAAGTTCGAGGCAAATTAAATGACCTTGAGGTAGGCACTTTCTCCAATGACATTTTATCCTTTTGTGGTGGCGAGGGTGAAGCAATCGGCATGTTGTAAACACTTTCAGCTACTCGTTTTCTACCTGGTAATGCCAATGTGTTATGATGTCTTCCAGCCAGATGAGAAATGGCAGAAAGTTTAGCGCGCATGGGAGCCGTGGACCGAGACAGTTTCGATAAAAGACTGGTACCACTCACGGTTCTGATACTGCCTGTATCTGGATAATGGTCTCGAACAGGCACAAAAGGTTCCAATTTTTTCTTTTCGCCTCTGAAAATGGAACCTGACCTCGATACTTTCTTGGCAAATGAATTCAGACTACGTCCCTGAAGACGATCATCGACCGTGCGTACAGAATGAATGGATCTCCCATCCATTTGTGTCCGTAATGAAATCACACTGTCCTGAACAGAATAGATGCTGCTGTTGTCTGTCTCGAGTTTGGTGTAAAGGGCACTGTCTTCGGGTCGATAATCGAGGACATCGCCCGCTGCTTCTTCGTATTCGTCTTCGTATTCAAGTTCGTCTGCATGGTCATTGTCCTGAAGATATCGACTGGATTGATAATATCTGTCTCGAATGGCTGCAGAAGGTGTGAGTTCAGGGTGGATAGTATCGGGGCATGTAAAGTAAGCCAATGAGCTGAGATTGTCAAAGGTGTAACTACGCTTGTGATCCACCATATCTTGTTGACTAATCGTACTATCTGTAGAGGCATTCGAAGGTAAACGATAGCGACTATAGATATTGGTTGAAGAGGGTGAAGTACGTAGTGTTCTTCCTTCTTCCAAAGGTGATGAAGTGTCTGGATGTTGCATCGCAAGTCAAAAAAAAAAAAAGAGAGAAAGAAAAGAAAAAAAGAAAGATTAATAAGTGGACTTTAAATTAGACAGCTTAATTTTTGGTTATCCATTCTTGTCTTCAGAACACTTGAAAGTTGGCCATTTTTAACTAAATTCTCGTTCAAGACATTACACAAACTGTAATTACAAAAAAAAAAATAAACAGTCTTGGGGTAAACTTTAAAAAGGAGAAGATGTTCTGGATTTATGTTTATTTGTTTTGCCGTAGGAGGAATATCAAGTATAGCATCTGTCAAATACAAAAAAAAAAAAGGTACATACTATGTTTGTGACCAATGAAAATGTTGAATCTGAAACTTTTTTTTAGTTGACAACACCGTTGCTTAGCAACCACTCATTATATTGCTAAAATACCCCTCATATGTGCAAGCGGCATGAATTTCTATCTTTTTTTCCTAACTGAATTTGGAAAATCCTTAACAATCCATCACTACCAAAATGACCTATGCCTCATTCTATTACTCGACCAATCAACGCGCTCATTCTTTGATTTTTTTTTCTTTCTTTCTTCAATCATGTCTAGTTTATTTGAGATACCAGACCACTACCTTGTCCATCAACAAGACAATATCTATACTATTTCAGCAGCTTCATTTGTGGCTTGTCTAACAGCATATCGCCAATCGCCTTTACCCAATGACATCTTATTCCCTTGGCTTCATGGTGTTAATGGACAGAACAATCAGCAAAACTTGTTTTTTGGTGTCAGAAGATGTCTACCTCCTAACTATCGTGGACTGATAGTGTTGCATTGTGGGGATCCACACAAAGCTCGATTGGTAGATACTGTCTTACCAGATCAAATCATAAGAGAAAATGAGTTTTTACAGACCAGCACAACTCAAATCAACCTTCGAAGTTTTGGTGAACAACCAGTACGGTTTGCCGCTCTCTCTGATATTGTACTGTATGGAACTGAAGCACAAACACTTGCCAGTCAAGTAGCACATGCACAGACCACGTTCTATGCTTCTCGACAGCTTGAATTGAGTCAAGTACAAAAGACAGCAGGTAAAAGAGCTGTCAGCAATGCAAATCAAATGGTATACAAGACAATTCTCATTCAAGGTAATTTCGTATTGAGTGGCACTTTACTGATGATGCATGTTAGATGATTTCTCCTTGTTTGAAAAAGAGTATCCAGAATTAGTAATGTATGATTCAAATGGATTGATTGTACACCAAATTGATTTCCAACAACTTGAACTTGCTCAAATGAGAGACATGAGTAAAGCAACAGAAATCACGCCGAATGTTTGGGTAAACAGCTGATATATATATATATATATATATATATATATATACATATACATATATAGACACACATATACTCATCTTAATAGATGGGGAACACACAAGATGCACCTTTGGATGATGATGAGGGTAGCGCATTCTCTATCTGTATTGAAGCACATGATTTAGCAGATATGCCATTACCTTCTACGCTTACATTGGCCCGAGAAATACTGAAAGATACACGCCAAGAAGTGATTCATTTTGATGTGTATGGTACAGGTGTGCCTACAGATAAACCCGCTTTTGATGTGTTCTATAGTCGACTGATGAGTTTAATGGAGTTTATCAGAGAACAGACAGAGAACAATCACCGTATTTTGATTCATTGTTCAGATGGATACACCGAGACTTCTTTATTTGGTCTCTCTTGGATCATGTATTACTGTCAATTGTCTTTACCTAAAGCCTATCTTTATTTACAACAACGTCGTTCATTCTTTGTCTATGCAGCTGATTTATCTACCCTAAGGCAGATTGAACAAGCCTTGTTTGACCAAGAAACAGTCGAGCCTGAACCAAAGCGTAAAAAGAGTATTCCCGATAGACCTCATCGCATATTACAGTCAGATGCTTATCTCAATACAGTCTCGAATGAACTAGACGAAAAACTACCAGATTATGTCTATGAACAATTGCAGTTATCCCCTACACCCAAAGAACAACAGTTGCATCCTTGGTTTTATTCCCCTCGCTTTGAGGGTTCATTCCCATCCAGAATATTGCCATTTTTGTATTTGGGCAATTTAAATCACGCAACCAATCCTGAGATGCTCAAGGTACTTCAGATCACACACGTGGTGAGTGTGGGCGAGAATGCAGACTTGTCAAAGAAAGACTTTGAATTACTGTATCTGGACAACTTGTATGATGATGGTATTGATTCCATACGGGCTAGATTAGAGACAGTAGAGGCCTTTATTGGTAAAAATATACAAATGCTTTAAATCAAACACTCATATTTCTGTTAGAGGATGCACGTCAAAAAAAGGGTATTTGTTTGATTCATTGCCGTGTAGGTGTCAGTCGAAGTGCTGCTATTGCTATTTGTTATGTGATGAAACACTTGAATTTGGGTCTTGTTGAAGCTTATTTGTTTGTTCGTGCTCGTCGATTGAATGTGATTATTCAGCCTAATCTCAAATTCATGTATGAAATGCTTCAATTAGAACAACAGCGTTCAGGTACAATAAGAATGACTTGGCCTGTATTATGTAATGAAATCAACCATTTAAATGCCCTGTACAAAGATTGCTTAGAAGCGGAGAAATAAAATAGATCTATTTCACATATTCAAGTAGGATTGACTCTATAAAGAAAGAATACATATACTCTTGTCTATCTTTAGATCTACTAGAATAGTAGATACTATCAAGCATTGATTCTACTCAATATATAGTTGCTACAAAATAAAATAAAATAAAAATAAAAAAAGGGTTCTAGCTCATTTTTAATTGGGTTTCAAAATTATATATACATATATATTTTTTCTTCTTTTCTTTTTCTTAGTATTGCTTATAAAATGAACAGGACGTTTAATCCAAACGACTATCCTGTTGTGATTGGTATTGATTTTGGTAAGCTATTTGAAAACAAACAGTAATAGTTGACTCACTTTTATAAAGGTACCACTTTCTCTGGTTGTGCCTATGCTTATACACAAAATGAAGAAGTAGTTGATATTGTACGATGGTAAGTTTCATCTCGCTTATTCATCTTTTCTTTTTTTTTTTAAAAAAAAACTCTTTTTGTTAGGCCTAAACAAAACAACAATGTCTATCCCAAGGTAACAGAATAGATGAGAGTTCATGAATACTAAGCCATCTTATAGACACCTACTTTGAATTTCTATCAAGGCAATTCAAGTCAAATGACACAATGGGGTAATGCTGCTCGTGTCGAAATGCAAAGACCCACAGCCCGTAATTCTGTCTTGTTAAAACAATACAAGCTTTATCTGGATGAAAACATTGCTAAGGATTTGCCTCCCTTGCCTAATGGACTGACTATTGTGGATGCTATTGCAGACTATTTAAGCGCGTTTCATGAACATGTCGTTAATGAGCTCAAAAAGGGGTTTGCTCGTAATTATGGTCAACATCAATTTAGATATGTAAGTTTGAATCCATATCTATGCCTGACTCATTTATCTATGCCAGTGTCTTACAGTGCCTGCTATGTGGTCTGACAGGGCCAAGAATACCATGCGTGATGCAGCTATCAAGGCAGGCCTGATTGATGAAACAGATCACCGTGATCGACTGATGCTGATTAGTGAACCTGAAGCAGCTGCTCTCTACTGTGAAAAGAAATGCGAGCAATTCAACCTAAGACACGGTGACAAATTCATGATCTGTGATGCAGGTGGTGGTACTGTGGACTTGATTGTGTTTGAAATTGATGAACACAGTGGCAGAAAACTCAAGGAATCCACCAAGGGTCATGGTCAGTCCTGTGGTTCTGTCTTTTTGGATCGTCGTATGCGTAAATTGCTGAAAAAGAAGTTCAAGGAATACTTGAGTAGCATTCCTGCTTCTGCTTTTGAGACCATGATGGATACCTTTGTAGACCTCATCAAACCTCAATTTGATGGTATTGAAGATCAGTTTATTTCTTTGCCTGCTTCTATGAATCTCGGTTCACTTAATAATCCTGCTATTGGATTAGAAGAAGGCATGCTCTGTTTGACAGCAGCTGAACTCAAATCAGATGTGTTTGAGCCTGTTGTTAAGGAAGTCTTGAACTTGATTGAAGATCAATTGGTCAAGGCAGGCTCCTTACAAGCTGTGTTCCTTGTAGGTGGTTTTGGTTCAAGTAATTATCTGTTTGAGCGTGTTCAACAAGAGTTTGGTTCTCGTATTGGTCTGGTAGCTGTCCCCCCTCGTTGTGAATTGGCTGTGGTGCGTGGTGCTGTCTATTTTGGCCTGAATCCTCGTATTGTGACTACCCGTATTCCTCGATACTGGTATGGTATTGACACAACCACCACGTTTGAAGAAGGCATTGATCCCCCCAGTTACAAAATCATCCGTGCTGATGGTTCTGTACGTTGTGACAATCGATTCTCTGTCTATGTTCGTCGTGGACAACCCTTGGATATTGATAACTGTGTCAGCAAGGACTTTTTTGCTTATTATCCTCATCATACCACATGTACGCTTTATGCAGCAGATACAGAAGAAATGCCTCGTTATACCACCAGCCCTGGTGTACGCAAAGTGGCTAATTTCACTATTCCTATGCCTGCTTTGACAGGTGTCATGGAAGGTGAAAAAGTAGATTTGTCCATCAAGATGTATTTTGGTGAAGTAGAATTAAGAGTAGAAGCTGTGATTCGGGGTAAAACATATGGCACAACATGTACTTTTGATACAGATTAAAAAAATAACAACATACCCCCTCCTTCTTTACTTTTATTCTAAATCTTTAAATTCGGATTCTGCTAAAGCTAGATCTGAATAACGCTTACGAGCCTCTTGAATGTGTTGCTTCATACTGTCTGATAAACTGAGTTGTTTCTTAATCACCAATGTATGCATAGTGCGTAGTGTCTTTTCAACAAGGTCTTCATCTTGACTATGTTGAGTCAAAATAGCATCTAAATCCTCTAAAATGTCACATTGGATATCGTTTTCAAAGATCAAACTGTTGTATAAAAATACTACTTTTCTCAAGACAGTGGGATTGTCTGAATGTAAAAAGTCTTGAAGGATTTGAAAACCTTGGTGTTGATCGAATGCCTTGACACCAGCTGCATTGTGTTTAAGGAAACCAGAAATAGCATACAGTGCTTTGTTGCAAACAGATGGTTCAGAATCTTTTAACAATTGAATCAAAGGGTCTAATCCTTGGTTCTCCAGAAACTAATTACGGTATGAGCTAGGGTATTGAAATGACCAACTTACTGCTTGTTGTGCTTCAGGATTGTTTTGAACTGCTGTACCACACACCCAAGCAGTTCCTTGACGTATTTCAGCTTCAGGAGCACTCAATTGTTGAATAATACCAGGCCATAATTTCATATTCTCAATGTTGCGTGCATTATCAATACCCTCAATCAAAAGTTCCAAATTATCTAATGCAATCACCTTGTTTTCCAAGGTATCGTTAGGATCATTGATACATTCAACCGATTCTATGAATCTGGTTAGAAAGAATCCAAGTTGATCGAAAGAGAGACTTACCTCGCATACGAGTGGCATCGTCTTTACCGAGAATAGCTTCAAGTACTTTGGGATCATATTTTTGAGGATCAGGCTGAGCTTCTCCACGTCGAATAGCTGCTGCTTGTTCAGCTAAAGAGCTTTGGTCACTGTTATTCACTGCCCACTGAAGTAACTTTTCCATAGTATAAAAAGAAACAAAAAAGAAAGAAAAAAACACACTACTTTATTCTGGTGGTTTCTAGCATTTTTTTTTTAGAAGAAAAAAAAAAAGAAAGTCACACAGACTTAAGGATAACGACTCATGATTTCAGTGGATCTTCGAGGCAAAGGTTCTTGAGGTGGTGGTTCATCCCCACTCACAAACTTTGTAAGGCTACCTTCTAATGTACCCCAAAGAGAAGAAAATGCCTTTTTCTGGAATTTAGGTTTAAGCCAAGATTCACTATCAACAGCATGAGACCTCCACATGAGTTATTGAATAACCTTACCCGCTCTTTTTGCCCGTGGCTGCTTCCAAGTGTTGTCCCAAGACAGCTAATTGCTCTACAAGATGAGAGTGTAAATAAGGGCTTTGTGCAGTTTTGATGCATTGATCAATGGCTTCATAATAGCGTTGCGCTTCATCCATATACCCATCATCTGCCAATCGCCATGCATGAGCCAGTTTATAACCTTGTAAGAAAGGCATACAGGTAGTTGAAGTTGTAGAGAGAGAATGTACAAATTCGTAGATTTCAGATAATTCTGTTTCTTTGGCATGATGTGTACCTAACAATGTGAACCGTACTTGAGGTGTATCTATACCTGAATGGACAGCAAAGGGAGATGCTAATACATAACTTAACAAAGTAAGAACCCAACAAACAGATGTATTTACTTACCAGACATGAGCTGCTTCTAGCCATCCTTGTTGTGATAAAATATCCCCTAACGCAGCCAATGCTTCTACATCTTTAGGTGTTCGGTTAGCCAAGATAATAGCCACTGTATTTCTCCAGTACACCAATTGTTGTCTATCTATAGCAGGAGTCACCGTCTTTAACCCATAAGGTGTATGAACATGCTGTATATCTAACTTGATAAATTCTTGCATGGCACTTGCACCTGCACCTGAAAACAAGCGATACATGACACGCAATGCCTGATTGTTGCCTGCAATATTATGAAATACGCGATTCAGTCGTTGATCGGGTGCAGCATTCATTTCTCGGTCAACAAACTGTTGAATGACTTGTTGCCATAGTTGTTTATCAACACAACTACTGATAATCAATGCATGAGCCCATAAATCTTCTTGAACGGCATAGTCCACAGCATCACGACGATTGCCTGCCACTAACAAGTATTCCATTTTGGCCAGTATTTGATCAGATAAATTCACATTGTCTTGATCAATAGCATTAGGGAATGAGAAATGATCTTGTTCTTCTGTTAATAAAGGAGGTCGAATGACATTCAAAATAGCTTGATCCATGGTATGTCTATAAAGAAAGAGAGAGAGATGATCTACCATAATCCCATCTTATACATACTTACTTGTCATTCAAGCTTCCTTCTGTTTCCATCATGGTCTTGATAAGTCTCCATAAAAGTATTTTGTTATCTTGAGCTTGTTGTTCAAACAGGTCCAATTGATGCTGCATATACTGACTCACTTGTTTCTTTTTCTGTTTCGTGCTCATGTTGGGATCCATCAAGACAGGACCCAAGACAGGTTGTGTTGGTTTCCGACGTCGAATCTGAACAAGGCCTGGTTTTGACTTGACGGTCGAAGTATAATAATCTGTTTCCATCCGAGGAAATGAGACAACCATTTTACCACCAAACCCCCAGCAGACAACAGGACAGCCGCGTGCTCTGTCTAATGGGTCTATGGATGGCGTATGCATCGTGGTGGACGATGGTCTTGAGGGATAATAACTCATGTGTGGATGAGCCATACTGGCAGGTGTTGCTGATCGAGAGATATGGGTTAAAGGTCGTCCACATTCCTCACAAAACTTGCTCGTTGGTTTATTTTCTCCATCGCACGTAGGATCGGGACAAGGTAACAAGACATCGGGTGTAGGTTGTCGAGAATAAGCTTGAGGGGTATAAGATGGTGCATAAGAAGGGTATGGACACTCCATGTTGGTATTAGGATCATAATAATGAACCTGTTGATGTTCATCGTAGTAATAATGAACATTAGGATCAAACTGATACCACTCTTGTTGCTGAGACATGATAAAGAAACAAAGAAAGAAAAAAAAAAAGATGACGAAAATTTTATTTCATGTCATGACATTGCCTTCACGAATGGCACGACGAATACGATCCGACATCATGCGGTCTTTACGACCGATAAGTGAAGTGGCTTTACCTACTTGACCTGCACGCGCTGTACGGCCTACACGATGAAGATAATCTACTACAGATGTAGGGAAATCATACAAGACGACATGGTCCACAAAAGTCGTATCAATGCCTCGAGAAGCAATGTCTGTACTGATAAGTACATTATGATTCTCTTCTACAGGACCAGCAAACAAGGCTAAAGATTCAGATCGACTGATGGGAGCATCTTTATAGAGAGCAACAGCATGGATGTTTTTACTCGCCAAGAATTGGTGGACCAGTTCCACTGATTTCTTGGTATTACAGAACACTAATGTCTTATCGTCCTTGATGTTCTTTTTCAACACTTCAAGTAGAGCTAACTGGCGATTGCCCTGGAACCTTTGTAGATCCACAAAGGATTGCTTTAGGTTAGGTAATGCTTTATGAAGTGAAGGTGTGGTGATCTTGACCATTTGAGGGAACAAACTATCCAATGTGCTATGGACTGATTTAGGAAGTGTGGCAGAGACAACGATCACTTTTTCTGGTGCGCCTGTCTTGTCAGCCACCCGTTGGACGGATTGAATGATCTGTCGACAATCTTGACCCCATCCAGCATCAAACAGTGAATCAGCTTCATCCATAATCAAGTAGCGTGTGTCTGCTAATGACACTGTGTGATCTTTTTGATAGGCCAACAACGTAGTGGGTGTCGTGACCAAGATGTCAATAGGGCCATTAGCCAACATGCTGGCCACTTGACTACGTGCTGTCCGACCTTCTAATCCTACTGCACGAAACTTGCTGATATGACCGAGTGACTTACAGCTCTTGACCACTTGATGTACCAGTTCTCGTGTAGGCACCAACACAATCGCACGTGGGTGATCCAATCGACGCTTGCATTTCTTTTCATCGGCCTTGAGCATATCGATCGTAGGCAACAAATAAGCAAATGTCTTGCCGGATCCTGTTTCTGCAGCCACAAGAACGTGTCTCTTACGGCGATCAAGCAGAGGAGGAATAGCCAGTGCTTGAATCTCGGTAGGTGTTGCAGATTCGTTCAAGACTGTCTTGATAGCCTTGATGGCATCAGACGATAGTTTAAGATCATCCCAGGTCTGTTGAGCTAAATGAGCAGCCAATTGTTTTGCATTTAATTCAGTGGGTGTCTTGATGGTCTCAAGTCGTCTCTTGATGGGTATATAAGGAGCATTGGATGTCTTGGGTTTATTGTGTTTAAGTGAGGCACGGAGTAAGTCACGGCGTTCTCGACCATTCATGCCATCCGGCTTTAAATGTTTAGTGAGTGTAGATATATTAGGTTTACGAAGTGCTGATCGTTTGGACTGAACATTGCAAGTTGAGGAGAAGGATCGTATACATATCTTGAGTGAAAGCATGGTTTCAAGAATTAAAAAAGACAAAAAAATTTCTCCTCTTCAATAGTTTTTTTTAAAAAAAAGAAAAATCAATAGAGTATGGAAGAGCACTCCGACTAAGCTTAAGAAGAGCATTCATAAATTAAGGAGGAGGAGGGGGGGGGATATAGCTATCAATGGATGCATTGTAACAAGAAGGATCATGGACCAATAAAGTGTTGTGAAAAGTACAGTCCCTCTTTTAAGAAATTTACTATAGACAGTCCCTTCTTGAGACTGTGACGATGTTGTCTGAGAAGAAAAAAAAAATTTTTTTTTTTTTGTTTTCAAAAGGTATAAAAAGACCTTCAAAGCTTGCATTTTTTTTGTTTCTTTACCAATCAGTAGGAAAATAATCTGTTAGCAGATGCTACGGCACTGCAACATTTATATTTTCAGATGATGAAAGCGGGTATTCGGATGAACTTCGTCATTTGATTATAACGCGCCCTGGTGGAAACACCTTTCTGATCTCATACTGATATTGCTAATACTAAAAAAAAAAAATGAAAACACACACAAGGGTTAAGCCCCCTTGCACATTTTAATAAAAGAAGGGTCGTTTCATGTTGCTTGAATTAGACATTTTAACGTTGTACCAATTATTACCATCTGTCTTAAAGTAGCTAATGAAATCATTGAATGTGTGTCTGTTTAAATTTGAAATGTAGACGTGTTCTTTCTTTTTTTATTCTTTTCTCTTTCTCTTTTCTTTTCTTCTCTCTTTTGTATTAATATGGGTAATCAAACTTCGCGTATTGATCGTGAAAGTACCACCATGGTCAATGAAGATCCTTGCCTAGACAATATTCGACAATGGCATATGAATGACACTGATGAGCCTTATAAACGACAATATCCTTTACCAGCTATCACAAATGACCATAACCGCATTAAACCAAGAAAACAATCTTCTCCTGCAGCAGTAACACATCCCACCAATACCAATAAGAGACCTGTCTTCTCTAAATTATTTCAAAGAGGCAGTAGTAAAAATTTACCCAGAAATAATAGCTATGTTGACAACACCTTTGTCTATCAACAAAGTGATCATACCCCTTTAACAAAGCAATTATCTTGTCATACTACACTTTCTGATATTCATACTTTAAACTATACCCCTACCAATGATACATTCGCCAAACATGATACACAGCGTCCTCATCTAATACATCCCCTTGCACTAGAACAGCTCGAGAATCGATCGAGCATTCGATCTAGTTCAGACTCGAGTCTATATAACAGAAACAGCCTCACAAGTAGTCAGTTAAGGCAAGTAACAGAATACCATTTAGCACAAGAACAGTCTTTTTTATACCGAACACTTGGAGAAAGAAAATACCATCATATCGAAGGCTCTACTTATTTATTACCTTGTGATGAAGAAGAAGTGGATCGACTTCATCTTCAACATTTTATGGTTCGGTTTGCTATTCAAGGGTAAACTACTCCACATAAGTCTCTGGTTATTGACAGATAACTTGTTAGAAACTATTTAGCTCCAGTCAGTGAAGTATTAAGAAAAGGTGGTCGTGTCTTGGATGTGGGTTGTGGTCCAGGTGCTTGGTCAATGGAAATTGCAGGTGAATATCCAAAATCAACTGTGATTGGTATAGACATCGCACCTATTTACCCAAAAGATATTATACCTTCCAATTGTGCTTTTTATCAATGCAACATTCTCAATAAATTGCCCTTTGAAGACAATACGTTTGATTATGTATTCATGAGGTTAGAAACATACGTGCTGCATTGATACTGATTTATTAATGCTTTAGGTTTATGGGACAAGGCATTACAGCAGATAAATGGGCCAGTGTGTTGTCTGAATTGATACGTGTTCTTAAACCCAAAGGCTGGATTGAATGGGTGGAGACAGACATTGAAATTCATCGTCCAGGCCCTATTACACAGGATTTTAATCAAAAACTGATGAAATTGATGTCTGATCATCATCAGGATCCACATATTGGTCGTACTTTAAAAGAAAGACTAGAACAAACGCATGCTTTAATAAACACGACTTCCATGTATGTCTCGTGTCCAGGAGGTCAATGGGCTGGAAAGGTAAGCAGACAGGGTGATAAATCATGTCATAACACATCATTAGCTTGGACAGTTGACAATGCAGACCTGGAAAGCCTATTATCAAGCATTTTGTCCACTCTTGTGTCAATATGGGGATATTTCAGCAGAAGAATACAGCAAGAGACTAAAGTCATGTTGGAGAGAAGCAGATGAATACAAAACATTTGAAAATATTCATTTTGCATATGCACAAAAGAAAATAAATTAATGTTTTACAAATGTCTGTAAATAAAAAAAAAAAAAAAAGGGGGACCCTGAATCGACATGAACAATGGATTTTCTCCCTTTTCTGCATGATCATGTACGTGCTTAGCACAAAATAAGTTTCTATGCTTGTTTATTCAAATAATACAACTGATTCATATCAGACTAAATGATGGATCATTTTCTCACTGTAAGGTGGCGACCAAGAAGGTAGAGGCTCTTGGAACATGTTACAATGAGGGTCTTTTTCATCAGCAAAATAGTAATTTACATAGGCTTGTTTTGGAGAAGTGATACAGTCATTATCTCCAGAAGGTGAACGTCGGTTGAATTGACGGCTTTTAAGAGCAACATACCGATCATCAAATTCAATATCAATAGCCTAAACATAAAATTGAGTCACTTGTCATCACCAGACATGACTTACATAGACAGATTGAAGACCGGCTAATGAATGAATACTGTAAGGTGTGACATCCATACTGTTCTTACTGAACCGAAAGTTGATACCTCGGATGTTCTCGGTGGCATTTAATTGACTACATATCTGAAGAATACTTTCTTCAAACTATGAACCATTTAGAGAGAGAAAGAAAGAAAAAAAAATGAAACCAAGTGGATAGTTTACCTTGATTCTTTTGTTCCGATGTAATAACAATGTAGCCAAAAAACTAATGATCATAAAAGCCGGTAAAGCGACTAAGATATAAGGATTGTTGAACTGAATCCACAAAAGATAAAAAGAAGTAGCTGCACTTAACCAGAGAAAGATCAAGAAAACGACCCAAAATAAGGTTGAACCTGGTGGAGATCTTTTCCTTGCTGCTTCATTAAAGAGGGCAACAATAGAACAAAAGTCTTGTACTGTGAGCTATTCAATATGGTTAAATTCCAAATAGATCAAATGATGTGTGCCTATTTACATTGTTCTGAAGGTCAAAGGTATATTGATCATCAAACTTCTTTCCTCTGAAATAAAGTCTGACACTTTTCATTTCCATTGTCATGATATAAAGAGAGAGAGAAAAAAAAAAGAGAGAGAGGGGGATGTATAAAGGAAAAAAAAAGATAAAAGAGAGCTAATGACTATTAAACAAACTTGGATGGAATGTTACTGCTGCCTTTATTAAATAGTTTGAACTTTATAATAGAAAAAAGGGGAAGAATATATATATATATATGTATATATATATAAGAGAGAAAGAGAGAGAGAGAAAAACAGAAAGAAAAGAAAAGAGAGGTTGATAAAAAGAAGAAAGGAGAAGATCAAATAACTGGTCTTTCTCGGATGGTTTGAAAAGTAAGCTTGTGTATCTTAAAGTATGAAGATTTATTTATTTTAACTTGTAAGTAAATAATAACAATGGTGGTTTTTTTTTTTTTTTTTTTTTTTTTTTTTTTTTTTACTATGCAGCCTAGACAGACACACTTATTGCATATCTGCGTGCTTATTAGATAAAACGCGATCCAGGTTAAAGGCAGCTATAGAATAGGATTAATTTCTAGCTCTTTCTCTTCTCTCTCTCTCTCTCTCTCTCTCTCTCTCTCTCTCCCTTATCTTTTTCCTTTCTCCTCAGATTTCATTTAGTCCCTCTCTTTATACTTTACCACTAATAAACGATAAATGTGTAAATGCCTGAGGGAAATTGCCCAACAATTCACCAGATCTGGCAACTTCTTCGGAAAACAGACCGAGATGATTACCGTAAGAAAGCATCTTTTCAAACATAACAACGGCTCTGTCTAATAATTTTCTATCATATCTTCCTGCTCTTGTCAGTGCTTCCACTAGCCAGAATGTACACATGGAAAAAGCACCTTCTAGACCACCTACACCATCATCTGTAGTCAAAAAGTTATAACGAAATACAAGGTCATTGGCAACCAATCCACCCTTTTCAGGAGGCAAAAGTGTACGGCGAATGGTGTTTAACAACCGAGGATCTGTAGGCGAAGAGAAAAAGACCAAAGGCATGATAAGTGTACTAGCATCTAGCGCTTCAGGTGATTCAACACTTTGAGAAAACATCTTGAGTTCTTTGTTGTAGCATTTGTTTTGTACTAATTCGTAAATTTCATCACGGGCTGTCATCCATTTGTTTCGGTCAGGACAAGGAAAGACACGCTTTTCAGCCAATCGTAAAGCTAATCATCATTCAACTGCTGTCCCTTACACATATATATTCTTACCTCGATCTAAAGCAACCCAACACATCACAAGTGAATACGTGAATTGTTGCTTACGGCCTCTAACTTCCCAAATGGACATGTCTGGTACGTCCCAGTTTTTACAAACATAGTTGGCAAGTTGACGAATAGAACACCACATATCATAAGAAATGGGTGAACCATATTTGTTGTATAAATAGATACCATCCATTAATTCACCATAGATATCTAACTGAAGATGATCATAAGCACCATTACCCACTCGAACAGGACGAGAGCCTCTATAGCCATCCAAATGGTCTAATTCGTACTCATCCAGTTTCTTGACACCATCAATACTGTACATAATATTCAAAGAGCCATCTTCATTCTTATACAAGGAGTCAAAAACAAAGGTAAAATAAAGACTACTTACCAAGTCACTGCACCGTTCAGAAATGTATTTCATGTATTCACCTGCTTCATGAGTAAAACCAAGTCTCAAGAAAGCATAGATAGTAAAAGAAGAATCTCGAATCCATACATATCGATAATCCCAATTACGTGGGCCGCCAATAGCTAAAACAGGATGAATACCAGTTGATCGATAGATGTGTGTGCTTACCTTCAGGAATACCAAAGGTAGGAGCTGCCACAACCGCACCAGTCTAGAATAACGATGTAAATAGGCTTACTAATATGCTTGTGATACTTACGGGTTCATAAGTCAACAGCTTTAGTGTCAATGCACTTCGCAATACATTTTCTCTCCAGCTACCTTTATATGTACTTTGAGAGACCCAATTTAACCAATACTGAGAAGTTTGTCTAAAGAGAGCGTCGAGTAAACTGATGGTCAAGGGAGGGTCTGTAGCCAATCGAAGTCGACGTTCAGCAATTGATTCTTCCTTACTCTTGTTTGCGTGTTGTTTACGAGGAGCAGGAGGTTCACGCAACACAAATGTCACTTCTTGAGTCTCTTGTAAGTCGAATTCGGCCCATACACCAGGACCCTTGTGTTCTTTACTATGTTTGTCGACATTGATCTTAATTGCAGGACAATCGAAATCACCACATCTCACTAAATGACGTAAATCTATCGTTAGATCCTTAGACTTGAACACGACGCGATCATTGCCAGTGTAATAATGTGTTTCCTCTTCTGGATACAATTGCGCTTCAAGGCCCGCAATATTCTTTTGATCTTCCGATGGATGTTCGTTTACGATCTCGGTCGTATGTTCGCTCATAGCATAATTAAAAGCAGGATAGCATTCCATCTTGAATTCGACAGTGCCACGAATGACGCGCACTTTTCTGATCACCCAAGGTAATAAAGGTTTCGTGTATTCGCGTTGTCCTTGAGCAGGAACATGCATATAATCAATGATTTCAGCTACACCATCATCAGACAAGAATCGAGTGGCTAAGATGTTACTGTTGGGCAAGTACATTTGTTTGTTGCTTGTGTGAGGCTTTCTGGGGGAGATAGAGAAATGACCGCCTTTGTCTTTATCCAGCATACGACAGAAAATACTGGGTGAATCAAATTTAGGGAAGCAGAAAAAGTCAATGGATGCATCTGTACCCACCAATGCAATGGTTCGCATATTACCAATAATACCATAATTTTCAATAGGCAAGTAGCCTCGCTTACGAACATTACAACGGGTATCTTCAAGGTTGGTTGTGGATGAGGTTTCTTGATGGTCAGGCTGATAAGGCTTGATGCTTTGACGGCGAGTATCTGCAATATAGCGAACACCATCAGGCAATTGCTCACAGGGCTTTTCGGCTTCTTCAATTTCGTACTCTAGTTGGAGACCATACGATCTATCTTTGTTATCTTCTCGATCATTAAAAGACATTGCGTTTTGTTTTATTTTAGAAAGAAAAAAAAATAAAAAAGATTAAATATTACAACACTTTTTATGCTAGTTTGACTTGCGGAGAGCCAAAAGCCAGTTGAACATGAAGTCATTTGCTAGTTGTACAAAGAAGGAAGGATTTTACCATTACATTCACCAAAACCAATGGTATATTCACCTGTGCTTGCTTGACCTGTTATCTTGACTTCATCACCATCTTGTAAAAAGAGACGTTCAACGCCATTTTCAAAAGTGATTTTATCTCTGCCACTCCATGTGATTTCTAATAATGAACCATAAGATCCTTTTTCCTACAAAAAAAAACATGGATGAATAAGTTGTTTGTCATCGCTTAGTACTTACAGGACCAGAGATTGTACCAGTAGCACCCATGTCGCCTGGTCTCATATTACAGCCATTGACAGTATGATGGGCTAATTGCTGAGTAATGGACCAGTACATATGTTTGAGATTGGAAACGGTCACAGTTTCAAATTTGGAAGATTCGGCAGCTAAGATGATTCAATGTCTCTTTTCTTTACCATTGTCACTTACGTTTGATTTGAACTTCAAGCCGAATGTCATAGGCAGAAGGCTTGTTTTCTTGAAGATAAGGTAATGGCTCAGGCTCCTTTTGATCAGGTCCGTTTGTAAGGAAAGGTTCAAGGGCGTCCAAAGTAACAATCCATGGGGAGATTGTTGTGCCAAAGTTTTTACCTAAAAAGGGACCCAATGGAACATATTCCCAGGCTTGAATATCACGAGCTAGAAAGATAACTTTTAATCGAATTGCACATCAACGTTCAACATACCACTCCAATCATTCACCAATACAAGACCAAAAATATGATCTTGTGCACGATTGATATCGATAGGCTCACCAAGATTGTTTCCTTTACCAACAAACCATCCAACTTCTAATTCAATGTCTAATCTAACAGAAGGGCCAAAAATAGGAGCCTTGGCATCTTTTGCAGGGAGTCTTTGGCCAGCTGGGCGACGAATGTCTGTACCAGAAACAATGACGGAAGATGCACGACCGTGATAACCAACAGGGATATGAAGCCAGTTAGGTTGAAGTGCATTATCTTTGCCACGGAACATGATGCCAACATTAGTAGCGTGTTCACGGGAACAATAGAAATCAGTGTAGTCACTAATATTTTGATAAGTTTGACAACAGCTTTACCTTCCCACTTACCCAATTTGAGCTGGCAAATGCATTTGGACATGAGAGAGAGGAATGAGAGCCTTTTTGCGCAATTCAGCATCATCTCTTAACTTGGAGTTGTCCTTTGACAAGATTTCTTGGATAGCAGAGCGAGTGGCTCTCCAGACAGGACGTCCTAAAGACATGAACTTGTTTAAGCTTGACTATACGATTTGATATCAATAAATTTACTACATGACAAGAAGTGCTTACCTCACTAAAGATATCACTTGCATTTTCCAATCCTTGAACATGATCCAACAAACCAGCATGAGAAATTTCAGATAAATCAAGTGCGTGGTCGCCAATAGCAGTACCAACGCGAGGCTTGTCCTAGATTTTTTTTTTTTTGATTTAGCAATGGTATTTCAAACATGAATTTACCTTTTCAGCTGTGGAAAAGACACCAAATGGGATGTTTTGGATAGGGAAATCAGATTCCTTTGACACAGATACAAAGCTTTCAGTGACAGCTGACATGTTCCTTAGAATAGAGTAATAGAATAAAGCAAAAGAAATAAGATACATTCTGGAGAGATACAAGGCGTCAATTTTATTTATACAGCCCAGATCAGCTGACCGTGGTATACTTTTTGTGATCTGGTGTGACACGAAATGTACTTTTTAACGGCTCACCGTAGTTAAGAGAGAGCTTAAATTAAATTCTAGCAAGCTTTGATTGCTGGCGTATAAAGCGCATCGTGCAAATGTTATTGAGACTTGTTAGATGGTAGCAAAGCAAAACATCAATTGTCAATCATTGATAACATACAAATTAATTAATATAAACATCTGCCTCTAAAAACCTATGTGAAATATGATTGATATGTGGAGCATTCTGTCCACTCCAAAAAGTGATCATTCTTAGATAAGCATATTGGTTCTGGAAGAACGATTGATGCAAGCATTTCCGTAAGTTTTAAAGTATGCCTAATTTATTCTGCAACTTACTTTTTTGTCTTTCACTTATATACAACATAATTTGCGCTTATGATAACCGTAGGTGCTGCTTGTGAGCCTCAAAAGTGTCAAGTGTTATCATATGATCTGCTCGTCTATATACTGAAAACGGTCTCTTTCTTTCCAATTACAATGTACAGTTGAGGCTGTATCGTCCTTTCTGAAGCCATTTAACCTTATTTCTATAGCAGATATATTCTATGTACAATTTTTACCAATACATCTATCCATAATCTTTTTGACTTTGTGCGTCTTGAGTGGTATAGAGCTTCATCATGCACGCACAAAATGACTGATGCCGGATATTGAATTTCCTTAAGCATCAAAAACCAAGCTTTTGCCGAAAACTGCATAAAGACGCGGTTATTGGGTCTTGGTGTAATGAAGAAAGTTGTAGATCTTTGCTTTTTGAGTCTATTAATACAGAGAACACAATAATTTTGCACCTAAAATATCAAATAAATAGGCGAAAACGTTTTTGAGGGGTTTCACTCTTATCGCAATACTTTTATAGTACAACTGGAAAGCAAACATGTTCATCAAAAACTAGAGCGTCTGATGCACAATTTGAGTGCCTAAAGCCGTCAATAGCTCTGTTTTTCATTCTACGGTATCAAAAAGAAGATCCAAAGTTATCAAACGAGCTTTTTTGATGACTAATATCCTTTGGTCGAATGACATTTTGGCCATTTTTCACAAGTCGTTTTTCTTAGTCCAAATCAACTCCAAATGCATACTATATGTTAGTAGTTATTATCTACAGACATTTAGCAACCCTAGCAATGAATAAGCGTGTTTTATACTTCGTTTGAGTACTTGTGGAATTCTTTGTATTTATCTTTTTTATGAATCGTTAGTTAAATCAATGCATGCAAAGTATTTACACGAACAATAAGCGTATTTCTGACTGTTGTTGATTTTTTTAACTGCGTTTATCTAAGTGAAAAAAGAAAATCGAGCAAACCAAATGTGTTGTTTTGAACTTGATGTCTCGAGTATTATTGAGAGATTTATGAATCATCTGAAGCCTTACTGTACTTCTTAACTTATAGTGAAATTGATGTAGCTTTCCACTGATTTAAAAAAAAATATGATTGTCAGTTCTAAAAAAAAAGGCGCTTTTTGTACATCAATCTCAATTTAGTACTCTATGATCTCGGTTCTCTCAATCTTATGCTGGCTTCCTGAACTGTTTTTGAAAATAATGTTGTCCATTTCTTCCGTTTGATGTATCCCTCACTTCAAATGAGACCATTCTGAATGCTTCTTTCGATATTTTATTTACTTTTTGTATGACAAAATACGTCATGATTTGTTGCGCTCAGGTATCTTTGTACTACACTTGAGGTTTCACTCTTTTCAAGGACCATTAAAATCTGTTTGCATAAAAATCATTTCAAACTCCAAACCAACAAAAATAGAACAAGGCGCAACAACAAGAAGATCACTGCTCTATCTGAGAATCATTTTTTTCCCCTCATTTTTCCATACAGTTTCCCGTCAGATAATTGAGATCACTTTGTTTGTTTTTCTTTTTCTTTTATTCATAACATGGTGAACGCCAAACAAGCAAAAAACATCCCTCACTTGTATGCCCTTACTTTGGCTGACAATGGCTCACCTACACATGATAAGACCGTAAGTTATGCAGTCCCTCAATAAAGCGCGTAACAGTCCATAGTATATTCGTATTCCTCTCTCCAAAGATGACGTGATGCTCCGTATCATTTTGAAGGCTGGTTCTTTAGCTGCTGGTGGTAAACCTACTTTGTATACCAACTATCCAGTAAGAGGGTAAGTAACATGTGTGTTTCTGGAAAGTTTTTTGTTTCTTATACGAATGTAGTGAATTTGAAAGACATACTTTTCATCCTGTCAAGTAAGTAAGCCTTTGTGCAAACCCATAACCTGATACCTTCTTGTGTGTGTATAGTTTTATCAAAGATCCTAATCTCCTTCATGCTTATTGTGATATCAAGTTGGATATTCCAGGTGCCTATCAATACAAAGTAGAATACATTGAAGACAACAACAAAAAAGTGGCCGACATTGGTTACTTTATTGCTGAACCGCGTATTGAACTGCCTCGTAGTCAAGGCAAATTGCTACCCTTGGATGGTTTAATGATTTTGTCCATGGTGCCTAAATGGATGGGTCCCATCACTCAATGGGATTCTTTGATGAAAGAAGTGGAGTATGCTGGCTACAACATGATTCATTTTGTACCACTTCAAAAACGCGGTTCGTCCAACTCACCTTACAGTATTGCTGACCAGCTTACTTATGATGACGATGTATTTGATGAAAAAGATCGCAAAAAGCCCGCCAAAGACAAGTTGGCTATTGTCCAGTCTGCTATTCAAAAGATTCGCACCAAGCATGGCATTCTCAGTCTTTCAGATGTTGTTTGGAATCATACAAGTAACAGTACCGAGTTTCTTTTGGAACATCCTGAAGCTGGTAAAATTAGGCGTTTCTATGTATTGAACAGGACATTTATTTTTTTTTTGTATGATAGGTTATAACCTTCATAATTCACCTCATTTGGTACCTGCTTATGAGCTTGATACGGCATTGATTGAGCTCTCTGGTCAAATGCAAGAAGTAGGACTTCCTACCCATGTGCAATCAGGTAACGATGCTGATAAGATCGTCGAGTACATCAAGCATCATACCCTCAAGGACCTCAAGCTATATGAATTCAAAGTCATTGATGTTGCAAAACAAGCACAAGAGATCCGTAAAGCACTTGAATTACGCAAAATCCAATGCGATCCTTCTCTTTACAAAGATGTGGACCATTTACCTACGAAAGAACGCGTTATTCTTTTTGGTAAAGATGTTGTCAAGGACGGTCATTTAGGAACTCGTTTCCACAAGTCTGTTGATATTTCTCACGCACTTTCATTCTTGTTGGCTTTCAATCATATCTCCAGCCTTAACCAAGTTTCAGAGGATCGTGTGAATGGTCTTGTGGATTCTTTCCAAAGCTTGTTGAATGACTACAATCTTCCTCTTTATGAAGAATATGATGAAGAATGTCGCATTGCTCTTGACAATATCAAAGGCCGTCTCTTGTTTACTCGTTTAGCTGAAAATGGTCCAAAACTAGGCGAAATCACCAAGACCAACCCTCTGATTGAAACTTATTTTACTCGCCTTGAAGACAAAAAAAACAAGCATCCCAAGGGCAGTATGATGTTAGCCAACAATGGCTGGATTTGGAACGCTGATCCTTTAAATGATTTTGCTGGTCCCGGCTCAGCTGCTTATCTACGCCGTGAAGTCATTATCTGGGGAGACTGTGTCAAGCTTCGTTATGGTAAGACACCTAAAGACAATCCTTGGTTGTGGAAGCACATGAAGGATTACACCGAACAAATTGCCGGTATGTTCCATGGTATCCGTATCGATAACTGTCATTCGACACCTATTCATGTGGCTGAATACTTTTTGGATGCTGCTCGTAAGATCCGTTCTGATCTTTACGTGTTGGCTGAATTGTTCACTGGTTCTGCAGAAAGAGATAATGACTTTGTGTCTCGCTTAGGTATTCATGCTTTGATTCGTGAAGCAATGCAAGCTTGGGATACACATGAATTATCTCGTTTAGCTCATCGTCATGGTGGTAAACCTGTTGGAAGTATGGATGAAGATATGGTTTGGAAGAAGGTTCCCTATGAAGGTAAAGAATACAGTCATGTACTTCGTATCCCTGTTACTAGTGGAAGTATGCCTCGCGCTCTTTTCATGGATTGTACTCATGATAACGAAACTCCTTTACAAAAGAGAACACCTCAGGTAAGTCAAAGAATTATGTATATATGGATTACTTATCTATCAATTAGGATGCTCTTCCCAATGCTGCCGTTGTTGCCTTTTCTGATTGTGCTGTTGGTAGCGTAAAAGGTTATGATGAAATATACCCTCGTCTTCTTGATATCGTAAACGAAAAGCGCAAGTACAACCCTAATCCTAAGCGTGAATCAGGTATTCTTGAAGTCAAGCACAAGTTATTAGATTTGCATATCAAGATGTGTCTTGAAGGCTATCATGAAGTGCATGTGCATCAAGAGAACGACTTTTTGTTGGTCCATCGTCAACATCCCGGCTCTCATGATGGTTACTTGATGATCTCTCGAACTGCTTTCCCCGGTCAAGGCACAGGTCATTCACCTATCCGTCTTCGTAAATCTCAAGCTGAATTTTTGTTTGCTTATTCACTCAAGGTAGACGATCATACAGCTAAAGAGTCGAGCTATTTAGAGGGGCTTCCTAGTCATTTAGAAACACTCGAATCTCCTCGGTTTGAACAACATCAAGACGAAAAGGGTCAATTTGTTGAAGTAATTCTTTCTGATAACTTTGCTCCCGGTTCTATCTGTGTTATCAAGACATCCATTGACTCCAAGTATGATCAAACGCATAAATTAGTTATGTCCATCGACGATGATGTTGTTAAAAATCTTGATTTGCTTGCTATCAATGCTATCTTGTATCGTTGTGACAGTGAAGAAAGAGACAGTATTCCTGGTGGTGGTGTTTACAATGTACCTAATTTTGGTAGCTTGGTCTATGCTGGTCTTCAAGGGTTCATGTCTGTCTTGAAGTCTATCATTACGAATAATGATTTGGGCCATCCTCTTTGCGATAACTTGCGTGCAGGACCTTGGGCTCTTGAATACACTGTCAACCGATTAAAGGAATACAAAAAGGACTATCCTTCTCTTGAGCCTTTGATTGCTTGGTTTGATAAACGTATTGTGATGATTAAGGAATTACCTGATTTCTTGGTCCCCAAGTATTTTGCTCTTTTGATCAAGACAGCTTATGACAAAGTGTATGCTCATGCCTTAACCTTACTCTCTCCTTTAGTTCAACATGGTGACACCTTTATCAAACAGTTGGGTATGACAAGTGTTCAAATGGTGGGACAAGTACCCTCTGCTGGCCTTTGCCCTACCAAATCTACACCTTCTTTAGCTGCCGGTTTGCCTCATTTCACTACACACCATATGCGTGTCTGGGGTCGTGATGTCTGCATCTCTCTTCGTGGTTCATTGATGGTCACAGGTCGTTTTGAGGAAGCCAAGCAGCACATCATTGCCTTTGCTGGTTCATTGCGTCATGGCTTGATCCCTAACTTGTTGGATTCTGTCCGTTGTCCTCGATACAACTCACGCGACTCTGTCTGGTTCTTTATGCAATCCATTCAAGACTATTATCATATGGCACCTGACGGCAAATCCATCTTGAAAGCCCAGGTACCTCGTCGGTTTCCTAAGGATGATCAATTTGTGCCTGTTGAAGAAGGCTACACTTATTCTTGCACCCTAGCTGAAGTCATCCAAGAGATTTTTGAGCGACATGCTCGTGGAATTCATTTCAGAGAACATAAAGCAGGTCGAGCCATCGATGAGCAAATGTCAGACAAGGGCTTTGATATCGATATTGATGTGGACTGGGATTCTGGTGTGCTTGTGGGTGGTAATGTCTGGAACTGTGGTACTTGGATGGACAAGATGGGTGAAAGTCTCAAGGCTAAAAACAAGGGACATCCAGGCACTTCTCGTGATGGTGCTCCCACTGAAATTACTGGTTTGTTAAAGAGTGCACTTCGCTGGGTCAATCAACTGATTGAGCGTGGTGAGTATCAATGGAAGGGCGTAGATCAAGTCCAACAAGTTGAAGGTGGCAGCATCACTTATCAATACTGGAACAAGTTGTTACAGCAACACTTTGAGCGTGTCTATTATGTTCCTTTGGATGCTTCAGAAGACAAAAACTATGATGTGATTACCAAGATTGTCAATCGTCGTGGTATCTACAAGGATGTCTACAAAGCTACCGAAGCCTATACTGAATACCAACTGCGCCCTAATCTCTTTATTGCCATGGCTGTTGCTCCTGAGTTGTTTGATAAGGCTCACGCCAAATACTGTATTCAATTATGTCGTGATGTCTTGCTTGGCCCTCTTGGTATGAAGACATTAGACTCTGCAGATCAACAATACAGACCTTATTATCATAATTCTGAAGATTCAGAAGATTTCCAAACATCCAAGGGTCGTAATTACCATCAAGGACCTGAGTGGCTTTGGCCTCTTGGTTATTATCTCCGTGCTGCTCGCTACTTTGATGCTCTATCTGATCAAGACATTGCTCGCATTTTACGCAAACACCGTGACTATATCAGCCAAGATCCTTGGTGTGGTCTTCCTGAGCTTACTAACAAAGACGCTGAATATTGCCATGATTCTTGTAGAACACAAGCTTGGTCCTCTGCCACTCTTTTGGACTTGTTTTATGATTTAATTGAAGGTACACATTAATAAAATGTTTATTATACATCTATTGCTTATTATTCCAAAACCCAATCACACTCGACACATTGGCTGTTGTAGGTGGTGATAATGGTTTACCGTTTTGTAAATTGCCATTCATATAAGAGGCTCCTTGATAAGAAGATGGACTTAACGGTGTCCATTCACTATCTGATTGCAAAGAACTAGGAAACTTGAGGCTGTTTGTTCCTCCAGTCACTCGATAGGATGAGTATGGGTATTGTATTGTGTATTTACTTACAAACAAACCCGTCTTCTTCAAATGGGTTATGGCTAGTGGCACGACTTATGTCTGCCTTTGATATTTCTGTTTAAACCATGAGCGCCTTGTTTATTATACACTCCTATCTTACCTTGTCCATCTTCCCACCATTTCTTACTGTCTGTGCTTGGAGGTGGATCTAAACTTACTTAGTCCCACACTAACGGTCATTTCATGACTTACAATCATTGGAATCAAGAGAGACATCTATCAGTGTATCTACAAACGAATCTGATAGCTTCAATGGCGTCGTAGTGGGTATTGTGTTCTTTCGTCTAGGCAATTCAGGTGCTGCCTTGACTTCAATTGAACTCAAGCTTTGGTATAATTCTTTTTGTAATTTTGTCTTGGCTTCATGATCCAAAGTAACAATCTAAACTTAAAGTCAGTCTATTTACAAGTATTTCATCTACCTACATCTGTTTCAAACAAGGCAAGTACTATATAAAGAAAAAAGTTAATGATGTATTTTTGTAAGTAGGAGAGATTACCAGGACGATGATCAGATGTGTATAATTCTGCTCGAGCGTATTGAATTTGCTTTAATTGTTTTCCCTTATAGACAATACGATCTGTCCAGCCAGGAATACGCTGTTTTTCACTATAGGTGGATGAGTTTTTTTTTTTGGGGGATATAGATCTACTTTTTACCTTGTGTCATAGACATCAGTACCATTATCATACTTGTAAGTAGGTAAGAAGGTAATGTCACCTTCTTGGTATCCAGAAAACACTCTTCCTTCACGCATTTCTCTTGTAAGCTAATATATACATATAAAGTAGTCAGTATCAAAGAAATACGCTTTATTTTGGCTTGCCTGATCATGTCTTAAGAGCGCATCAATATTGCCGTCTCTTGCATAAAGACGTACTTCTTCATTAGGCAAAGAGACTCTATAGTTGAAGTCACTAACCCAGATAATATTACTATTTAAAAAGGTCAATACGACATTGATGTTCTATGCTGACTTTACTCATGACTGTCAATCGTCTTGCCTCTTAGAAATCGAAGACCTTCAATAATCGTATGAAAATCCGTATTACGATCATCCACATTAGAATGCCCTATTGTTTAGACATCAGCCTATTTATCTTCTTTTTTTTTCTCTCCCCTTATTTACCTGAAGCAAAATGAGCAGCTACAAAACAAAAACTTGTATCTCCATAATCCATACGAATAGCTACTGCTCCTTTATTACCAGCAATGCCCATAATACCTGTCTAACATAAAATAAGTGTATGCTATACTCTACCTTGCATACCTTTTTGATTGAAGTTTCTACGTTTCGAATCTCTTCCACAATGGCTGATTTTGCAAAGATGATAAGGGCAGCACCCACCAATTGATTTGAACGCAGTAAAGTATATTTAGATTTACCAGCATGATTATTCAATGTCTGTTCAATCTGTTGTTCCCATATCTTTCTCTTGTCTGCATCTGTGGCCATTACTTGCTGAGGCGATAACTCAACTATTTCTTGAAATCCAACCACATACAAATCAGGCTCTTGTTCATTCCCTATCATGAATTAAACCACTGCTTGCTTTGATATGGTTGCTTACATTGAAAGTGTTGAAGTAACCATGGATCCAAGGATTCTCCTTTAAAGGGCTTTCCATTCAAATTGTATGTGCCCGTAAAAATAGTGATCTTTCTACTGCGTGAATACTCTTTGACGCGTTTCGATAATTGACGTGTCACATTGTCGCTAATAGGGTCGTGTATCATGATCATGTTCTGATTGGCTAATTTACCAAGCAATTGATCGATGACTTCCTGCCTTGCTTTATCTTGGAAATTGTTGATATAGAATCGATTGACAGACCTTGTGGCGTCACTCAATACATTCATGAATGTCACTTTACCAGTACGCGTAAATGCTGATTTGAGTGCACCTGTGCCTGCATAAATCTTACTTAACGAATCGCCATTTTCAGCCCATAGATGAGAATGGCGTGCCACCAAAGTAGGATAGGCCAATGGCTGAAATCGTACTTGTAAGAAATTCAATAGTGCTTTACGTGAAATTTCGTTTTGAACAAGATTGGTTCTGTCTAAACAATCCATGCAATTAGTGCGGAATACGCCTTTTTGAGTACAAATAATCAGATTGTCTTCTGTGTCCATCAAAAAGAATCCATATTCTTCTATGGTGTCACGAATATCACGCATTAAAATAGCCACATTATCATAATTGCCTCCTCGACATTCGGCATGTAAATCAAAGTTGACCATCCGAACCAAGTCTTGGCCATAATTCAATTGCTGGACTGCTGTATTGAATGCATGACTAAGCACAGATTCACCTGCTGAAGTCTCCTTTTGTGATAAAAGATTGATATTGCTCACACCATGGTAACGGTCGAGCAGTTCATCAAAATGCCGCTTCACGGCTGGTTGAGTTGCTCCTGGTCCTCGCGAAATCTGGATTTTATGCTGTACCAATTGCATGCCTTGCTGTTCCCAAAAGACAGGCACACTACCTCGTATCTGTGTAAATCCATAACATATTCTATCTGAATACAAGATCGTTTCTGTCTATTTGTTCTTAGCCTATGATACTCGATGTTCCTGTGTGTCTTGTTACCTCGACGAAATTAGCGACATGACCATTATCATCAATGCCTCTCGAATTAAACCGTGTGCCTGCTCTTTGACAACTGAGTTTAGAAATCACAGATAATTCATAACGTTCATTGTCTAGATCGACTGTCTCGGTACCCACATAACCTCGTATCGCAAACACTAAAAAACCGCCACGATCCAGGTTCATTTGACTCTTTCTATCCAGTTTAGATCGAAAGTCCAATAATCCAGAAATTAAGAATTGGTTCCATAAGAAATGTTCATCAAACGAATGAGCCCCTAACGAGGCCACTGAAGTACTAAATGACGTCATGAACATCATTGAAGCATCATCTTCACTTACCGTGCTTGTACTGTCTTTGTCAAGTCGAAATCAGGTGTAAAATAAAAACTGCCTACCGAAAACAGCTTTTGAAGTTGAGCACAAGGATGTTGAATAGTACTATTGTTAGGCTGATCCCATTCATCGTCCCAGCTTGCAGGATCATCGAGATCGTCATACCGAGCACTGGAAAGTGAATAAAATGAAACAGACTGTATCTTGTAGACTTCTTCTCCTGCACGTATTCTTCCGACAGAGATACAATCTGTCACAATAGCAATAAAACACTCTATTTATATCTGGTTAATATTAACGTATAGTATGATAATTCACTTGCCAGATTGAACTGTAATCAAACCAAGACAACCAAAGACTGGACGCGAGTTTAAAATACGCCATTGAGCATCTTCAAACTCGGAAGGAGGATAGAGTTTAGTGATAGCTCGAGTATCTGAACCTTGGTACTCTTCAAACACAAGTACACCTGAAGGTGCTTCTTCTAACACAGTGGGTCTTAGAGCAAGTGCTCTTGGATATTCCCTTACAAGCAGGTGAGTTTGCATAGAGAAGAAAAAAAAGAAAAAGAAAGAACAAAAGAAAAGGTTTAAAGTCCTCTTTTTTTTTTTTTACCATGTCTTGTCATTTCAAATATTTATTTAAAGGCATTCAAGATGCTTTCGATTGGCCACGCGTGTTTGCTTTGGTTATAACGTAAGTTGAAACCAGAGTTGATGTTTATTGATTAACTTAGATCGAAACCTATTCAGTCGACATTGATCAAAAGTGTGGCTCTTAATGGCGTTGTTTATTTAGGCATGCTTGTGTTTATAGAAACATTTTATAATTCACCTGATCATCACTTGTACGGTTATTCTTATGCAGTATGTTTTTCATGTTGATGGCCATGGTTTTTATTCAGTGTAAAACATAGGACTTGACAGGCTACCCATTGTATTTGATTTGTTTGTTAGTCAATTCACGCCTGTATAACAAGATTGCACAACAACAACATGACAATACAAATATATTTGATTCTATCTATACCATTCTTTTATATGGTCATTTTGCTCTTTTTATTGCCTTGCTTAAATATATACCTTGGGTTGGATCTATTCTCTCATTCCTTTTGTACTGTATGGTGATGACTTATTATTGTTTTGAGTAAGTAGAATGAGCCCATTGTATATAAACAGACTAATTTCCTCTGTTAGATATACATGGATAGACTGGAGTATTGAACAACGCATGACGTATATAGAACAACACTGGGCTTATTGTTTAGGATTTGGTTTACCTGCAACAACAATTACCTTCTTCTTATCTACTTTGAGAGCAGGAGGTGTATTTGCTCTCATCTATCCTACTGTAAGTCATCTCTTTTTATGGAGACATTAACCATGCCTATAGTATATCATGATGGCTTCTTCAGCAACACCTGTACCTTCTTCGATACAAAAAGAGCCTGTCACTTCCTTACCTGTGTTTGTAGGTATACGATACATGCATCAGTTCATGATGCGATCCATGCGTTCTTTTATCGGCACGCCTAAAACACACAAAGACGACTTAGGCAAACTTGTCTAAGTGACTGTCCAAGTCACACATCAACAAGGAAATCCCACATACAAAAAAAAAAATAAAAAATAAAACTTTTTTTTTTTTCATATATACTATCCTATGCCCCGTGTAGAAAGAAAAGGCCGTGCTAACAAGAAGCGAGGAAAGAAAGGAGGTGCCAAGAAAGAAGAACAAGCCGAGATCAAGGCTGATTCTATGGAAATAGAACAAGTCAATACAGATCAACATGCAAGTGGCATCGTATTTCAAGATCAACACTTTCAAGCTGCTCATTTCGGTGAAGTCGATGAAGAATTGTTAGGTTATTTCAAGAATGTAGAGCAAACATTGGACGATCCTCCATTTGAGACAGGCGAAGGTAGATGATACACCCGAGGATCACAGACTTACTGTCTCTATAGATCAACGCTTGTTTGTTGAGAATGTATATACCGAAGTCGATGGCAATGAATTCCGTCTTTCAACCAACTACTCTTGTTCCTTGATTCTTGAAAAGCTTCTTAAAGTATCAGATGCTTTTCAATTGCGTGTCTTGATGGATAAATTAAGTGGCAAGACAGTCGAATTATTTGCTCATCGTTTTGCTTCTCATGTCTGTCAGACACTCTTGACATTGGCTGCTGATGTGGTTGAAAGAGAACAAAAAGAAGGTGTGGTAGACAAAGGCAAAGAAGGCGAAGGCGAACTGTTGTCAATGGAACAATTGATTTTGGGTGTATGTGAAGATATCAAACCTCATCTTGGTGGCCTTGTCTCTCAGCAGTTTGCATCGCATGATATCCGTATCTTACTTCATGTCTTGGCTGGTAAACGTATTGATGAAACAGGCGATTTGAAGGGTCAATTAAGAAGTAAGAAATCCACACAATACAAAAAGAAAACAACGATACATTGACTCGAGTAAGTAAATAGAATAGTGTATGTGTGCTATCTACTGACTTTCTATTAGTCTCATGTACGTCTATCTTCTACTCGATTGGTGCCAGCTTCATTTAAAGCAATGTTTAGAACACTCACTACTGAATTGGCTATCAACATGTCAGAAACAGAAGTCCGTACTCTTTCTGTTCACAAAGTAGCTAATCCAGTCCTTCAATTGCTGATTGAAATGCAAGACAATGATAAAGAAGGCATTAAAGCCAAGAATATCCTGATTGATCGTATCTTGTGGGGTATTGTGACTGACATTGACTCAAAAGAAGAGAACAGAGACAGAGACAGTTGGTTCGAGACACTCATTCGTGATCCTGTGGGCTCCCATTTACTGGAAGTCATTGCTAAACATGCCCCTGATGCTGTGTTTAAAAAGATCTTTAAGACGTATTTGGTAGGCAAATTTGAAAAGTTCAGTTTGCATCCTATTGCCAACTTTGTCATTCAACATATGATTGTCAATGTCAGAAAATCAAAGCAATTAGACATCATCATGAAAGAATTGGGTCATTCGTTCGATAAGCTGGTCAAAAATAGTAAGTTTGGTGTGGTGCGTAGTCTAGTGGATGCTTCTGTCAAACTTGAATCTTCGCAAAAGGTCATTGTGGATAGTTTGGCTAAAGGCTTACAGTGTGTAGAAGAGTCAAAAGAATTTGTGAATTGTGTGATGCGCATGTGGACATTAGAACAATGGAATACAGCCAGTGACCATGAAAGATTGAATTTATATCATTTCCATTTACAAGGTTGTTTGATTGTTCAGGGAATCATGAAGATGGCATCAGAAGCCAATGCTATATTGACCAACAGTTTCTTATCACAGAGACCAGATATCATTCATCGTTGGTGTTTCTCTCCTATGGGCTCAAGAGCCTTTGAAGCCGTGGTTGCATCTGTTCATGTGAACGACAAGATCAAAAAGAAGATTTTGCGTGATTTGTCTGGCAAATATGTTTCTTTGGCCAAAGATAAGTTCGGTAGCCACATCTTAGACAAGTGCTGGTTAGTGGCTGATATTGACTCTAAAGAAAAGATTGCTGCTGAATTAGTCAAGCATGAACATGAGTTAGCCAGTCATTATCTCGGTAAAAATATTCTCTGGACTTGCAAGATTGATCAATACAAACGAAGACATGATGACTGGGTTGAAAGAGAAAAGGGAGCTGAACGTAAGCGTGAAATGTTTAAAGATATTTTAGGCGAAGCACTTGTAGAAAAGAAACGTAAATTAGCATAAAAATAAATTTGTAAATTTCATATGAAAAATCAACACTTGCATGTGCACGGACACTTTGTATTTTTCACATGTCTCTCTCATTCAAGCTATACATACATATACATATATATAGAGCTCCTCTTTTCTTTCTTCCTCTCTCTCTCTCTCTCTCTCTCTCTCTCTCTCTCTCTCTCTCTCTCTCTCTCTCTCTCTCTCTCTCTCTCTCTCTCTCTGCTCTTCAGTATACAATGACTTGGACTATGCATGTAAGTCATATATGTTCATTGATTGATTGATTGACTGTATCAAGATCCCTCAAGAACCTTCTCCTACTCTTGTTCTTGTCAAGCGTATCTCTTTACAATCTTCTGAAAAGACAGGTAAGTAACTCGTATATATAGCACCTAGAGTCATGTATGTGATAGTCAAGGAATTCTTTTTGTTTTGTGGCAATATCCTTGAATTTGAAATGATCAAGTAAGTACAGTATTGAATTCGTATTAAACATATAAAAGGGACTCCAATGATCCTCAGCATCAGATGGCTTTGATTCATTTTGAACGTGAATCTGCTGCCAAGACAGCAACTCTTCTTAGCCATGGTAAGTCATTTTGCTCCCCGTATATGAAAATTGAAACGATAAAATAGCCTTGATTGATGAATGTCATATTGTGGCTACTCCTTATGTTGAGTATCCAGAACAAGAAACACAATACACCAAACCAAAGACACGTATTATTGCTGAAATCTTGGCCAATGGTTATATCTTGCAAGACCAAGTGGTTGCTAAAGGTCTTGAATATGACCACAAATACAATCTCTCAAGTCGTTTCACAAGCTACTTAAACACACTGACATCCAACATGAAACACATAGATGCAAAATATCGTATTTGGAACAAGGCATGCGACATAGAACACAAATACAAGATTCATGAAACAGTTCAATCTACAGCTCAACTGGCTCTTCAGTCTTCTACGGGTCAAAAAGTAGAGAAAATGGCCACTCAAACATTGGCTCAAATTGCTGCTGTTCATTATGAAGCCAAAAAAATTCAACATGAAAAAATAACTACTTAATAAATCTAATCATAATTCTATTGTACAATATTTTAAACCTTGAGGTTCTTGACGGCAGCACCCACAGAAGCAACAATTCTTTCAAGAGCAAGAGAGGTTTCTTCTTCAGTGATGTTAAGAGGAGGAATTAAACGAAGTGTTTCATAAATAGAGGTGGTCAAGATAAGGGTATCCAACTTTAAGGCTTCAGCAGCCACACTGCTAGCAAATCCATAAGGAACACCCATGAATTCAATACCAATCATCAGACCTTTACCACGAATATCGCATGTCACACCTTCAGGCAAAAGAGCAGGGATTTTTTCTCTTAATGTCTTGAAGAATTGTTCAGAGCGAGCAGCACAGTTATCCAAAAGTTTTTCTTCTTCAAATACTTGAAGTGTAGCCTTGGCAGCAGCACAAGAAATGGCATTACCGGCATAAGTGCCACCCATGGAACCAGCAGGTTGAAGATCCATGATTTCTTTACGAGACACGATAGCAGAAAGAGGATAACCTGAGGCAATACCCTTGGCCATGACCAAAATATCGGGCTCAACACCAAAGTGTTCAACAGCAAACATTTTACCTGTACGACCAAAACCAGATTGTACTTCATCACAAATCAACAGGATGCCATGTTTATCGCAAATCTTTCTAAGGCCAGCAAGGAAATCTATAGACCTGTCAATCTCCATCCTTTTTGTTTTTGTTTTTCTACTTACTTTGAGGAGGAACAACATAGCCACCTTCACCTTGAACAGGTTCAATCAAAATAGCAGCCGTATCTTTGGGATCTGTACGTTGCTTCAACAAGATTTCTAATTGATGAAGAGCTTCTTCACCACACCACTCAGGTGTGAATTGCTTAGGATCAGCCTTATGACAAGCCCATTGTTGGAAGTAAGGATAAGGAGCGACGTGAACACCAGGCATCAAAGGAGAGAAACCAGCGCTGTAGATCGTCTTGGAAGTCGTCAAGGCCATGGTACCAAATGTACGGCCATGGTAAGAACCTTGAAAGACAATGATGTTTTGTCGCTTTGTGGCATGACGAGCTACTTTGATAGCAGCCTCAACAGCTTCAGAACCCGAGTTCCAAAAGAAGAAGGTGTCCAATCGAGGCGAGGGCATCTTGGGCAATAAACCATCGATAAGATCAAGCATAGGTTTTTGATAAAAGATATTAACTTGACCATGAGACAAGTTACCTGCTTGTTCTTGAACAGCCTTTACAACAGTAGGGTGACAATGGCCTAACATCCATGATTACGACATGGTTTACTTCACTTGTTTCTTACCTGTGTTGGTCACACCAATACCAGTAGTGAGATCAAGATACTTTTTACCATCGACAGTATAAACATAAGTGCCCTTTGCTTTTTCAATCACCAATTCTGTGGATCTACCAATACCGGCAGCAATATGCTTTTTACCAAATTGAGCGAGTTTTGAAACAGAAGACATGAAGATATATATATATGTATATATAAATAAAAGAAAAGGTAGTTATCTATTTTATTTTTTAGGCCCTTTTTATACTTGTTAGTAGCAAGGAACTAATTTTATCCAATCACGGGAGCTTATTTGTCAGCCCTAACCAATCAGCATAATAAATTACGTTTGAATGTGAACTCTAGTGCGTTCCTTTTGTTTTGGCGTGCGAAAAAATAAACATTAGAGTCATGATTACTCTGTCTTTCTTTCCCAAGAAAGTGTTCATTTGCTGTCCTTTAAAAATGACTTATCTCTCTTTCTCACATACTCTTTTTTTTTTATCATTATCTGAGGCTAAATCAAACATAAAATAATAAAAGAAAAAAAAGAGAGAATTCATCCCATGTCATACAATGTGTCAATATGAGGTCAAAGTGACATTTTTTACTATTATAATTCAACATATCGTTTATTTTATTTTTTATTCATTTGGCTTATCTTTTATGATAACACAGATCATAGAAATAAGATAAGGCTCATTAAATAATGCAAGCTCTACAACCACACACACACACACACACACTCTTTTTTTTTAAGCCCACTAACAGAAATCATGAATAATTTGTTCATTTACCAGCATAAAACTTACCAAATCACGAAGGTATTTCTTATTTGAAACCCAGTTCATCAAGCACTTGTTTGCTTCGACTACATCTAAACCTTGTTTCTGAACCAACATATCTACCAAAGCATCCTGAACGCCCTTCGCCATACCCTTAGCATCACCACAGACATAAATAGCAGCATCTTGACCAACAATCAAATCATACAAGACATCTGTATCTCGCTTGATCAGATCTTGAACATACACACGGGGCAATCCTTCAGCAGAACGACTCTCTGCTAATCCCAAATAAGTAATGGTTCCATCTTGCTGAAACTCATTTAATTCTCTTTCAAACAAAAAGTCCTTGGCCTTTTCACGGTAGCCATAATAGACATAGATAGGACCAAAGGCGTCTCGGATCTGTTGAGCAGGTTGGTGGCCAAGACCACCCATCGAGAGACGGATCTGACGCTGTGTCTGTCTGTGTTCAAGGAAGCCAATAAAGGGAGCAATGCCTGTGCCTGGACCAATCAAGATCAATGGGCGTTCTGTTGCTTGAGGCAAGACAAACGCATTGACATTAGGACGGACATACATAGGCACCTTGATGTCTTTTGTTACTGGAATCTCGGTCTTGAGAGGTGTTGTGCGACTAGGAATCAGATCTGTGATCTTGTCCATCCAAGGCGTGGCCACACCTTTACGCTGGACTTTGTTGGCTGTGATATACTCAACCACATTAAACGCAAATCGAATCTTGCCTTGACGCTTTAAGGGAGAACTCGAAATAGAGTAATAACGAGGCATATGAGCAGGCAAAAGATCCAAAAGACGTTCAATGGGTGGGTGACAATGAGGGAAGGATTCAAGAATATCAAGCAAATTGGGTGATTCATCACGCACAGCTTGAAATGCAGCTGTACCTTGCTTACTACAGATATACATCAAACTCAACTTTTCTTTAGGATCCGTTGTATAATCTGCCAACATTCTAAACAGAGCTTTACGGGGTTGACTGGTGAGATCAACAGCATAACGGAATAATTCATGCAAAGTGGTGTGTGTAGCATGTTCCAAGTGACTAGGTAAGTTGTCTCCTTGTACTTGATACAGTTGATGATAGTCTTCTGGCTTGATGTTCAAACGACTCAAGATGGCTTCCACTAAATCTTCATCATTCGGTGCCAAGACAGCAAAAGCATCGCCTGGCTCATAATGTGTGTCTTGTCCAACATCCAACTCGACTTCTAATGTACGCTTGACAGCATCTGGTGTGGTCAAACAAGCCACCATGGTCACAGGAGCATACTGAATAGGCACAGGTGTAGGGACAAAATCAGGTACTTTGCCTGAAAGATCCTCACCGTTCTTTCTACCTTCTAACTTGACAAGCTTAACCACAGGAACAGACACACGAGGCAACCCTGTCAATTTAGCACCTGCTTCTAATCCAGCCAAGTTGATAGTAAGAGGATTTCCCTTAGCCACGACTTTGTCTTGTTCAGTGGATGTCACAAGTGAATTCTCAAGATGCGTGTATTTCTCTACAGGTTCGGGGAGTGTCTTTTTACGCTGTTGCATAGAATAAGGTACACTCGCCGGATCAATTTGAAGTTGTGTCATCTTCTGTTCTAATTCCTTTTCAGCAGCAATAGAAGCTTCCACAGACATATCTGAGTTTTGTTTCAAGACAGTAGGTAATACTGTCCATAGATCCTCGATCCAAGGGTCGACTGTGTTCTCAAGACCTTCAGCATCATCAGCCAAGGCCTTTTCATAAAACACAGTGGCACCGAGATCCTTGAATTTCTTCTCGAGCTTCTTGCCTGTGTTATTAAAGTTGGAGTAGTTGCTGTCACCTAAACCAAGCACAGTAAAGCGAGTGTTGGTAAAATAAGCTTTGTCTTTGTTACGACGCAAGAATCGCCAAAACTTGAGTGAGTTGTCAGGTGCATCCCCATCACCTGTATTAGAAGACACAAGAATAACGATGCCAGCTGTTTGAAGAGGTGCCTAATAGAGATACATTCAGTAACTAAGAACAGATGGGATAGTGTCTTGTTACCAAAGCATAATCGTCCATGACAAAGCATTGACCTTGATATCCCTTTTTACTTGCTTCTGCATGAATGCTTTTAGCAATCCATTCAGCATTACCCGTTTGAGAAGCCCATAAAATAAGATAGTCAGAAGCAAGATGGGACATGGTTAAAAGAGAGAGAGAGAAAGAGAGATAGAAAAAAAGCCACTTTCTTTTTCTTTCTTTTTTTTTTAAACATGACAGACCTGTCAAACCAAATCAACTTGTTTTCTTCGCGTATCAACGAACAGTTGGAGAAACTAGAGAGTGAATATCGACGTTGGACGAATTATAAGCATGATTATGATGCACTTGAAGTACAACTTAAGTCATTACCTGATACTACAACCAAGACAGCTATGGTAAAGACGCCATTCACGTTTTCTTGTGCTGAAAGGTATATCAGATTCCTATAGGTAAACTTGCTTTTATGCCTGGTAAGATCATCCATACAAATGAGATCCTTGTCTTGTTGGGGGATCAATATTATGCTGAGCGTTCTGCAAAGCAAGCCGTGGACATCTTGCAACGTCGTAGAGAAGGTAAATAGATAAACACAAAGTAGGTGGGCTCATGTGTTTGTAGTGGTTGTTGAGAACATGCGTTTAGCAGAAGCCGAATTGAATAGCTTTAGAGCAAAGAAAGAAGCCTTGAAAGAAACAAGTGGTTCATTGACACCTTCTGGACAACAGGTAATATATCAATGCGTCCCATACGATGAGACTAAAGACAAACAGTTAAATGAAGAAGGATTACCCATCATGGAAATTCGTGAAGAATTATCTCCTGTTGAGAACAAACCCATTGAAGCTAAAAAAGAACCTGTTCAGCAAGAAGGATTGCCTGAATCTGTGCTACGTGCAAGAGCTATGATGAAAGAAGCAGATGAAAAGATGAAAGATATGCTTGAAGATAAAGAAAACAAGGCTCTGTTTGATTTATTACGTGAATTAGAAGAAGAAGAAGAAGAAGAAGAAGAGGAAGAAGGGGAAGAAAAACAAGAGCCAGTTGTTCAATTTAAAGTGAAAGAGTCAAGTGAAAGCACAGACGATGGATTGGATAGTGATATTGATGAAGAAGAAGATGACCGATATGACACTGAAATTGCAGAGAATATGTTTGATCGATTTGGTGATGATGAAGAATATGGGCTAGATGGTACTGTTGACCAAGAAGACTTTACACATTATGAACAAGAGAAACCATTTGACAGTGAAGAAGATGAAAAGAGTACACCTAAAGTAATCACCAAGAAGAAGGCACCACCCAAGACGACTGAAGAACAACCTATGGAAAAGACAAAAGAACCACAGCTTAGTGAAAAGACTGAAGAACCACAGCTTAGTGAAAAGACTGAAGAACCACCTAAAAAGATGTCTAGATTCAAACTTGCACAACAAGAGAAAAAGAAAGCATTGGAACCAATTGTCAAAGAAGCAGATACTGAAGATACACCTAACCAAGATAAACCAAAGAAATTTTCTAAATTCAAGCTTTTACGTCAAGAACAAAAGGAAAGGCCAACCAAATCAGTTGTAACAGAGAAAGTACCTGCTCTTAAAGAAGTACCCATTGTCAAAGAAACAAAAGAAGAAGACAATGACTTGATTGAACCTAAATCCACTGCTGATCGACAAATACCTCAAGTCGAAACTACCAAAAAACCCTCTCGATTTAAGGCTGAACAAACACGTATGAAACAAGCTGTGGCTATTGAGAAACCCAAGCGTACAGTCACATGGGACACAACTACCTCTGTCCGTGACCATGACAGCACTCATGCACCCTCTGTTGTGTCTGAGACAGCAAGTTATTCTCAACCCATCAAATCAGACATGATTCGGTCTCCTGCTGATATTTTCAATCGCATCAAACAACAAGTGGATGATTACCCTTCGCTTGATACAGAGGATGAAGGACAACCTATGGATTTAAATGAGTTGATCAAGGCTGCTAGGGACAACAAAGAAGTGTTTTATGGATCCACTCAAGGCACAGAAACATTGATTCAACCTATACATCAAGAAGGAATCATGGTTGCAAAGAAGAGTAAATTAGACAACAAAATCATGAAGGGAGCTGTGATGGAAAGAGATAGTGTGCCTGTTGATTTAGAACAAGTACAAGATGATATGGATTTACGAGAAATCAGTTCAGGTTATCAACAAAAGAGACAAAATATGTTGGCTGCTACAGGTGGATTCTCATTTGATATTAAACCTGAATTTGAAGTTATTGAGGAAGAATTGCCCTTACCTAACAAACAGCAACAACAAGAAGAAGAAGAAGAACAAACAGTACCTCGAAAGATATCTCGATTTAAGGCAGCTAGACTAGGCATGAAAGATCAAGAAGAGTATTAAATTTTAGTTTATTATTATTATTATTATTATTATTCTATTTGTTTTTTAGCAGCTTCTTTTTTGACAAGATCCCAAGCTTCTTGTCTTTTTTGTATGTCGAGTTGTTTACTATAACATCAGTTAGATATCAACTGTTGATCCTTCTGTTCTTACTTTTCTTCATTCTGTTTATATACAGCAGTACATTGCTCAAATAAGGCTGGATCCATGTCCATGAATATCTTGAGTGCATTGTAAACCAGTGAATGTATTGTTCTAATAGGCCTAAATTCAGTTCAATGTGAAGGCGTATGAATACTCTACCTGTTCCAGTGTTGATGTGAATAAGTATAAAGAGGTTTAAACATGATGGGCATAATCACGCTGATATTTTCATGTATCAAATTCAAAATGAACTCATTATTCCAGAGATAGAGAGCCCGCTCTGCCACTTGAAAATGACAACTGGATACGCACTGTGCAATCTTCTGAAAGACAGGTACCATTATTTTAGGAAATTCAACATTATCTGTCACATCCAATATTTCTTCAATCTCATTCAAGAACATGACTTCTTTGGCACTATTAACTTTGGGCCAATATCTTAGTAAATGATCTACTACCTATAATATATATATATATATATATATATATATTGATTAGCTTATTCATTATCTGTCTGATGAATAGTTTACTTGTTTTGTTAGAGAAGCATCTTTTTCAAGGAATTGGACTACACAATAAGCCAGCTGTGGATGATAAGTAGAGAGAGTAGGTGGTTTATGCAATGGCATCAGCACACGAATTAAAAATGTCTTGTGTTCTTCTTTTAAGGGAAGTGCAAATCCATTGATAATACTGCCCAAGATTTCTAATAGTTCAGCAACACCATTGAAACTTTGGGTTTCATACACAAATTGGAAAAAGATGTGGTTGATTGATTTTCGAATAAATGCTCGTAAATTCAGAAATTTGCCATACAATCGATGTAATGTTGTCTTGAGAAAGTCTCTCTCTCTAGGATCTTCACTATCAAACAATTCAAGCAACTAACAAGATAAGTATACATGTATGTATACATCTCAACTTACCTGTAAAATAAACTTTTGGTCAATGTACTTTTTGGCTTCATGAACATTGAAATCAGGCGATTCAACAAACCGTAAAAAGAATTCATAGACAAGTTGTAAATGAGGCCAAGCTGCTTCTAGTGTAGGTTCATCTTCTTCTGGATCATACCCTTCTTCTCTGTTTGCGGGTGGAGGAATCGTACGAAACAGATTGGCAGAAAACTAAGAAAATCAACTTTTGAGCCATGTCTATGCTACAGACAAACATACCATTTTCACTACTTCAGGATATACACTGTCTGTCAATGCACCTTTGGTTGTTGCCACATATTCCAACATGTCTTGTAATGCTTGTCTTTTGATTTCCTTGCCACCAAGATCTGAAGAAGGATCACTGAAATCAAACAAAACTTGACACTGTGCTAGTTTTTTCAAGAACAATTCTGTTCTTTTGGCAGGTGGTACTTCTTTAAGTAACGGTAAGTTTTCTAAAGTGACTTTGTTGTATACGTGAAAACGAGATGATTTTTGTCGTCTAGGTGCTTTTCCGATAGGAATTGTGTCTTTGGAGGCGCCTTTTAACCATGCCATAGCACTATTCGGGGGTTGTTTATTGATCTGTTTAGGTGAAGAAAGGGAAGGTGACACTAATGTGTTTTCTTGTGGTTGCATGGATAAACAAGGTAGTGTTGGTGGTGGTGGTGGTGATGACTATATATAAAAAATAAGTACGCATGCCTTGAGAATCATCATACACACTCACAGTGATACTCGGAGCTACTGTATTGTCTACAACGACAGGTGAAGCTGTAGTCGTTGTTGTAGGTAATATGTTTTGAATGCTGGCTCGAGATAAGATGGAAGGTTTATTTTGACTGTTTGATTTAGTGGATTTGTTAGTAGGTGCTGATTTCGACTTTTTAGGATTAGGCAAAGAAGAAGAAGTGGGTGTTGCGTCTACGGGTGTGTTTGCTTTAGAGACGTCTTGTTGTGAAGACTTGTTTCTAGAAAACTAATATCGTTCAATACATAATGTCATCTATTCACTACTTACAGCCACTTTAAATCCTTTAATCATGATGTAAATTGAAAAGAAAGAGAAGAAGAAAAAGGAAAAAAAAAGCGGCATTGTTGGTCTCTGAATCACATGACCAAAGGCATGATAAACCAGATATCTACACTGTAGATCTCTTTATGCGCGTTATACCCCGATAAGACACGCCCAATAAGTGTCTAGATTTATATTCAACTGCGCAGGCTTTTTAGACTGTTGATTAAACTGACGAACTTACAAGCAATGCCTTGTTGTACAAACATGGTGTGTATCTCCCTATAGAATAAAGATATATATAGGATCCGACGTTGAGCAAAATCAATAAGTGTATATATATATATATATATATATATATATATATATATGTGTGTGTGTGTGTGTGTGTGTGTGTTTGTCTATGTCAAAGTACTCAAGACAGTGTTTATTTTACAGACTACTTAAACGCGTTAATTACTTCAAATTTGAATGAGTGAATGACTGATGTCTATAAAAGGATACCTTTCATAAAGAAAATTAAAAAAAAAAACTCATTTTATTTTTTTCTCTTTTTCTTCTTGTTTTCTTTCACTTGCTAATCTTGCAAACCATGTCTCATAAGAAAACATACTCGCAAGATAGTGCTTGTGATTCTTCTGGAGAGATAGAATTTGGCATGAAAAGAGACGATGCTTCTATCTACTCTACCACATCCACCACAAGTTCTGTCTTTAGTACATCAAGTAGAATGAGTAAAATCCCAAACGCAGTAAAATCCTCAGTCAAATATCTAGTGAGGCGCAATAAGAATAGACAGAACAACGATACGATGGATCATGAAACATTAGGCTCTAAAATCAAACGAACGACCATCCATTTCAGCCTATTTCGTAAACAGAAAGAGAACACAATGCATGAAATCATACCCAGTAGTAGTAGTACACCCTATACCAACCCACAGACACACACAGAACAACAAGAACAAGTGGGCAAATTTTTATTTGGAAAACAAGTAGACGACCTCGATTTCCTTGTGCCTGAGTCTGATTCTAAAAGCGAAAAAATGGTTCAGAAACGACAGGAACCTTGGATGCGACAACGGGCTAAATCATGCCAAGTAAAGTAGTTAGATAGATACACAAAATAACTGATGCAGAGAATAGGAAAACAAAGCCCCCATGTTACGCCAATTGGCTACTAAGGGATCCTCTACAAAACTCGTCAGTAATTTACCCCAACATGATCATATTCCCTACAAATCAAGTCATAAAATGCTCGATTTACCTCTATTTAAAGGACTCGTCACGACTACACTCACTACACTCCATACCCGTCTCATCAATGAGTGTGATCGTACGCTGTCTACCATGCTCATGGCCAATGACAATCCACCGTCTCAAACAAACCCACCCTCTCAAACAAACCCTCAGGAACAACTACTGTCTGTCATTTCTGATCTTCGTAAAATGACAGAAATGGTCAACTGGGAAAACCAACAAGACAAAAAAGAGCATGTAAAAGAAGGAATTCAACAACTAGAACAAATTGTCATACATCAAGAACTCACTATTATCTCTGTCAAAGACATTGTAAGTTGGGTAGTTGTAAACTCGCGAATAACATCATTAGATATCAACCATCAAACAAATCATGAATCAATGCATCTGCCAATATTACAAAGTAGTCGAAAAAGCCATTGTTATTCCTTCTAAAGGCTATAAAATCGAAGGCATTAACAAGTATGGCAATCATTCAACTCTCATACCCAGTGAACCTGTAGATTACAGCACAAGTCCTATTGACCATAAAGATCCAGAAGCACACTGGTACCGCACTTATTTCTTGGATAGTCATGATGTCTATACCTTCTTTGGCTATGACCATGAACAGGAACCTGTGGTGATATCCATCAAGGCTGAACAAGACCCTAAGCAATACAGAGTGATTTACCGTACAAAAAAGAATCCTGACCAACGAAGAATCATTCCAGATACCTTTTTGTTAAACACATTCTCTTCTAAAGATACCCTACTCAAAACTATTGTTGAGACAGTAGCACCTGAACTTGATTTTCATCAACTGTGTCTTATGTCTGGAGAACAAATGATCTCGACTGGATTACAAGATGAACTTATTCGCTTGGATGAAAATTCGGTAAGCAAAAAAAAAAAAGGAAGGCCATGTTGAATCTATCCTCATTTTATGTAGTTACATACAAGATATAAGTTTGGTGTATTGCTTGTCAAAGAAAACCAGACAAAAGAAGAAGAATGGTTTTCGAATGAGAATGATTCTAGTGCATTTAATGAATTCCTTGACATTATTGGACGGAAAATCGAACTTAAGGGGTACTCGGGATGGGCAGCCGGTTTAGATACCAAAAGTAAGCAAAAAAAAAAACTATTTTTGGAGAAGGGAAGGGCGCTGATACAGTCTTCTATAGGTGGTGATTCAGGGGAATTCTGCTATACAAACAAATGGAATGAGAATAATCTTGCGTATCATGTATCTACACTTTTGCCTTCCAAAGCAGGCGATAAGCAACAAATTCAAAGAAAAAGACATATTGGCAATGGTAATTTACTCACTTGTTTATTTGTTATTGATCATGGTATATAGATATTGTTTGTCTTGTGTTTGTGGAAGGAAATCAGCCATTTAATCCAACAGCTATTAAATCACAATTCCTGCATGTGTTTATTATCGTTCATAAAGAGAGCTGGAAAGACACGCATGCCTGGAGAGTAGAGATTGTCTCTGTAGAAGACGTACCACCTTTTGGTCCACCTTTGCCTGGTAAATCAGCTGTATTTTTTGATAAAAAGGAACTGGAAAGTTATCTTGTAGCCAAGTGTAAGTCATATATCTCCCTGGCTGCATCCAACTAACAACAGATTGATTAGTGGTCAATGCAGAATATGCTGCGTTCAAGTCTCCTAAATTTGCTTTGCCTATGAACCGTGCTAGAGAAGGCATTTTTACCAACCTTGTAGAAAAAGGATATCATATGTTACGCACAGAAGAAACTGAGCCTACAGAAGAAGTGAAAGAAGACACAGTGAAAAAGCATACCAAATCACCCTCCACGTCTTCTTCTATCAGCACTATTGTTTCCCCTACACCCTCTAAATCGAATGCTATTCGTGAATTTTCTGAGAACATTGTCAGTTTAGGCAGAAGAAGAAGTACACAAGACTTGGCTGAAAAGCCGAAAAATTCAAACTCCAAACAATTGATAAACAAAAAGTCATTAGCAAAAAACAACAAGTTTGCTGAAGGTATGTTGTTGTTGTTGTTTATGTCTATATTAAAAATGTCTAAATCTAGGATCCAAGCGTAGTCGCTCTGAGCAGGATCTCATGAATGTAACATTGGATCACACTATTGTCAAGCAAAGTTTTAAGAATCGTGCACAGAATATCTTGACTTCATTTCCTGGTTTTGGTGGCCATAGTCAAGGTGATCCGTGAATCATGATAGGCGCACAGACTGGCCTTTTATTTAAACTTGTACGTTTAAGGATGAATGTGTTGTATAAACCTTTTTGTTTATACAACAAAAGCATTCTAAACTTTTATGCTTTCCCGCCATAATAAAGTATATATAAATATGGTAATATTGAATTTTAGCGTGTGTTTATATACAACAAAAGCCATTTTCTTCTTTTTTCTTTTTTCTTTTTCTTTTACATTTCTTTTTTTTTTTTTTTTTTTTTGTGTCCTATGGAAGCCAAGAATGATAACTCGCTTTATTGTGATCCACAGGATTATCAGCAATTTCTAACAATCAGAGCATTTGATGCCATTGTGAATGATTATTTACAGAATTTATCTTCTAAAAAGAGAGATAAAGCACTGGTAGATAATCACAGATATTCATTGATACTTCAAGTACTGAAAGATCCAAGAAATACAGCTATTTCTACTGCTCAATTTCGATTCTGGGTGAAGAAAATGTTTCGTCTCTCTACTACAGTGGATAATATAGAATATGTATGCCATGACGACAAACCTGTAGCAACTCGTGAAGATATCTATTTCATCTTGACTAGAGCACATAAAGAAGCACATCATGGCGGTAGAGATAAGACATCAGCTTTGGTAAGGAAATTCCAATTAAAAAGAATGCGACTCCTAACTTTTTTTTTCTCAGGTACGCAAACGCTATTCTTGGATTCCTAAAGAGTTAATTGCTCGCTTTGTACGTCATTGTCCATTCTGTATTTCTAGAAGAAATGGTCAACAACAACAACAACAACAACAACAACAAACGCCTTCCGATATGATTCGTTTCTTACAGACAAAGACAGATACCAATAGACCAAATCATCCTTGTTATTCTGCTGCTTCTATTTCTATGGCTGCTACAGTGGCAACATCAGCTGCTGTGACAGCTGTTGCATTGTCTTTTATGGCTCCTTCTCCTCCTTTAGATAACCATGTAGACTTTTATTATCCTTCAGAGAGCCCAGCTAGTGATAGGCAGGATTCTTGTTCACCTAAACCTAATCATTTATTTGGATCGTATTTCGATGGTCATTCTGCAGATGCTGCTGCTGCTGCTGCTGTTGTCACTGCTGCTGCTATTGCTGCTGCTAACTCAAACCGACTTCATCAAGACCCTGAGCCTAGAGTCACACCATCACCGCAACCCAAATCTTGTTATTATGGCAAACATGGCTTATTGTTATCGCCTTCACCCGATGAAAGTAATATACCAAGTCCTACTGATTCTATTTTAAATACTGAATTTTAACTTATATGTGTGTATATATAGACTTATGCTAATACTAATCATCATCACCATAATAAATAAAATAAACAAGTATGATTTATGATGTATTTTTATTATTATTATTATTAAGGTATCTCTATTTATTTTACAGGTTCAGAAACAGCAGTTTCTTCAACTACTGTCTTGGTATCTTCTTCAGCTAAAGACTTTTGATCTTGTAATTGCGCTTGCAAGTTCTTTACGGTCAAGCTGGTTCTATTCATTTTGTGTTCTAAGGCTTGTTGTCGGTCATAGCGTACAGTTTCTAAGAAGGCAGGGACAGCATCCAATAAATAAGAATAATCGACTTTAGTGTCTTGTTCTTCTTTATCTTCATCATCTTCCTTTTCAGCCTCTTTATCCATCAAGTGCATAATAAAAAAGTTTTGAAGTTCTGCAGGTGTCACCTCAAGATCAGGAATCATATCTGTGAATTGATCTGCGAGATCCTTGAGTTCAGGGGAAGCCATGATTTTCTTGGTATCTTTTCCTTCTTCTTCTTCTCCTTCTTCCATGTCATCTTCGCCCATAAAACGCCAAAACATTTTTCTGATTTGAGTTTTATCAGCATAGCCTAGTTCCATCTTCATATCGATACGACCAGGACGAAGCAGAGCAGGTTGAATACGAGTCAAATCATTACAGGTCATGAACACCATGGATCCTTCTTGAGCCACGACACCATCCAAAGCATTCAATAAACCACTCATGGTAATCTTGGCTTGAGCAGCAGCATGTTCTTCACCTGAATTAGGATCCTGAATCACACAATGATCAATATCTTCCATCACCAGAATACTGTTACGAGGTACTTCTTGAAGCATCACATTAAAATTCTCATCATCCATTTTACCAGACAAGCTAATGATAGCCACGTTCATGTTGATCTTACTAGCCACTGATTGAACCAAAGATGTTTTGCCTGTACCAGGAGGACCATACAACAAATAGCCACGACGATAAGGAATACCGCGAATGGAATACCAGTGTTCACGACGACGGAATGTTTGGATATCCTTCAAGATGCGTTCCTTTTGTCTGTCCTTCAAGATGACTGAACTAAAGGGTCTTAATTCCTTGGATCCAATGCTGTTCCATTCAAATCCGTCATAGCGAGTAGGCATGCATTTGTAAATCGTCAATTTACCATGCTCGTTTTCATAGTGTTTGTTGATCCATTCTTGAACAAACGACTTGAGTAATTCCATGTTTTGGCCACGCATCGTGATTTGAATACAAGGATTGGTGTTCATCATACCCAATAAATCTTTAATGTTGTTGCTGTAATAATTGTCGTTGTTTTTCTGCACACCACCGTTCTTGAGTTTGGAGACCCAGAGGGTGTGTTTTTTATAATAAATCTTTTGTACAGTTTCATCCACTACAATCATGAGTGATACAGCGACAATTTTTTTTTTATAGAAACTTACATGGAAAGAGGCCAAGGCGAGGAGGAGGAGAAGGTCCTTGAATATCATCGTCATCTTCATCATCGTAAATACAACGACCTTCCACATCTCTTAAATGTTTCAATTGAGCTGTGTTTTTGACCACGAATTGTTGAATAGCTTCATAACATGACTGGTCTTTACTGATCTGAATGGAAACATACATGTTTTCTCGGATCGTATGGAGTACATAATAAAACAAACTACTTAGATGGTATCCGATAATCGCTACAGAAAATACATGTATCAGTCAATCGAATGGATACACACAACACTTACGAGCAAGATAGACAATGAAACCCAGAAAGACAACATCACTACCAAAATAACGCTTCAACAAGTTCAATGCGCGCTCACCAAAGATAGCATGCCAAAAGGATTCATCTGAGATCTTTTCCAGAAAGGACAATAGGTTTTCATACAGGTTGTTCATTTGACTAGTGCCTGAAAGAGTAACAACAGAATCTTTTGTAATTTGAGTAAGTGTCATGATGATAAAAAGATAAAGAAGAATAAAAAAAACAGATAGAAATCCAAAGTCATTTATACATGTATTGTACAACCGCAGTAAGAAAAACAAGGTTATATGGCGCAGTGTATCATTTCCGCAGTTTCAGGGACAGAAGACTGATTTAGTGTAACATGAATGTTTTTTTTTATCATTTTTGTACAAAGTAAAAATCTGCGGTATCTAATGATGATGGTCCAAAAGGCACAACAGCTGGCCATTATTCGCGATTTGTGCGAGAAATCTTGGACGTTTTAGACAAGTACGACGAAATGAAAGGATATTACTTCATTATGGATAATGCAAGAATTCATAAAGAGATACAAGATATCCTCAATAAGAGAAATAGAGACTACAAGTGCGTGTATCTTCCTCCATATTCGACAGAGCTAAATCCCATCGAGCAATTTTGGGCGTTAGTTAAACGTAAAGTTAGATGTGAAAAGCTCAAAGATACCGAAATCCTGCAAGAAAGAATTGTTGATGTTGCGAATGAAGTTCCTATTCAACATTCATGGAACCAGTTTGATAACCGTTTGAATCACAGTCCAATTTCAAACAGCCAGGTTTTTTTTTTTTTTTTTTTTTTTTTTTTTTTTTTTTTTTTTTGCAAAATCCTCACATTGGGAGTAGAACGACTATAGTTTATTTCCAATACTATTTCAGACATCACTGATTTTTATTTGTCAAGACACATGGGATAGCGAAGCTCTGTGTTTCTGTAGGAGCTTTTTTGCATCCATGCATCATCCTTGTTCATTATAAGTCATGGCTACAGGTTTGAAAGGGTATTATGTATGCTCTAACTAGTAGCATGAATTGATTTTGTCACTAATTCAATATCGTCGTCTTCAGAAAGAGAAAAAGAAGAACCATCATGCCTTAGTCCAGACAATGCCTGCTCTTCGCCAAACAACGAAGCTTCTCCCATCAAGAATTGTTCATCTTCATCTATCCTGTCTCGATCATGTTCTGTCGTTAATGCAGCAGAATCAAGTAAATAAACACCTATAAAAATAACCACAAAGCCTGCCAATAAAGAAGCTACATTGACTGGGTTATCAGTATTGAATCCATGAAACAAAATGGCTGAAGCAACAAGTGTGGCTGATGTAAAGCATACAAAATAAATGGGATTGACACTATCCTTTGGTCAAGCATGTTTCATGGAAACCAGGAAAAAAAAAAGCACTTACACATTGGTAGAGAATTGCTCTAATGCCTTATTAAAATAATTCATTTGGACAACAATACAAATCACCACAGTCAGGCCAAATGCATAGGTAGAAGGATGTGTGAATTGATTGTTACCTGCCAATGTTAATTTTAGAGCAATGCCGAACGCTTTGATGGACATGACAGAGATAGATCCAACCAATGAGCAGATCGAAAGATAAACAAAAGGCGTCTTTTTGGCATAGATAGGTACTACTTGATAAATCATCCATAGGGTGACAACAAACACAAGTAAACAATACACAATAAAGCCTGTATCCGCACATAAGTTATTGAAATTGCATTGAGTAGTATTACCTGGCTGCAAAGCATAAAACAACAATTCCTCAATTGAGCGCACTTGTTTTTCCTCTGGTGCATGTAACACGACAATAAATACACCTACAACAGACAAGAGACAACCCACTTTACCAATGGCATTTAGCTTCTCTTTTAAAAAGATGGAAGCAAATATGGCTCTACAAGTACATGGTTAATAATTTTTTTGATATATATATATACTTCTTTCTATTACCCTAAAATAACACTGAGAGCACCCAATGGAGTTACCAAGATGGCTGGTGCAAATGAATATGCTGAAAAGTTAAGGATTTCTCCCACTGCCACTAACCCCTAGTATAAGACATGTATATATATATGAAGATAACTTACTTGTGCTCATGCCAGCCCACCATTTCCAGTTCTTTAGATAATGATAACTTTCTTCTACTGCTTATGTATCCATTATTCTTGTCGAAGTATGATTTTATTTACCATAGCGTTTTTGAGAACTTGTAAGCCCTTTTTTCGTGATAACAAATGAAATTCCAATAAATACACTGGAACTTATCGCCAAAATAAGCCCAACATATTTATCTTGTAACATTATTCAATAAAAGAAATAATAATAAAAAAGAAAAGAAAAGAAAAGAAAGGCTCGATAAAAAGGATAAATCCCCGCCCCTGTACCACATATTGATTCTGCATGAATCGTCCACCAAGTGTTATTTCATGCTTTTCGCTTGAATAGATAACTGTAGTTTTCTTCTTATTTGAAAAAGGAAGCGTAAGATTAAAGCGCATGATAAAATATTCAAGCAATGAACTCTATTTGTTCTTGTTTTATTTACATAATAGAATGTATTTCTGACATCTCAAATCGGTTGTACAAATTAAAATTTTTTTATGGTATCCATAAAGAGAATTAGCAAGGGCAAAAATCAGTAGAATGAGGTCCATGACAATTGCTACAGCTATTCTTTAACTTTTCAAGCCGAGACATACTCGATAATGTCTGTAATGTAGGCTGTAAGTTGGGTCGAGGAAAAGAATTTAAAATGACACTTTCAGTAACAACATGTGGATTGTTATTCAATTGCTGTTGTTGTTGTTGTTGTTGTTGTTGTCTGGCAACATTTGAAGACAGAGGACCAATGGTTTTGTAAGCAAATGGCTTAGCAGCTGTAATTAAGTTTGAAAGAGTAGCAAGTGGTGGTGGTGGCATAAAGAAAAAGAAAAGAAAAGAAACAAAAAAAGTTTTTAGAAAAAAAATAAAATTATTTATTACCCTTATTTAAATCACCGCTCTAAGTGTATAGTTCTTGGACAGCAGAACCAACAATAGGAATAGCTTCACCTTGAAGATCTTCAAACTGTAAGAAATGAAGTGGAAATTCAACAAGATGACCACGAATGGTACTTAATTGTTTGCGCACTTCGTCTACAGACATATTGAGATCATATACATGGCCCAATTCAATCTTTTCAGGATCAGGATGAAATTTATGATATTCGTCCCACGTACTGACTGTATCATCAGGGACACAATGGAATACTTGGCGGAAAGCATAGGTGTTTGTGGCTGCAGTATGGTTCCATCGACCCAAGGTCTCTTCGTCCAATGGATCCATTACCCAATGATCTTCTTTTGTCTGTGTATAGTCAACCTGAGGTGCAGGTAAAGGCAACATGGCATTGGTCACTTCATCCAACTCTTTTTCTTCATCTAATAGACCTAAATGTTCTTTCCACAATTGACGACGCAAAGTGGCAGCAAATCGGCTGGCTTGATACTATGACGATGTCAGTTCCTATGTGATGATTGCCTAACACTTACAGGTTCACCATTCATACGAGAAGGAATCATGTCTTTATCTTGTACCATCATGGCAATTTCAGAATCTCTATCACCACATTGGGAGCGATCATTCAAGTTGGCTGAACCCATAATCACAATACGATCATCAGCAATCAACAGTTTAGCATGAACATACAGTTCTTCAGTCACATAATCATCCAATTCAAGTCTATCCGACGGCTGTTCTTTAGGTAAATGAATATCGTTTGAGTGGTGAAGTGCTTGTTGAGGATCAGGCATAGAAGGACGATACTTTTCTTGTTCTTCGGGCAACACAAATCCTGCAGGAGGTGTTTTGGCTTGTGTGCCTTCTACCTCTTGTTCATGGATAGGCTTACCATCTTTATGGGGTGTAAAACCAGCATCTCGGGCCATCATTTCTTCTATCATAGGACGATTGATACGGTCATAGCTTCTGAGACTATAGAATCGAATATAGTCTTCAGCACGAATACCTGCTTTTTTGAGTTTCTCGACAATACTCTTTTCACCACTGCAGATAGAGATGTATTGATAGTACATGACAAGTCTGGCAGTAGCGGCTTCTTTTGAGCTCAAATCAGCAGGGAAAGCAGGCATCAAGGGAATAATGACAAACACTTTGAATTTCTCTTGTTCATCATGGGCACGAATGATACGCTTCACAATGGCATCACCAATTTGATTCTTGATAATAAAACTATCGTCTTTTTCAGTTGTGGTGACTATGGCATGCAATTAGCCTATATATATATATGTGTGTGTGTGTGTGTGTCTTGATAGAATAACATACTAAAGAACTGGTTTTCAATATAAATGTAATGCTTTGCTTGAGTGATGACATCAATATAAGCATTTTGAATCGAATGCTATCCTTGTTAATCCATATGATCCTTGTCTCTCTCTCTCTGTTTTACCTCTAATTCAATACCAGAACTCCATGATGCACTACTACGTAACACTTGCACACTACAAGAACCATGGATACCTGATGTATGATGATCAAAATGATAGGATCTTAACAAGCGACTTTCTAAAGGAATCTTGAAAGACTGGTAGCTACTGTAGCCACCCAAAGGAGGCTTTAAAAAGGGAGCATTCTTCTTATCTAGTGATTTCGACTGCTTAATAAAGTTCCATCGATCACAAAAATGACGTGCAACATCCAACACAGGTTCGCCAAGCTTTTTTTTTTTTAAGTATTCAATGAACATGATGTTATATTTACCATGCAAAGTGACATATCATGCCAAGGCATACGAGGAATACTAGATTTGTCAATGAGACGCATATCCCATTCTTTGACTTGAGAGAGTGTCAGCTTGCAGTTACATTAAAAAAAAAAGCCATTACCATTCTCAAAGTCTCTTAGACGAGCATCACTATAATCTTGTCCAGGAAAGATTTCAAGACTTGGGTCTGATGTATTGAAATCTGCCAATCGATGCCCATGGGTATCCCAGCGACTATAACAGCATAAGTTCCTGCTTATTAAGTAGATGACTTACCCATAGCAAAGATCAATGCCACCTAAAAAGGCAATTCGATTATCAACCACTACAAACTTTTCGTGATGTGACCAAAAGAAAGTGCCACCCACTGCATGATCAGGATGTCTTTGGACTACACTGCCGTTAGATGGCTTACATCATAAAGATCACTTGCCTACTATATTCTCATGCATCTCTTGTAATCTCTTTTTGGTGTGTGCACTGTCCAATGTTAAGGCCAGTTCGACTTCCTAATCAGACTGATTAACGTCATCCTAAAAAAATAGCCATGTCGTCATACTTTGTACACAACAATATAGATCATGACACCTTCTTCAGCTTTTCTTTTTAATAGTGCGTCAATTCTGTATTCTGGATATCTTTTAGGTGGTCTTCTCAAGTACTACACGACATTTGTGTTTAATTATCACGTGATACTGTTTTTGTATACATACTAATTCAGGTGACTATAGAGGAGAAAAGAGAGGGTGAATAACAATAGAGTTTGTCCTTTTGCTTACCAGCCACCAATCCTCAATAAAAATCACTTCTTTAGCACCTTCAATGGCTTCTGATACAGCCCTAATTTTGCATTATGAATACATACAGTATATTTTACCTTACCAGCAATAGTCATGTCCATCGACAAAATACTTGACCATAGCTTCATGTCGAATAGGTGCAAATGAATCATATCGATGTCCTTGAGCCAAATATTCCTCCTCTCTATCGTCTTCTTCATTTTCGTGTGGTTTTGTAATATGATTTACAGCATGTCTAAGCTCATGCTTTACTTTTTTAGCCAAATGATTCAAGACTGGCATAGAAACAGGACAATAGGAAAGAAAGAAACACAAAAAAAAAACAAAAACAAAATGCGCTTAAAAAGCACCTGCGTTTTAATCTCACGGATAATCATTGTTCCTTTGTCTATACACACCACAATGGGATGACAAGCTATGAAAGTATTTCATTTATTTATTCCAAGTCACTATTATCACTTGAATCATCTTCATCTTCTGTCAAATCCTCTTCCTCATCTTCTTCATTAAACATAGCATTCTAGTCTTTGTTAGAACAACTCTTTCTTATTCAATGGTTACCTCTGTTCCATCCATATCCATTAAATTATCCTCATCATCTTCATCATCCTCATCTTCTCCGTCTATGTCATCATCCTCTTCTACTTCACTTTCACTATAATGTTGTAATTCATCATCTTCATCTTCTTCAGTTTCAGATTCATCTTCAGATTCATTCTCTTTACGATGACGAGCATCTACTTGATTCTGCACAAGATCCAGACGGCCATGCATAGCCAATAATTTAGGATAAACTGTCAAACGATCCTCAAGCTCTTTATATACATTTGATAATCGCTGCACAATATCAGGTAAAGACATGAAATAAGCTGTGTGGGTCAACAAGACAATTTTAAGCCATTCTGTTGTGTCTCTTGCTGTAGCATCTTTATCAAAGGCATCCAATAGCTCTTTTAAAAGGGGCAGGACATTGTCGAGAGGTAATTGGCGTACTGTCTTGTGGATATCATCTATTGTGTCTTGTTGAAGGTCTTTCCAGGACCGAATCACTTGTTTCTTGGGATGAACAGTATCATGAGGTGTCACCGAGCTTCTTCTTTTGCTTGTTGTGTTGTTTGTCTGTCTTGTTCCCTTCTTAGCCATGATATATATATATATATAGTAAAATAAAATAAAAAATAAAAAAATTTGAAAGAGAGGTAAAAAAAAAAAAAAGCAAGGACAGTCACATAAGACTGTTGTCTGTTTATTCAGCATCCGATGCATGAATACCATGCGCATCAATCATGAATTCACATCCTATACGTGAAGCCATAGGAGAAAACTCGACAAACAAGACACGGCGTGTTGCTAGTCCATCTATCATGGGTGATCTTGCGAGTCGAATACGGGTATTGACTGAATTAGACCAAGATAATCCCAAGACTGGTTTCTTAAGCAGGGATTGAATGTAGAGTCCAATCATATGATGATCACTGCTGTTGATCAACTTGAAATCCATCCAGGGCTCCATGAGTTGTGCTTGATTGTCGGTTGGATTGTCTGCTACTTGATTGATGGCCACGACAGCCAAGTGATGTTCACTGGCTAACTTCTTTAAGCGTGTACCAATCTCACAAATCTCACGCATACGTTCATATCGACTCTGACTGCCTCGAGGAGGTTCACTTCGATAAATGGAACTGATTGAATCAATCACTACTAAACGTATAGGAAGCTGTTGTTGTCTTTGAACAAAAGCAGGTAATTGATAGATCAAGGCACGGTATTGTTCCTGACTGTCTTTGATACGCATCGTATGAATATGTGCCTTGAGTCTCTGTTGTTGATCTGTTGGATAAGCAGTGACTAATTGATCTAATCGACTGGAAGGAAACAGGCCCTCTGTATGAATATAGACAGCAGCACCTTCAAGGCCACCTTCCTCTAATGCTTTTTGAACAGTCAAACACAGTTGTAATCCAAGTTGTGTCTTGCCTGATGAACTTTCACCTACAATTTCTGTCAACATGCCAGGACATATACCACCACCTAAAATCTGATCCATGGTACTATCTCCTGTGGTCAAGTAATCATGGAATGTGGGCGGTTTGACTTTTTGTTGCCAATCAAAGACTTGCTGTGAAGCTATGCGCAGTATTGTGTAAGCTGAGGATTCGTTAATCTGTAATAGTTTTTGTAGATCGACTACTGATTTCGACAGAATATCACGAGAAGAATCAAGTCCTACTAGACAGAGTAAGAAGACGTATCTTGCTTGTTTCGTTTACACTCTTCTATCTTTTCAATCAGACCAAGTTCTTGCAAGACAGTTTTCAGTTCATGATTCATAAAGAAAAAAGAGAGAAAAAAAAAATAGCGACACGTCAAATTTATCAAAAGTAGAAAAGCTTAGTTTATCAATAACAAGAGAAAGCAACTTTATTGTAAGCGCGTTACATTAGAATTTTTCTTTTAATAATTTTTAAAGATTTATGTTTAAACAAACTGTAAGCTTTTTGTTTGTTTTATATATAGACTTTATTTAAAAAAAAAAAAAAAAAAAAAAAAAAGAAAAAGAAAAAAAAAAAAAAAAAAAAGAAAAAGAAAAAAACCTATAAAAAAAAGGAAACAAAAAAAAGTGCACTCTTTGCTTCTCATCGCGATACACAAACACTGTTGATTCAAAACCAACGTATGTAAGTGTCTTTGATGATACAACAAGTTGAGAACACCAAAAAAACTGTTATTAATATAGCCCTGGTACCCTAAGGAACCCGGCCGTATGAAATGGTAAAGCAAGCTCTTGGTAACAGGGACCACCACATCAAGGCAATATGGAACTCATCAAGTCTTACTTATCTAGGGAATAGGAGAAACAAGTTCTTAAACACTTACTGGGCGAGGCCAGTCGAAGCGCCAGAAAAGGATAATAAAAACAAAAAGAGGATGAATAGATACCCAAGGGTATGAGAACTAGCTACAACAACAAGAACACCAAGAGCAACACCAGAAACACCGTTGTAGATAGTACTTAGAAAGAAGCACACCAAAACACCAGAGCAAACAAACTTAGAAAAAAAAAAAGGAAAAAACAAGAGGCGTGTATACCCCCCTTCCATTTTATGCGCATATTACAATTTTCAGATTCAGACGAGTGACGAAACATGTACGATATTATCTTCGAATGAAATTCCTGGCAGGTTTGGCTTGCTTTTGACTTGCTTTTGACTTAGAGTCATTGCTTAGAATTGCATCTTTATGCAGTTATTTTGTTCTAGTACAATAACAAAAGCTGTAGGTTTATGTCTTCTGAGTCTACTGATTTAGATAACATAACCACTTTGCTGCTAAAATATTGAGCAAATAGACAAAAGTGTTTATGAGGTTTTTCGCACATATCTCATCTTTTTCATAGTATAATCGGCAAACAAATACATTCATCAAGAAACTAGAGCCTTTAGCGCACATTCTGTGTATCTAGTAGCGTTGGTATCTTTATTTTTCGTCTTGTAGCGTCAAAAACAAGATTTTTTTTTTTTTTAAAAAACAAGATCAAGAGTTTTCAAAATGACGGTTTTCATGAATAGTACCCTTTGGTCAGAAGGCATATTTTGGCCATTTTTCGCAAGTCGCTTTTTCTTTTCTGTCCAAATCAACGCCAAAGGCACCCTATATATTAGTAAACATGACTTTTGTATATGTGACGAATTTGACAATGCATAAACGCATTTTATACTCCTTTTGTGTGACTATGCAGTCCTGTGTATTTGTTTGATCTTTCAATGGGTTTAGTCTCATCACTGATCAAAGCAATGCCTACAAGCTTTTTTTTTTGTTGATAGAAAAGACATATCTGTTTCAAGAGGTGTAATGTTGTGTGGCCACTTCTATTTGGGGCACGCGATATATACTGTATCACGTGATCTCTATTGTACGCCAAACCTTACAAATGTTTCCCTTACCAGCATATCTTTATTTTTCTTTTCTCTCTTTTTTTTTAAAACAATGTATCAACCGTTAATAGGTAAATAAACTTTGTTTGTTATAGTTGTAATTTAAAATTCTATTCCTTTTCTTTTTTTATTATTTTCATGAAAGATAATACACAAGATACGGTAGAAGCAGAAAAGAAGCTTGTTCGAAAGTTGGATACAAGGCTTTTGCCCTTTTTAAGTTTTATGTATCTTTTTTCTTCTTTAGATAGATCCAGCTTAGGTTGAGTGAGCATGCGTATAGAATGATAGCTTATTTAAAAATGAATAGGCAATGCTGTACTTGATCATTTTGAACAAGATGTTGGTATTACACCTGATCAATTCAATTCCTGTGTCACCATATTTTATGTAACGTATCGTCTTCATGCGTGAGTTCGTTTTGCTTATCGATTGAATAGGTTGGCTTCTTGTTATTTCAAATACCAAGCAACATTCTATTAAAGCGATTTACTGCAAGACGATGGTAAAAACTGATCTACATAAACCTATGTGATATTCATATGAATTAGGCTGCCTTTGTTAATGATATGCTGGGGAACAATGGCCATTCTTCATGCAACAGTCAAAAGCTATGCTGAATTAATGACCTTGCGTTTCTTTCTTGGTTTCTTTGAAGCTGGGTTCTTTCCTGGTGTTGTTTATTTTTTGACCTTGTTCTATAAGAAGAGTGAGATGGCAACCCGTATTGCTTTATTTTGGGGATCCACAGTAGCTGCTCATGCCTATGGTAAATACATATATATATATGTTTACTATGAACTAACTGAATATTAGCGGGTGTACTTGCTTATGGTATTTTACAGTTGAGAGGATCAGGTGGATTAGCAGGTTGGCAATGGTTGTTTTTAATTGAAGGAATACCTACTGTGATTGTGGCCTGTATTGCATTGTAAGTGCACTGTATTTACACCATCACTGAATGCTTCTAGTTTCTATTTGCCTGAATCACCTGCTACATGGTCTGTCTTTACGGAGCAAGAGCAACAATTGGCTATCAGTCGATTAGAGGATGGTATTTCTCATCATATCACTTTAGGTGATTTGAATGCTACGAATAAGAAGCAAGCATTGAAAGCACTCACAGACTGGAAAGTATGGATGTATATGATCATGTTCTTCTGTGGAAGTGTACCGAACACAAGTATCTCAAAGTAAGTCTTTATGATGAGCAAAAAAAAAAAAAAAAAAAAAGAGGCTTAATCAGAACTAGTTTTTTACCTTCTATTGTCAAGGGCATGGGATATGACGATAAGCTTTCTGCTAATTTGATGTCAGGTATACTAGATATTCAACAATAACAGACTCTCATTTGTTTATAGCTCCTCCTTATGTGGGTGCTGTATTTGTGGTAAGCAATAGCTTATTCTTGATTCATACAAACTCATGACTCACTAGATGATACTGGCTGCCTATTCTTCTGATCGCAAAAAGGATCGTGCTTATCATGCTATTGCAGGTGCTTCTATCTGCATGGCTGGCTATATTATCCTGACTGTCTGTACTGAACGAGCTGCTTTATATACAGGTGTCTGTATTGCAGTAGCTGGTATTTTTGTCATTAATCCTATTGTCAATGCTTGGCTAACAAGTAATATTGCACCCAATATGAAGAAAGGCGTGGCTACTGCTATGGCTGTGTCTGCTAATAATTCAGCTGGTCTACTTGGCTCCAATATTTATCGTCATTCAGACGCACCTCGTTACTGTAAGTGTATAGTGAGTAAGAATGATATGGCTAACACTGCATAGTACGTGGTCATTTAATCAACTTGATCTTTATCTCTCTCTTTGTTATATTGACTATCACTCAAAGATATCTTTTAGACAGAGTCAATCAAGAGAGAAGACAAACAATTGAGAAATTAACAGTAGATGAATTAGCAGAATTACAAGAAGATGATACACGCATAGGTGATGAATCACTTGAATTTGAATATAGGCTTTAATAAACTATTCCAAAACTGAATTAGTGCTGAGTGTGCACAATGGATCACAAAGTAGTTAAGTATATCGAAACTGAAAGAAAAAAAATGAACCTTCTGAAGCCCAATTGAATGAAATTGATAATAATACACATATCCAATGATATAGAAGTATTCTAGTAAACATCTCAAGATCTTTTTTTTTCCAAATCATTCCTCGTCGGATATTGAAAATTCCCTGCCATGCTTTGCTCGAACAAATTTACTCCAAAGATATAGATATAGAAGGGCACTTGATCTAAATAACAAAAAAGCAAAATATACTAGACTATCTGCATAGCATTGAAGTTCTACTGTTCAACAAAAACAACAAGATATAAAGGATTTCACTAGTATAACTCAAATCAAGCATACTTTCTACAAGGACTCTAGACCGTAACAAACACTGGCTTTTGTTCCTCCCGGAAACGATAAAGATGACTACAGGCAAGCAATCTTATTGTCTCACCATCCTCCACAAAATTTAAACTTCAATTGTTCCACACTGATCTCCGCACAAGCCAATCAAACTTTATTGTCTGTTTGAGATACTGAGAATTCATCCCGATTGGCTTTGTTGAACCCATAAGACGAATACACATGTATCACCCCCCCTCCCCTTATTTTTTTTTTCTCTTTTCTTTTTCTCTTTATACTATGGCCAAAAAGCAGCTTATATCGCGGTCGCCTCACTTTGATTTAGCCAATTTTCCAGTTTCGGAAACTATCAAAATGTTGACGTGTCTTTTAGAAAAGATCACGAAAGCAAATGATGCTCTTCATCGGCCACCTTCTTCATCTTGGACTTGTTTCCATGCTCGTTCTATACCAAGTATTGATGTCTATTCTTACTTGACTCGTATTCTTAAATACTGTCCCTGCGCGAATGAATGCTTTCTTAGTCTGCTGGTCTACTTTGATCGTATGTCGCAAAACAGAAAAGATGCGTTACGTATTGATTCACTGAACATTCATCGATTGATTATTGCTGGTATCATGATTGCCAGTAAATTCTTTTCTGATGTCTTCTTTACCAATACACGCTATGCAAAGGTAAATAGAGAGGGTATAGAATACATAGTCATTGATATCGTCTTAGGTGGGTGGCTTACCTGTAAAAGAATTGAATCAGTTGGAATTGGAGTTTTTGCGCATGAATAATTACAATATCAATGTTTCTCTTCAAGAGTTGCAACGATATGGTAATCAATTGTTAATGCATTCCATTCGAGAGAAAGAAGCAGAGTTTAAAAAAGAAAGTGTCCTTTTTGATGTTGTTCATACAAAGCAATCTAAATCCATGGCTTATTTGTGTTCTTGACGCGTTTGTTCTATTTACTGTAAATTTGTATATATCTATATCTATCTATCTACCTATCTATATAAAAAAAAAAACTTGTACCTGATCGTACTCTAGTTTATACTTATCCATAAGCCTCCTTTTTTTGGGGGGGATTATGCAAATGATCCAATCAAATAGATTCGTGACTGTTACTTGATCTTATTCGCATAGCACATAAACCCTTTGTATCCTTCATCCGCTTCATCATGGACGTATTGCCTAATCAAAGACAACCTCCATCTTCAGGCAAATCATCTTTAGGTGCAGGTGTCAATCGTGATCAACAAGTCGAAAAACTACTTAAAGAAGTCAAACAACTGAAGCAAAAAGTAGATATTCTTGATAAAGAAAACAGTGCTTTAAAGAAGAGTATTTATGACTTATCTGCAAGATATGCTGCCTCTATCTCTCAGGGAGGCTTACCTTATCGAACAGGTCCATTTGTGATTGATAATGAAATATCCGCCACTGGAAAAGCACAGGAAATGATATCAAAAGCAGTGCAGGAAGTAGGCGGTGATATAGAACCCTTCCAGTCAGTATACCCTCATGATGCTCGTGACGGAAAGCCATTTCAAATGCGATATGAACTCAAGGTAATCATGGTCGAACGACACTGGATGATTAACGCTATAGGAAGGGCCATACAGGTGCGGTTTATACAGTTGAGTTCTCTCCTCATGGAGCACTGCTTGCTTCTGGTTCTTTTGACAAGACAGTCCGTATATGGGATACAGCGTCAGCACAAAAAGAAGTATGTCTATCTATCCATAGAGATTATTAACCTCGATAGACACTTTGCCTTAAAGCACATACTTTAAATTTATCTAGTTTAGCATGGACACCAGATTCTTCTATGCTATTATCGGGTGCTTATGATGAGACATGTAAAACATGGGATGTAGAGAGTGGCAAACTATCAAGTAGTTATGACACAGATGGTCTTGTACAGTGTGTAGGCTGGGATTTTATAGATGTCAATGTATTTTATTATGGTACTTCAAGAAAAGTGTTGGCTATGGTGGATACCAGAACAGAAGGCACTGCCTCTGTCATTCATAATGATACTATGATCAATACACTATATGCCTCAAGAGATGGTATTCATGTCATTACAGGTGATGCACAGGGTATGCTTAAAGTATGGGATATACGATCCAGTAAGTTGTGTATATATGTTAAAAAGAAGAAGTTGACTAAGAAGGATAGAACAATGTATTTCTTCAAAATTAAATGATCCCTCCAAAACACCTATTACACATATTTCAGTGGGCAGAAGAAGTACAGATGCATCAAGGAGAGCAAGTAAAGTATACAAGTGTATTTCTATAGGTTACTCATCATACTAGTTGATGACTATGATGAACCAAGATACATGGCATTAAATAGTTATGATAATAGTAAGTTGATTGTTTATCTTACATCTTACTGAGATTATCCTAGTACTGCGTGTGTATGATAGGGGCATGGATCCTCCTAAATCAGACCTTCGTCTTGTTCATTCACTCAAGGGATTCAAGAACAAGAATTGGCCCATTAAATCTTCCTTTTATTGTGGTAGTGGATGTAAGTTAAGCCAAGTATGGCCAGATAACTCATCCCAACTAGATAATTCGTCTATTTTAAGCAAGCCTTCTACAGCCAACGAAGTGTATGGAGATACAGACTTAACACCGAATCCAAGTGATTATTTATTTGATGCTCAAGAACCTAAAGAAGAAAAGAGTGTCTTATTAGCCACAGGCAGTGCAGATCCTTATGCTTATCTTTATAATGTGGGTGAAGAGAGTGCTGAACTCATGCAACGCCTAGAAGGTCACACAGACCGTGTTTATGCTGTCAATTTCCATCCTACAGAACCTATTTTGGCAAGTTGTTCAGCCGATTTTACTGTCAAAGTATGGGGACCGAGTTTACATAGAGGAAAAAAGAAGGCTATCAATTAATATAAAAATAAAAATGTTGTATATATCTCTCTTTCTTTTCTCTTTAACCATGACAGACACACCAAAAAGAAGAACTATAGCCAGTTCAAGGAAACCAGTCGCTGCTCAATCCACCATAGCTCCTAAACGTATCATGACAGTAACGGAAGGTAGAGGTATTGCTATTGAAATCGGTATCTGCATCTTTGACCTCAATAGTTGTGAGGCCACGCTATGCCAGGTAAGAAACATCGCTTATAGCTTGAGATAACACTGGATAGTTGGCTGATTCACAGACACTGACACGAACATTGCAAAAGATTGATTTAAATGAACCACAAAAGATCCTTATGCCTGTCTATGCTACTGATACAGATAACCCAATGACAAGTAAACTAAGCAAATTGACTGAACTTCAATTTCCACATATTTCCATCATTACTTTGGCTCGAAAATACTTTGATGATGAACAAGGAAAACGTTACATTCAAGAATATGGATTACAAGAAGATGTAGCAGGATTGCTGTTTGGTATAGCCACAAAGTATTATTGTTTGGCTGCTATTTCAGGCGCATTTAGACACATCTTTGAGACAGAAGGCTATCGATTTGCTCCACACACCATCAAATTCACTTATCAAGGAGCAGAAGATACCATGATGATTGATACTATCACTGCAAAAAACCTAGAGCTTGTTGCCAATACAAACAGCAACACGACTAGGAATACATTACTCCATGTGCTTGATCGTACATTGACACCCATGGGCAGACGTCTTCTTCGTATGAATATATTGCAGCCCCCTTGTTCACTTGAAATCATCAAAGATCGTTTAGATGTTGTCCAAGAACTATCCAAGAGTGAAGAAACCATCTTCAATCTCCAGACTTGCTTAAAGCATATGATTGATATGGACCATACTATTGCTTATATTGTCAAACTACCGAATACTACCAAGAAATCCTCTCTCGTCATTCAACAAGCAGAAATAAAAACCAATCAAGTCATTGGACTTAAACAGACTATCAAGGCGATTCGTTCTATAGCAGCCTGTTTGCCTGAATCAAGCCATTGTCTTTTATTAAACACGATTCACAAAATATTGTCAAGCCAAGTATTTGATGAACTAGAAAAAGTCATCCAAACTACAGTCAATGAGGAAGTATGCGTTCAAAAAAGCAGTTTAGGTATTCGAAATCAGAGATGTTATGCGATCAAAGCAGGTGTCAATGGATTATTGGACGTGGCAAGGCAAACCTACAAAGAGACAACAGAAGATATTTATGAGCTTGTGGAGCAATATAACCGAGACTATAGACTACAGATGAAACTCCAGTTCAGTGCTGCTCATGGGTTTTATATCACCACAAATCCATTGGCAGCTGAGAAAGGGTTGCCTCCTCTCTTTATAAATGCTGTCAAGAAGAAAAAGTCAATTCAATGCACTACAATCGAATTGGTATAGCTAAAGTCAAAAGAAAACCAATACTCATTTCTTTTTCTTTTTTGTACAGCTCCAAAAGAACTTTCGTATCAATGAATCTTTGACTGAAGTCTATCTTATGTCTGATAAGATTGTCACAGAGCTACTGCAAATATTCAGAGACAATATCAACATCTTGTACAAAGCATCTGAAGCCATCGCTTTATTAGACATGTTGATTTCGCTTGCCGCTTGTAACATTTCCTCAGATTATGGTAATAAACCTTATGACGATAATGATTTGCTTATCGTGTCTCATTAGTGCGTCCTGAATTCTCAGATACACTGGCAATTAAATCAGGCCGTCATCCTATCTTGAGTCAAATTCTCTCATTTCCTTTAGTACCTAATGACTCTTTTGCTTCCTTGTCAAGTAGTTTTCAATTCATTACTGGGCCTAACATGAGTGGCAAATCCACTTATCTTCGACAAGTAGCCCTATTGACCATTATGGCTCACACAGGATCCTTGTAAGTGTCATTTGTGTATTTAAAAAAAATGTAACCCTTGTTTTTTCTTAGTGTTCCAGCTGAATATGCTTGCTTTCGATTAACTGATCAGGTAAAACTCTAGCTAAGGGTTTGTAGTATTCACGACCTTTATACAGCTTCTTTCAAGACTAGCAAATGATAATACGTTCTCTGATATTGGTACATCTTCTTTTATGTCAGAAATGAGAGAAACAGCATACTTGCTACAACATGTAACGGACACAAGCCTAGTGATTATTGACGAATTGGGAAGAGGTACTTCGCCTAGTGATGCTTTAGGTATTACTGCAGCTGTATGTGAGGATTTGATTCACACAAGGGTAAGTAATGTATAAAGAAAGCTTTTTATTTTCTTATTCATACAGGCCTTTTGCTTCTTTGCTACACATCTGCATGAACTTACAAGAACACTGGATATCTATCCAAATGTCGTTAATTTGCAATTCAAAGTACATGTTACTGTAAGTGTATTTTTTTTTCTTTTTTACAGAAATAATGATCTATGTAGAGAACACAAGGGAATGATATTACAGTTGATTATCAGTACAAGATTGAAGATGGAAACTTGCAAACTGAGAGCAATTATGGTAAGTGGAAATCATATCTTTTATATATAGTTTGATTGACTTGTGATAGGGTTACGCACTGCTCAAGTATTAGGTTTTCCAAAACAAGTACTTGCGTGTGCCTACAAGATTGTTACTGAGGTTTGTTGCTGGCTTGTATGTCCTTTAACTGACAGCGTGTTGATAGTTGAAAGGCAATGGATACAGACTGAGCCCTGAATATGAAAAGGATAAAAGAAAAGTATCAAGAGAACGCAAATTACTCTGGGTAATCTCTTTGCAATGCTAAATTTGTCATCTCACATATGATAGTTTGCCGACAAAGTGCTTCAATTAGGTCAAGTAGAGATACCCAACGATCAATTACATGAACAATTCTACCAATTACAAAATAATATCTTGCAAGAAGAACAGGACTAAGTTTTATTTTACATAGGATAATTTACAAATAAAGAGAAGCAGCAAAGATAATGTCTCTGTGAATGCGATTGATACCTTCAGAAAACTTGTTTTCTAATTCAGAGTTACCAATACTTTTAGCAGCAGCACACATTTGTCTCAATAGTTCTTCAAGACGTCTAAAGATACGAATAAGGGAACCTTCATAGACATCTGTCATTTTACAGATCTGATGGAATTTGGCACCTTGACACCAAGCAAACACCACATCCATTAATTCAGGCTTGAATTTTTCGAGATAGGCTTGTTCTTCCAAGTTCATTTTACATTCATTTGATACTTTAGCGATTCGGCGTGCTGTTTCTTGCATAAGACGTAAAGGAGCTGATAATTCTTCTTGAAGTTTGGCTTTAACATCTACTTTTTCATCAAACACGAAGCAACTCAAAAGAGCCACTGCTTGATCCACACTGAGATCATTAAAGACACCTTGGAAAATCATTTCAGTCAACAAAAGTTCATCACCTGTGCTGATTTCACAAGCAACACGACCCTTCATTTCAACCACATCAGCAGAAGTAGTGAATCCAAGTCTATAGGAAGTTTAGTGTATACATCTCAAATGTATCTCTTTTTGTTACCTTCGCATCACTCTCTTTCTGTTCTTGAGCTCTTCTAATTGTACAATTGATTGAGCATCTGTTACTTTTCTTTTCAGTGCCTTGATCTTGTTGATCACGTTGATCTTTTCCATATATCTATCATACAAAGCAGGCAATTCTTCTGATTGAGACAAAGGATGATTCTTTAGGGTCTCTTCCAACACGACAATCTTGGCCACCAGCTTTTTAAACGAGGGATCCTTAATGCCCATATTCGTGACAGGATCCAACAAGGGAATATTGTCAGGGAAACGCTTCTTGATTTCCAAGATGGATTTGTAAATAGCGGTCAATGAGTCTTTGTTGCGGAGATTCTTGGGCAAATTAAGACGGATATGACTCATGCATTCAATGGCATTTAAAGAGACAGGAATAGCCATTAAAGTACCTTGGTTATCTTTGGGTGCAGGTTTAATGCCCACAGTATGACCAGCAGCATCTTTTGAGGCAGAACTATCATTTGAGCAATACAACAAGACATCCAAAATGTATTCTGGTTCTTCTTCTTTTTTAGACTTGGATTTCACTTTGCTGTAAGTAATCACAACACCCCAACCAAAGTCTAGATCGTTGTACTTGATACGAGCCAAACGGCCTGGTTGCAAGAAAGGCAGAGCATAGGTAGGGTGGTTCATGACATCTCTTACGTCTTGTGTATAAGTCTCGATTTGCTTGCGAATTTCATAATAGGAAGCAATGTCTTCTTCACGATCAATCACAATCGCCTTTCTTTCTTGCTCCAACAGACTCATTTCCTTTTCGTATTGAGGAATATTGGCATCATTCTGGAAAGTAAAGAAACACTTTTCCAACATGTATTCAGGACTAACACCTTCCACGCGAAGTAAGTTCAGAATCATGTTATAACTCAAATGGAAAGCAGAATTCATACGGTCAGATTCACCCTTGACCATGCCTTTGGCTACAGCAGGCTCCATCTTTTCATCAATCATCATGATAACCACACCACGCTCATCAAGACCACGACGACCAGCACGACCTGACATTTGGATATATTCACCTGAAGAAACCCAACGTAATCCTTTACCGTCAAATTTACGTACACTTGTGAACACAACTGTCTTGGCAGGCATGTTAAGACCAATAGAGAATGTTTCTGTAGCAAACAAAACCTTAAGCAAACCTTCTTGGAAAAGGACTTCAATCGTTTCTTTCATGATAGGCAAAAGACCACCATGGTGAACACCAATACCACGACGAAGTAATGGCAGTAATTGTTGAATTTGCGATAATTGACGATCATCTTCATTAAGCGAAGAAATAGCATTTGTAAATACTTGAGAGACCATGTCGCGTTCACTTTCTGTTCAAAAACAAAACATCAGTATATAGATGGAGGCCATCTGTTTCTTACCATCATTAAAGTCAAGCTTAGACATCTGAAGTGCATTGGCTTCACATTCTTTTTTTGAAAATGAGAATACAATGACAGGATGGTAGTTCTTCATCATGACCATCTTGATAATACGATAAATATCTGAAGGACCATCATTTCTTCCACCTTTGTTGGTCTGTCCTCTCTTTTTACCGCGACTTTGTCCACTGCTTGGGTCATCTCCTTTGCCATCATTTAAGGCTGCGATGGCTCTTTGAAAGTTGTCTTCTCTGAATCGACTCTTTTCATCTACAACCAAATGAATACCATCACCACCAGCAGGGAACAAATAGTGTTGAAGAGGTGTTGGACGGAAATCAGTATAGACAATATGACAAGGTTGTTCATGAATCTTACAGATCCATTCTGCAAATTCCATCGCATTTGGAATGGTAGCTGACAAGAACACATAACGTACTGCATCAGGTAACAAAATAATCGATTCTTCCCATACAACACCACGCTCTGAATCACGCATGTAGTGAATTTCATCATACACAACCCAGGCAACTTCACGAATAATTTCAGAACCTCGATACAGCATACTTCGAAGAATTTCAGTTGTCATGACAAGACATGAAGCTTGAGGGTTGATGGTCACATCACCTGTCATCAAACCCACATCACCAAATTCTTCTGTAAATTCTCGATACTTTTGGTTCGATAAAGCCTTGATGGGAGACGTGTAGATCACACGTTGTTTGTTCTTGAGACATTGTGCAATAGCATATTCAGCAACGACTGTCTTACCAGCTGAAGTATGCGCAGCGACCAAGACAGATTCATTGCGTTCAATCGAAGACACAGCAACACGTTGGAAAGGATCCAAAGTGAATGGGTATTCACGAGCTGGGTCAGCAGGTGCTTTGTGTTGTGAAATAGGTACATAAGGATAGTTGGGTGGAACAGCCACTTGGTGACGCACAGCGTGACTCAAGACAAGTTTTTCACCTTCTTCAGCGGCTGCTTGTGCTTGAAGACCAGCAATATTAGCTACTTGTCTGGATGTTTCTTGTTCGAAACTATCGGCTACTAATGGTGCTGATTCTTCTGGGTCTACTCTTTGTTTCTTGGCTTCTTTGGTTACTACTTCTTCTGAGCCAGCACGCTTTGTGTTGGTAGTGGCGGTGGTTGTAGGTGTTTCTTCATCTTCACTAACTGCATCTTCAATTTCCTCGTCAGCAATATCGTCGAAATTGTCTTGCGTAGTTTCGCCGTTGAATACGTCAAATAAATCGTTTGTATCTTCCTCAAACATGACAAGTATAATTGCTTTAAATAGAAAGAGATAGCAAGAAGACCAAAAAAAATTTGAATTGTTTATGCACAATGCAAGTCACATACAGTCACACTCTTTTTTTTTCAAAGCAAAGCTTAGTTCATAGAGTTTTATTTTTCTCGCTTTTTATTTTGACTTTTGTTATTTGTTAGACTATAAAATCCAAACCTTCATGTGTTACATACCTATCCATGCAACTCATTGTCTTTAGACCAATCCATTCTATGAAGCATTGTTCATCAAGATATGAGGAGACACATCATGGAAAGGAGAAAAAAGGAGCTGTGACGTCAATAAGGAACACTCCTTAATAGGTCGGACCCTATTTTATAGTACCGCTAATGGTCTGTCTAATTTAGGTTAGACTTTTTTCTGCCTTTATCCCTTTTTTAGTTAACACCTTTATTTCAAAGTATCAAAGATTCTTTATTTAATGAACTTGAATTAGACGAGTGACACTGATCATGAAGGACACAGCATCATTCAATAGAAACCAACGAATAAAAAAAATACAAGGATTAATTAGCAAACATTTGACTCGCTATCCGTATGTAAAAACCTAGGCCAACCAAGTAAAACTGTATTTGCAATCTACTGGTGTTGATAAAAAAGCAATATCGAGAAATTTGATTATTCTTTAATGAGGCCCTTTACGGAAAAGCACAAATTAGCTCTGCCAACCATCTCAATCGAAATCGATCAGCAATGGAATACGGACGTTGCCGTAGTGAGGACAGAAGATCATCATCACTAGTCACCTGTCAAAAGAAGCCCAACAAAAATCAACAACTCTGGGTATTATAACTTAACAAAGATTTGTGTCTGACATCCATCCTCTATCAATTCATACAAAGATCAAGGAAAATTACACACTATCACTAGCATATAGATACAAGATGAATCAACAGTCAACAACATCAGCCCCAACACAGTTGCGGGATATATAAAGCCAAGCAGGAATTGATATGTCAATATACACTCAACAAGGTCAGCAGCAAGTACAATTGGGTAACCGGATAAAAGATATCAAGAACCATGCGAACTGGAGCCTCAATAATGAAGCGTTTAAGAAGTACTACTACAAACCAAACAACGCAGATAGAACCAGCACCGCAAAAGTCTACCATATCCGACGTCCGAACCAAGACATCAAGTATTGGAGTAGGAATGACCTGCAATTTGATATTCAGTTTATGTAAAAGCAACAACAATAGCCTGTAAATTAAAACTCGCATCAATCACTGTAAAACAAAAAAGAAAGCTTGATTTTTTGAACGAAACAATTTATGATTAATGAACAAGGTATTATGCTTACCAATTGTAGCGCCCAGTATTGAACAAACCCTTTTTCATGAACAACATGATTCACATCGAAATTGGAGAGACAGTATTAGCTGGAACAACATTTTCTTGATCACTACTTTGCGAAGATGCTAATAGTGTTGCTGGCTTTAAGCTAGATGCCAGAATACTTATAGATTATAATGATGAAGAATTTAATTTGATGTACAGAGAGGCCTGTCATCATGATGCAAGTGATATATACTCAAGAACCAAAATCATTTGTGAATGCAAAGAAACATAGCTCATGTATCACCATAGCGTAAGCAATTGCATTTCTCTTCTATTGAATGCGTTTTTCTTCTATCTTTTACGCTGCAGTGATACTTTCTACGATGAAAATAATGTATAAATGATTCAGATCAAAGACACCAAATGTAGTTTGTCAACCATTCACTCTAGCTCATAACACTATCATGTAAGTGTTCCACAATTGGAAATCTACTCACTTCTGGATGCAATGAATTGTAATTGTTTCTATTATTCAGTGTGTGCGGTTCTTAAATAATCATATGCTGTTCTTGAAAACCTATCTCAAAATTTCAAATGGAGTATCAATAAAATATAAACATTCCTATAATTCATCACTTGAATGATAACCAAAAAAAAAAGTTGAAGATCACAAAAAGAGCTTTGAAGCATAAAAGAAATTGTGATTGGCCAGAAAAAAAGGTTGATTTCTATTTTGGAAATCTTGAAAGAACAATCATTTTCGGGTTAGTGCCATTCATATTTTGATTACGGACATTCAATCTTCTCTATTTTTCGTCATATTGAATTGTACGTCATAAATGCTTTGTCCTTTATGCTGTAAAAGATTTTCAATCTCCAATTATGAATTAGTTTATTTATTTTCCCTTTTCTTTTTATATTTGTTTCTTTTTTTCTCTTTCTTTTTCACTAGATGAAGTGGATATTGCTTAATTTCTTTTTTAAATAATAATTCAAAAAAAAAAAAAGATATGAATAGGTAACAAGTCAAGGTTTATTAAATAGTGAATATTTATCAATCTTATAGTGATCACTCTTCGTCTGCTACTTCACAATACCATGCTCAGCTCTATTCTGGACAGAAACAATTACAAAAAAAGCATCAACAACAACAACAACAACAACAACAACAACAACAACAACAACAACAACAACAACAACAACAACAACAACAACAACAGCATAACAAATGTAAATCCAATAAGCCAACATCAATTAACTATAAATTACTTTCATTTGAAGCCCCCAACTTGTATAATACATCATTAAAACTAACAAGTGAAATTGAAATTCATGCTTGGTGGGAATCTCTTGTTAGAATATTTTCAGGTAAAGCAACTTGAGAGTGTTAAACCAAACTAACATAGTTAGGCAATTCTTTCCATGCTACCCGGATTGCATTGAGTATTCCTCAAGACCCAAATGACCCCTATAATGGTCCATGGGGATTAAAAGCTGTTTACAACAAGACTGGTTCGATCAGTCGAGAATCAGATTCCTCGTCCATCAATCACAGTCTAAGCGAAGATCAACATTTTTCAGGCACTGAAGATGAAACACACTATGATTATTTTTTACATAGCCATGCTATGCATGAAACAGGCCCACGCCATGTTCCTTGGTGTTTTGAACGCCTACAGCCATTTGAATCAGAACCTGAACCCTTGATCAATAATCCCAGCGTGAATCGGATTCTGAAGAGAAATGCACCTGTAGTACTCTCAAGAGAATACCGCCGAAAATCATCTACAAAACGTCAATTTGGCAGTGAAGATTTGGGTCTTGAGATATTCAAAAGAGCCCTTTTAGAACAAACGGTTGATAAATCAAGAAAGACAAATTGGTCTTTACCTATCATTACCACACCTTGCTTTAAAGATGAGCCTTCTGAAATCCTAGTCGATGGTTCCTTCTTGTCGAATGATGAGAACAGTAGTGCGAATGACAATGCCAGTGAACACAATCAAAGTGCAGCCAATACACCTTCTGCCACCACCACTTTTCTTCAAGACTTTGATGAATATGAACAACAACAACCCTCACCATGGTCACAATCACCTGCTCCTTCTCCAGCCATTATGGACCCTGATATCAACCCTTTCTTTCAGTCTCCACCTGATATTGATGATGAAGCATTTAACCCAGTATCACCTGAATCTTATGATAATACGTCTGTACCATTTCCACCTCCCATATCCAATGTACATTCTGTTGTACATGTACCTCTATTTCATCCTTCTGATGTGATTGAATTCCAACATCAACACCAGCATCTATCTACTACTATTAATACTAATCATTCCACTAATACCAGCATCAACAGAAATAACCCAACACCTATTGCCATTTTGTCCTTTTTGGCACCTATTGTCCCTTATCCACCTGTCTTGCTGTCGAGTATTGCATCTCTTTCACCTTTTATTGCTGCCAGTTTTACAAATGCAAACCAAAACTCAAAAAACAAGAAACAAAACCAATTCCATCATCGCACACAAGAAGAAGTATTGCTTCATTCAGACGAGGATGGCACAAAGCAGCATTCCGATATCGATGGAGACGATGAACACGACGAAGAAGAAGATCATGCTCATCATGAAGAGTTTGACTACTTCCATCAGATGGACATAACACCTACTTATCCAGAGCATTTGAAAAGACCAGACCATTTAGGCTGTATGTCTAACTTTACACGTAGTTCATTAGAGACCGTGACAGAACAACAACAGACACCTACTCAGTTAAGAAAAGATTCAGCCAATAGTGATTTGTCCTCTTCTTATGCTTCTACATTCTCTAGTGTGCCAGCAAATGATCAAGATGAAGCAAGACCCCTTGTGTCTCAACGAAAAAGATCTTCACAGACGACAATTGCTTCACCCAGAGAAAGAAAACCAAGTCGTTCTGGTTCTTCTTCTTCTTACAAGGCGCTTTCTCCTTCTTCTGTGGCTGTGATGGAAGGATGGGGTGCTGTTTCTCCAACGACAGGCCTGCCTATCTCTGCTTCTATTCCTCCTCATAATATGTGCAGTAACAAGTATTGTGCCAAACAGTGCCTTAATCACCATACTTCATTTATGGACACTGATGAAGATATACTTACCAAGACAACAGATACAGAAGATGAGAGCAGAATACTCTCTTTAGAAAGCCATGAAGATCAAGATACAGACGATGTCAAGAGTATCAAACCAGCAGTTTTGAAAAAACCTTACCTTGTCAACAAAAGAAGACCCAAAAAGACCAAACGATACAAGCGACGCTCGCTTACGAAAAAGTACTTTGATGATGATGGTTTTCATTACCATAACCAGTCCAACAAAAATAGTCGCAATGGCATTGATCGCCTACTTGTGGCTCCTAAATCCAGTCTGCTTCGTTTGATTATTGATGGCATTCCGATTCATGTCTTTACGTGTTCTACTGCTACAGGCCAAGTCACTTGGGTCAACAACCGTACATTGCAATACACCGGTCGATCATTGAAAGACCATTTAGGATCTCGCTGGTTGTCGCATATGCACCCTGACGATCAGCCAGAATGCAAAAAAGCTTGGGAATTATCTTTTGAGCAAGGCAATGGATTTGCTGGTGAATACCGATTAAGACGTTTTGATGGTGCCTATCGTTGTTTCTTGTGGCGCATTGTACCTTTAAGAGATTTAAAGGGTCGAATTATCCATTGGTTTGGAACATGGCAAGTGAGCACTTACATTGTCTATCAATAACCATTTTGTATAGTACGGATATTCATGATCAACGTGTAGCCAAAGAGAACAATTTGCGTCAAATGGAAATTGAGAACAATGAGCGCAAATATAGATTACTTGCAGAGGCCATTCCACAAATTGTGTTTACACTTTCACCTCAAGTAGGCATTACTTATACCAATGGAAAATGGAATATGTATTCAGGCAGATCGTTTGATCAGACCATGGGACTTGGGTTTATGTCGTGTGTGCATGCAGAAGATAGAACCAAACTCCAATTACCTGATTTACCTGCATTAAAGAATAAGGCAGGCATATCTTGGCAATCTGAAGTACGTTTGTTGAGTGTGAGTGATGAGTACCGTTGGTTTCTGGTAAAATGTATTTCTGTCGATGAATTGGATACAGGGGATATTCGTTGGTTTGGTACCTGGTAAATTACTATCTCTTGTCGTTCTATGTTCTAATCTATATGATAGTACGGATATCAATGATCATAAATTACTGGAACAAAAACTCAAAGAAGCTCATGATGCAGCACAAAAATCCACAGAGAGTAAAACTCGATTCTTGTCCAACATGTCGCATGAAATTCGTACACCCTTGATTGGTATTACAGGCATGCTTAACTTCTTATTGGATACAGAATTGACAGCAGAACAAATGGATTATGTGCACACCATTCAACAATCAGCAGAATCATTGTTGGTGGTCATTAATGACATTCTTGATCTCAGTAAAGTGGAAGCAGGCATGATGACACTTGAATGGGAACCTTTCAGTTTGATTACCATGATTGAAGATGCAAATGAATTACTGTCTACATTAGCTATTCAAAAGAATTTAGAACTTAGTTTCTGGGTAGATGATGATGTGCCTGATGTAGTGACAGGTGATCGTGTTCGATTAAGACAAGTCTTACTTAATTTGATTGGTGTAAGTGTGATATCTAAATATATAAAAAAAGCTTTGCTGACGAGTAGAAATAGAACGCTATCAAGTTTACAAGCGAAGGCGAAGTGTTTACAAAATGTGTTGTTGAAAAGCATGACAAAGAAGAATCAGAACTGACATTGCTGTTTGAGGTGGTTGATACGGGTACTGGTTTTGATGCAGCAGAAGAATCTGTCATGTTTAAACCTTTCTCTCAGGTTGATAGTTCTGTAAGTGGATGATGTTGCAACATACCATGATTGACAGATTTGTTTAGAGTACAAGAAAGCATGGTGGTAGTGGTCTAGGTCTCGTTATTTCCCGACAACTAATTGAACTTCATGGTGGTAAAATGAACTGCAAGAGTCAAAAGGGCAAAGGATCTACCTTCTTCTTTACTGTCAAATTTGGTATTCCTACCTCACAAACAAAGCCTTTACCTCAAACACCTCAAAATGAAACCAATAATGATCCTTTTTTTAGATCCAATGGTTTCAATAACAATACCTCACTGATGATAGAAGACCGAAAGAATGCCATGCCCTATGTCAATACGAAAGACAATCAGCCCTTAGATAGCAACCAACGATTTATACCCAAGACAACGGATAATTCTTCTCCTGCCGAAATTCTGCAAGATGTATTAATGACAAAAGCAGCTGCTATGCAACTTAAGCCTCCACCGGTTCGTAATTCACCACCTACCGCCGTTGCGGCTGCTGTGGCTGCTGCTGCCACGGCTGCCACTTCTATAGGTAACAAAGTACTCTTGTCTAAACTACCCTCAGAAACACCTGAACCTAAACCTGAATCAGAAACACATAAGAGATCGACCGAATTACGTATTCCTACTATTGGTGCAGGACCTGGTTTATCTTCTTCTCATGGTGTGATTATTTTACCTCCTCGAACACCTACGCATGCATCGCCCTTACGAGCGTTAGTGATATCTCAATGGAAACACTCTCGCGAATCCATGGAAAAGCATATCAAGTCAATCTTGGATAGCATTGTTCATCAAGAATGCGTCAATGCAAACGGCACTCATTATCATGTGGATTCACTCACAAATCAGATTGAAGCAACAGAATGGCTTTCAGATCCGCACACACCACCCTACGATTATATCATGATCAACTTGTCTTCTGAACAACAAATCTTATCCTTGACAAGAACTATTTGTGGATCATTGCAGCAACAGAAAGCAAGTGTCTTAGTGGTGACAACACCTATGCAACGTTCTTTGATTACCGAAAGTGCTAAAGGTCGTGAAGATCAAGTCATTCCTCAAACCTGCGGATTTGTATTTAAGCCATTAAAACGAACTAAACTAAGATGGTACTTTGGTGTGCGTCAACAAGAGTCCAAAATCAATTCAAACGACAAGAACAATCATTGCTTGTCAGTCAATAGTGCTGTATCTACGCCTGACACACCTTACAGAAGAGCTGCTACTCAAAAAGAGATATTTAGAAAGATGAAGTCTGAAGTAGGTGGTAAAGGTTATCGTGTATTGCTTGTAGAAGGTAAATTCATTAAAATGACTACGCATTACTAATTTCATGCAGATAACTTGGTGAATCAAAAGGTGTTGACAAGATATTTAACTAGAGTAGGTCTTGAGGTCGATGTGGCTGTTCATGGTGGCGAATGTTTAGAGCTATATCATAAGCATCCAAAAGACTATTATTGCCTGATTTTATGTGACCTCTTTATGCCTGTCAAAGGTAAGTTTGTATATGCATTCGACATAATGTGTAACGTATTTGGAATAGACGGGTATGAGACGACACGTGAAATTCGGGGATGGGAAAAGACAAACCTTGGACCCAATGAGAAACCAAAGCCTATCGTTGCTTTGTCTGCCAATGTCATGAGCGACGTAGCCAACAAGTGTTTAGAATGTGGATTCTCCACTTATATTTCAAAGCCTGTTAATTTTGCTATTTTAAGCGATGTCATACGAGGTTATTTATTGGATGAATAAAAACATTTATCCGCTTATTTTTGCATTATACACCAATACAATTCCCGATCGGCTTCCTATAAATTGAGTCAAGTTCATCTCATTTTCATCTCGATTTCTTTTTTCCTCTTTACACACTTATCCTCCCCACTCTTTATATCATGTCATTGACTTTGATCAAAAACCTTACTTCACCTGCTGTTCGCAGTCGAATGATTTCAATTGTAAGTATATTTACAAGAAAGTGTGTAAACTAAGATGATAGCCTCTTGTACGTTCATTACAAACCACCTCCAAGTCTTCAATGGCAACTGTCTCTGAAGATACTACAAACAATCATACAAAGGAACCCAACTACAAGACGTTTGAAATCTACCGCTGGGTAAGTTGCATCATTGTACATTTTGCGCAGCATACTTATTTGTTTAGAACCCTGATAAACCTACTGAAAAGCCTGTCCTTAAGACATACAAGATTGATTTAAACAGTTGTGGACCTATGATTTTAGACGCACTTATCAAGATTAAAAACGAACAGGACTCTACACTTACTTTCCGTCGTTCTTGCCGTGAGGGTATCTGTGGATCTTGTGCTATGAACATTCAAGGAGGCAACACATTGGCTTGTATCTCAAAAATTGACAAGGACACTAGCAAGTCTGTAAAGATTTATCCCTTACCCCACAGTACGTAGTAACACAAGGGTCGGACCGGATCGGATTTTATTAACGGAATTTGTAGTGAACATTGTCAAAGATCTAGTACCTGACTTGACTCATTTTTACAAGCAATATAAAAGCATTGAACCTTTCTTGAAGCAAAAGACATCACCTACAAACGGCAAAGAAAACTTACAATCTATTGAAGACAGAAAGAAGTTGGATGGTCTTTATGAATGTATTCTCTGTGCTTGCTGTTCTACTTCATGTCCTTCATACTGGTGGAACCAAGAAGAATACTTGGGTCCTGCTGTCTTGATGCAAGCCTATCGTTGGATGATTGATTCCCGCGATCAATTTGGTGTTGAGCGTCGTCAAAAGCTTCAGAACAAAATGTCCTTGTATCGTTGTCACACTATCATGAATTGTTCCAAGACATGTCCTAAGGGTCTTCAGCCAGGTGCTGCTATTGCTAAGATCAAGTTATTAATGGCTACCGAATAAAATAAAACATTTCTGTTGTATGTGTGTGTTGTCTAATAAAAATTTTTAAACTTTGGTATGTAGTATAAATTAAAATCATGTTTGATATAAATTTCAAATGGTCGATGTTTTTCTCTTTTAAATACTTGTAAAAAAGACAAAATGGGTTTGTTGAATAGCCATGAAAACAATAACAACTCATGTTCATCTTGAATAGCTACTGTTTATCAAGAAACTCGTTTTATGATTAAAAAAACAAAAGGTTGTATCCTGGCATGGAAAATCCAATCATGCAACCTATGCCACAAAGCAACAAACAGTATCATCAACAAACATTAACTGCGCCTACTTCGACACCTATCAATAAACGTTTCGATGTTGCTTTGCTGGGTAGTAAGCCTATGTTAGAGGATTCAAATGCGCCTATGGTGCCTCATGTACCCTTAAATGTAAGTCCATAAAAGCCTTTGTGTATCACTGACATAAGAAGATCTCTGTGACACCATCAAGTCAAGCGCAATGCCCTTCTGATCTGCAACGATGTACCTTGACTACTGTACCTTACTCGAGTCACTTGTTGAGAAAATCAAAATTGCCTTTGTCGTTATTGATTGAACCTTACCCAAGAACTCCACCTACACAAATACCATTGATTGACCATGGTCTGATCAACAGATGCATGCGTTGTAAATCGTTTATCAATCCATTTGCTCAGTTTATTGAAGGAGGTCTTAAATGGCAGTGTAACATCTGTGGGTTAGATGACAATGATGGTGAGTCAACGATAATGATTGTCTGAATCACTAAACTGGACCTTAGTTCCACCTGCTTATGATTGGAACCATATCACACAACAAAAAGCAGATCGATGGAATCGACCTGAACTAAACTATGGCTGTGTGGATTATGTGGCTAGTCCGGAATTTATGTCAAGACCACCACAACCACCTGTGTATGTATTTGTGATTGATACGAGTGCTATTGCTGTTCAGACAGGCATGATTGAGGTACTGGCTGAAGCCTTGTTGGCAGCTATTGACGATATTCCCAACAAAGATGGAAGAACACGTATTGGATTTATGACAACAGGCCATGCCATTGGATTCTATAGCCTTGCTAATAAGGAGCCAGAGTTATTGATGATGCCTGATATTGAAGACATTTATTTACCTCGAGTGCATTCAGAACTGGTTGTGAATTTAATGGAATCAAAGCCGAATGTATTAAATCTATTAAAACGATTGAAAGATGTGTTTACCAACAATGTATACACAGACAACAAAAACTGTCTTGGGCCTGCTTTATTGGCTGCTCGTGAATTATTGGTAAGTGTATCTAAGATAGGACCATGCTAATTTGTTTGTAGTCCTCTACAGGAGGAAAGATTGTTTGTTTTCAAGCTGTTTCTCCTAATTATGGTGTGGGTGCACTATTGCCTTCAAAAATACACAAACAAAACTCGAAAACAACAGGAAATAACGTTTTGTTAGAACCCGCTAGTGAATTTTACAAAACATTTTCAGAGGAATGTGTGAAATCACATGTATGCGCAGACATGTTTGTCTTTGGTAGTCAAGATATTGATGTGGCCACACTAAGTAAGAGAAATTTTATCATGAGAGTATATACTTATGTCTTTTAGACGTCTTACCGAGATATACAGGTGGTCAAATGCATTATTATCCTGGCTTTAATGCCAAAAACCAAGGAGACAAGGAAAAACTCAAGTTGGAAATTGAGAAATTAATTAAGGAGGAGGTTGGATTGGAAGCCATTGTTCGAACTCGATGTTCATCCGGTATAGTGTGTAAAGCGTATCATGGCAACTTTTCATTTCAAGAGCCTGATATTCTTGTATTACCTAATATTCCCAGGGACCTGAGTTATTGCATTGACTTAGCTATTGAAAAAGAGATTCAGACTGAATTTGTATCTATTCAGACATGCATGCTGTTTACGACAAGTGCTGGTGAAAGAATCATCCGTGTAATGACAACGTGTCTTCCTGTGACAAAGAAAGTGACAGAAGTGTTTTATGGGATAGATCAAATGAGTTTAGTAAGAGCGATCAATTATCAAGGTATGTCTTTAGCCAATGACACTCAGCGTTTAATGTTATATCTAGCTATTGATACAGCAACCAAATACAAAATCAAGGACGCAAAAGAGCAATTGATACGACATATAGTCGATATCTGCAAAAGCTATAGTAAAGAAGTGATTGGTATAGTGCCTTCGAAAAGCACGCAACTCAATTTATGCCGGTCTTTAAGTCTTTTACCTGCCATGGTACTTGCCATCATAAAAAGTGTAAGTGTATTTTGTATATCCTACTGCTTTACTGAATTCTGTGATCCAGGAAGCATTCAGTGATACGGGTGTAGTACCAGTCAATATGTCTAGTCAATCAGCTATTCTATTAAAGACATTACCTTCAAGTCTTTGGTCGAGATATGTCTATCCATCTATCTATTCTCTTCACAACATGCCAGTTCAAGTAAGAATTTTTTTCTTTGACGTAAATCTAATCTTTGATGATAGGCAGGCACTTTGGATTCAAACAACAAGTGCATTTTGCCTCCTCGTTTAAATCTGTCAAGTGAAAGAATGGAACGCCATGGTTGCTATCTTGTAGAAAATGGACAACGTATCTTGATATGGATGGGCAGAGAAGCCGTTCCTCAACTATGTATGGATCTATTAAATGCACCTAACATAACACATGTTACATCAGGACAGGTAAATCAGCATTTAACATGTATATATACATATATATATATATGACACTTAACATGTAAACAGCTGCCTTCGTTGCTTTCTCAAAAGAATCCGTTTTCTAAACGAGTGTGTCGAATCATTGACAGTCTTCGTACAGATCAAAGACATAGTAACTTTTATCCTTCACTTTACCTTGTTAAAGAAGATGGAGATCCATTATTGCGAGATTTGTTTTTAATGCACTTGCTTGAGGATAGACATCAACTTATGTCCAATACGATCAGTATTCGAATTCAAAATTCTCATCCATATTCGGCTATGAGCTACTTCCAATGGCTTCATTTTATCAAGGAACAAATGTAATTTTATTATTGTAAATGTCAAATAAATATCACTACTTAAAGCTTAAAATCAGGAGGGTTGAGGACAACATTAGGATAACCAGGGTATGCAGGGTTCATCCAAGAACCACCTTTGGATTTGTTAGTACACTATTAACATCTATATATATATATTTACCATCTACAACAAGAACAACGCCAGTGATATAGGAAGCACCTTGAGAAAAGAGGAAGACTGTAGATTGAGCAATATCTTGGACTTCACCCATACGCTGGATAAGACGTGATTAGCTTGCATTGTCTTTTATTTTTATGTGTGTTTTTTTTACCTGCAAAGGCACAGCTTGCAAATCAAATGCAGGACCAAGTTTCTCCATACCAACAGTTGATGCCTATATCAAAATTAGGCAAGCGATATAATACATACAAGTACTTACAATAGGGCCAGGAGCAATAGCTGCAGATTAACAACAAAAGGAAGAAATAATGGTTAGTGTTAAACCAATTCAAATACCAAACATACCATTGACACCTATTAAAAAATATAAGTAATTGAGTAACTATCCTTTTTTTTTTTTTTTACTTACGAATACCATGAGGGCCTAATTCAATAGCCCAATGCTTTGTGAGAGCCTATTTCATAATTGATTAGTCAGTTTTTTTTTTACATGTGTATCTTACATCAATAGCAGCTTTAGCAGCACCAGCATGTTGTTGGAAAGGTGTACCTGTATAATGCAAAGTTGCTGTCACATTAATAACTGAACCCTTTGACTTTTTGAGATGTTCAACAGCAGCCTTTGTCAAATTAAAGGTACCGAGCAAGTCAATTTCAATAACAGTACGGAACGCATTGTAAGATAAACTACCAAAGGCAGCCAAGAAATTACCAGCAGCACCATTGATCAAGAAATCAAGGCGACCGTACTTTTCAACGGTAGTCTTGACAACGTGCTCGGCATCTTTAGGGTTACGAACATCACCTGCGATAGCACTAATAAAATAAGAAAATAGGTAAAACTGTTATCTACATACAAAACTTCGCCGCCTGTCTTGGCACTCATTTCTTTGGCTGCTTTCTCCAACTTATCTTTGCTATTTCAACTCGAGTTAAGATCGGTCCTTTTTTTTGTGATGGTATACTACTTACCTTCTGGAGAAAATGACAGCTTTGGCACCGTGACGAACCATAGCTTCTGTCATGGCACGACAAATACCACTACCACCACCAGAGCATAGCAAGACCTTTCCCTTAAAAAGATTGTCTTTAAATATTTGTGTCGTTTCTACTGCAGCCATTTTAAAGAAGAAGCAAAGAAAAAGAGAAACAGAAAAAGTGGGGGTATTTATGAATCGTGTGTGACATTGGATTCTAACAGTGTCGGTAAAAGTTTGTTCTTTTCTTTCTGCATCACACCAATTTTATGAGAAAATTTCCCTGTCAATTTGTCTTTGTAATGCATATTTGATTGCCAATCAGAGATCTTGATTCCGGATAATATGCAGTGATTTTACTCGGACAGTCAATGCTTAAGCTCGGATAAAAAACACAGGCATTGCTTGGAAAAGTATTAAAACGAAACAAATAACTTTATTGTTACTAGCATAGCTTAGGCTCAGTACTTAGATTGGATTGGACAATATCGTTAAATAGAATTTTATTTATAATGCTTTAACGCTTGGCGTAAATGGGGTGTCCCTCAAAGGAAATTTGAGTTTAAATTGGTATTATCATGTCAAAAAGCAAAATCGAAAAAATCACCTTTCTTTCGTTTAAACAATTTTTAGTACGTTGGTCTGATCACTCTTGGTGGTGCTCCGGATTTTGCTATAGCCCCTTGTGAAGGACTGTATCTCTTAGGTATCAACAATTGTGTCAAGTGCCAACTAATTGAAGACATTCTGGAATGGTGTCCTTTACTTGTGGTATTGGTATTGCCATTTGTAGCATTGAACAAGAGAATACAAAACAAGAAACATGATTACTAATCCAGAGAAAATAAGTATATATATATATATAGCAAAGTTAAAGAGAATCAGCCGCGTCAAAGAAAACATCCTCAGCTAAACCATCGTCATCAGAATCCAAAGAGATTTGGACCAGAGTATGGGTGAGATCAAAATGGCTTAAATGTTCTTTTCGATGATGGTACTCAAATATTGTAGAAGATGACCAGTTACCCATTGTAACAATATTCTCCTTTGGTATTCCGGATTGTAGAGCCAAAGACCGTAAAGATAGTCTGGGCTCATCGGAGGAGAGTCTAAACAACCTCTTGATCCAACTGTACAAACGACGGATTTTTCTCGTATCATCAGGACGTATAGGATCTATAAAAAAAAAAGGCGATGCCTGACAAGAAGGACGATGCTCTTGGAAGAAAAGGAAGGTAGCAACAGGACGGACTCGAGAATTGACATGAGCCTTTATTGTGAAAGACTTAATAACCTTCCGGCGACGGCGTTTTTCTTTGGGAGCATGTACCTCAAAAGACAGTTGAGTGTTGTTGCCAGCGACCTTAACCGAGGAGAACGGAATACGAGGCAAATCAGATGGTCAGAGAAAACAAGTGATACCCAAGAGAGAAGCCAGTTTTGCTTGTAAAACAGCCAAAGAGATTAATAGTAGGTTTATGAATTCGAACTGGTGCAACTTGTTAAGTAGAGTAGTGATAAATGTGTTGGCCTGAACAAATAATCTTATTCATAAAGCACCAATAATATTGGCCCATACTCCCAAGATTGGGAGGTAAAGGACTAATTAATTTTTGGCTATAAGAGAAACGACCAATACAGAGGCTGATCTTGTTCATTTAGGCCAAGTTGAATTTTTTGACCTTGCTGTTTCCGCAGACAAATGTAGTCACTTATGCACCAACCTTTTTTTTTTCTTAGGGGCCACCATCTATCGGACATGTTCGCAGAGCACCAGATAGAGAGGGAATGGCTAGAGAACACTCCTATCCGCACCAAAAGCAACCACATTTGTATAAATATACAGTTTCTTAAAGAAGGGAAAGTAATTGTAGTCATTTTATGAAAAAGAAAAGAGAGAAAAGAAAAAGAAAAAATTGTTTATTCATAAAAGATGTTTTATCAATTGACTAGCCATGCATTCGTCTGCAGTAATTCATGTCGTTTTGAAAAATTCCCCTCCCAAACCTGAAACAGACACTCTTGCCAAAAAAGAAGAGAAAAGGTAACAGTGGAAAGAAAAGGGGTGTAGCTGAGACTAACGACGACGAAGGAACTCAGGAGGATGACACCAGTGCAGTTGATGTAAAACCAGCTTCAAAAGATACAACAACTGCTCATTTTATTAAGTCTGTCAATGAGCTTTTTGATATTATGGATGAGGATGAATCTTTAAAGGCAGTTATTTAGTGATAGATAATGCTAGTATCCATAAATCGAAACCGATGATTCGAAAAATTAAAGATAGAAGTTATAGAGTAATGTATCTCCTCCCTTACTCGCCTAAGCTAAACCCTATTGGATAGTTCTGGGCCTTAATGGAAGGAAGAATGAAGCGCCATTGCTTGATGAAAGAAAAGACATTATCTTCTAGAATCGGTGATGCATGTAATGACGTTCATTTTAGT